TGCTAACATATTAAGAAAGGCCAGATTTATGCCCCAGGGAAGACATTCCCCAATAAACTCTTCCCTCACTATGCTTCCGAAAGGCTGTGTGTAAAGCCTAATTTTGAATAGGGCCTAGTCTTGTTGAAAGTAAGAAATAAGTCGATTCTTTTATTAAGTAAGTGAGCTTTCTTTCCCCCATAATTTCTTCCTTAATGCTCAGTGTTATTTCACAGGGAGAATAATGTGTTTGTAAACGTGAGTTCTGGGTGGAAGAAAAGACATACCTACATTCAACTTCTGGGTTGATCAACATTTAGACATGACCTAAAAAGGTGTAGGCAAGAGTGTTGGGGACAGTGGGTGACTGATAAAATTTTGATGATATGAATCATTGTGGGGAAGTTCCCACTGAATTCATAAATAGAATAAATTGGAATGTTTTAACAGGAGTAATGGTCATTTCTGTCACATATGCAGATATTAGAGTCATCATACCCAATCCTGTCTAGTAGATTTTTTTTAATGTTTATTTATTTTTGAGACAGAGAGAGACAGAGTGTGAGCGGGGGACGGGCAGAGAGAGAGGGAGACACAGAATCCTAAGTAGGCTCCAGGCTCTGAGCTGCCAGCACAGAGCCTGATGCGGGGCTTGAACTCAGTAACCTCGAGATCATGACCTGAGCCAAAGTCGGATGCTTAACCGACTGAGCCACCCAGGTGCCCCATGTCTAGTAGATTTTTTGAAGGAATTACTACCACACACATTCAATATGTGATATTAAACTTACAAATAAATTGCTCATCTGTGTCTATAGTCTTCTAAAAGTACACATTCTAGAAAACAAGCAGTATAGATATTCTTTAAATATTACTTATAAACACCAGAAATTTGCAAGATATCTCTTTTTTCTAATAGTCTAATGAATGGGGTGAGTGCAGTGTACATTACCACATATTCCAAATTAGAATAGTTATAAATAAATGGAATTTAGACTAAAGAGATTTTACCGTGGTAGACTCCATTTTCTTTAATATGTGGCTTAATATATTGAGTCAAAGTCAGTTCCTAGTATAGAATTAAGCCTCTTCAGTTGTCCGTGTATCATAATTTGTTTCTTCTGTTTCAAATAAGAATGCCATCCAGTACATAGAATCCATTCACCAGACATTCAGTCAATCACATTTTGCAAGCGAGCCCAGTAGACTTAAGACTGGGTTTCTGCCCTTTAAAGGAAGAATCCCCAGAGCCATAATTAGAATAAAAGTATGTAGATACAATTGCAGAGATGCACATATTATGGACCGTATAAAGAGCTGTGGGTGCACAAAAGAAAGAGTGAGTAAAGACACAGAAGAATATCACCTGCTTTATTACAATGCAGAAAGAGATATGGCCAGTCAGTGAGAGGATTATAGCTCAGAGCCTGCCTGGATAATCATAAAAGCAAGGTACGGAAGTTATAGGTGTAGATAAAGACAATGCAAAGAAAAGAAAATGAACTCCTTGGTGGGGAGAGGCCAGGCATGCAAAAAGGTGGGATTTGAGGAAGTGCCAGAGGGGCTTCTCTGAGAATCCAGTTCATCGCCCTATTTATAAGTCTCCTTCAAGTGATGATTAGATAATTTGCCCATGAGGATCAATACAGAAATAGCAGTATTGGAAGTTTCTTTGCCAGAAGTTTCAGGGAGCGTGGTTACTAATTTAATTTTTGGGAAACCAGGATCCCTTTTTAAAATTTACTGGGCGGGGCAGGGGGTGGAAATATGTAGATTGAGGTACACAGGCTTTCCTGGAGACTCAGTCAGGCTGTTCAGGATGGCAGACCAGGGGCTAGTTCTGCCCATGAACTCCACATTGTGCAGATGGCCCTACCTCCACAGGAGCCCAGCCTCAGCAAATGTGGTGGGAGAGGATGGCAGACAGCAGAGGGTGCAGAAGATTGAGAGGGGTGGAGACAGACTCCCAAGGAAGAAACGTTTGCTCTTTTTCTTCCGAGTGGCCATTTTCATACACAGTTATGTTCAAGAATGTGCTGATGACAGAGTTATAGTCCAAGTTGAGCACCTGCCCCAGTGTCTAGTGTCCCTTACAAAGGCATGTTTCTAATTCCTCTTCATGGTAGAGATTATCAAAGCAGTGTATGCAAATCTATCGTTAGCAGGTGGTTCCTTACTTTAAAAATACTCCCTGTGTGCTAAACGCTGTTAAGAGCTTAACAGAAATCGCATGGCATCCTGTGAAGTAGGTGCTGTTACTCCATTTTATAGATCAGCAAACTGAGATTTAGGAGACAGGGTGGGGAGTTTTGCCAAGTCACCTGGCTAGTAAGTTCTCTAGTTGAGGCCTGAATCCAAGTCTTTCTGAGTCTAATGAACATGCTTTAACATTCTTCTGTATTGCCTTCAAAAAAACTGCTATGAAAAAATGGAAGAGAAAATGAAAGGCTTTACACAGCTGTCCTTTGGGCACTTGTTGGGCTGAGCACTGAGTGTTGAATGGAAACCAATTTGACAATAAATTATATTTAAAAAAATAAAATAAAAAATAATAATAAATGAAAAAATAAAAAATAAAAAAATGCAAAAAAAGTCGTAAACTCCAATCAGGCATTAAAAACATTTTTGTCCGTACACATTTTATGCATGTAGATTTTCTCATGCAATTTTTCAGTTAACAGACTCCTAGACTCTAGTCAACGACAGCCTGATAGAAGTCTCCCCTTTTTCCTTTGCCATTTACCAGCTCCTGAGGTTAGTCTGCTCCTGCAGGCAGCCGGGTGCCCTGTTTCCTCATAAGGATTATGTCAGACAAATGTGCAGACATTTGGTTTAGACACTCATATCTGATTCTCTTCTCTCCCCAGCATTATCTAGTCCCAGATCTCTTGTAAAGTGTTACGGGTTTCGAGAAGTCAATCTTTGGGACATACTCACACCAGGCTTACTCTAGTGTTTTTCTTTGATTCCTTCCTTAGCTAATCTCCCCTCAATCTGCCCTGCCTTTCGTACCACGACACTTTGGGGGCCTTGTTGCTCAGGACTTTTTGTTATGTAGGCAGAAGCGACAGCCTCAGGTCTGTAAGTTTCATTCCATAAACTAGCTCTAATTCTTGACAAGTTGTATTTCATGTCAGTATCAAGTCATGGCAGTGTTGACGTAGATGTTAGAAATGCACTCTGACATGGTCATACTTCCACCAAATGTCATCATGAGAAGTATCTTCTCACTTATAAGATGCATCACCTGGCAATGCTGACGAGAACACATAAATATCGACGGTTGTGTGACACCCGGTTGCTTTTACGTTGGATACCATTTCATACGCAGAGTCCTGACAAAGCAGGAATAGCACGTGTGCCCCGTGAGATCTGACATACAGTGCTGGTGTACAAACTATGGTACTGGAGTTTCAAGAGTGGAAGACGTTCTCAGAGACAGGAGGGTGAATTGCCTAGCTTTGGAAAATAAGAAAGTAGTAAGTCAGTGTAAGCCCTTCCACCAATGTTGACCCATCCCCGGGATGTTGTGTATTCATTCGATTAACAGTGTTTCTATAGTTTACCTGCTTGACACCCTGTTAAGAGGAATTACTTTTGAACGGTAACCGCTCAGAAAGTCTAAGGGCAATGCAGATTCGTCACAAGTTACCCAACATCGCAGGTGTGTTTCACATATAAAACCAATGAGTTGCAAGTAAGCTTAGATTTTTTTCTCTAGCCAAACTTTCTCACTTTATAGAACATAAAGTGAATTCCAGAAAGGTTAAATAATATACTCTGAGTCCACAGTTATACAAATAAAATAACATTATTAATTGTCTATCCCGTTACACCCAAGCTGAAAGGTATACATGAATTTTTACAAATGGGGAAGACTTTTGGTATTTCCAGTAGACCTTTTCCAAATATCTAATTTATTGCCCACAAATATTCCTTCAAACAGGCTATGAGCCCAAAGATAACAATCTTTAACGATTTAGGAGGAAGATCGTACTCATTATTGTCCAGTATGAAATAAGTTGTAATGCTCTGGCTGCTGTCCGGGCTCAGTGAAACTGCCTCCCGGTGCCTCACTTGGGCTGTCACACACCGTGTCTTTACGACTGCGTGTCCTGCAGCTGATACCTGTGCCCACGGACTGGGATGTGATGCAGACTTCTTGCTCCTGAAAGCATTTCGCTTCCACTACATGTGCTTTAGATGATGGCAGAATGAGATGAGTCTATGCAAAGGTTGACTACGATTACGTATCATTTAAGAATGGTTTTTTAAAAGCCTATTAAAAGCGTGAAGTGACTGGATTCTTGCGGGATGGTTTGCTACGTTACCAAAAAAAAAGCATGACATGATTTGCCTCTGTAGTCTATACGTTCTCCCCTTTATAACCTACAGTCCTGTCCACTCTCAACTCAAATCGCCAAGCCTAGGGTTCATAGCACAAGCACGCTATTGACGCCATCCTGGAATGCACTTGGCATTAGGACTTACTGCAACCGGCATACAGGAATGCGATAGTGGATGATATGTAGCATGATGTGTGATCTCTGACATTCCTTATAATTCTTCTGTTCTCATCTCCTTTTTTTTTTTTCCTTTCTATTTCAATTACTTTGAGCAGCATCAAGAAAAAATTACCAATCCACCAAAATGAGTAAGTCCCCCGTGAAGCCATGAAATGCTTGCTCTACATGATGCCATTTCATGCTTCTACATCCTAAACTCTGACCATTTTCTCCTCCGGGAAAAATGTCAAGTTTAGGTGTCGATAGCTCTCATTACTGACTAATCACTAGAACCTGAATTGGAAAAGCTAACAAGACCTAGCTGAGTTTACAGTTTGTTTTTAGAAAGAGCTTAAAAAAAAAAAAAAAAAGCGACCAGACGCTAACCACCCCACATTGCAAGGCCTGTGTACGTGCACTGATTTTCATTTTTGTTTCTCCTCCTTTTACTTGCCCCTCACTCAAATCTCTCCTGGCGTTCTTTCCCCTCCTGACTCGGCTGCTCTCTGCCAACAGACTGGCCCACCCTGAAGGAAGTCTTCCAGACCTTGCCATGATGAATCTGACCGCCAGCCTGGAGAAGCCGGACTTGAAGAAGCTGGCTGAGTCTGGGGAGGACAGACCAGAGGAATGCCCTGAAAAGGCTGAGCTTGGGAAAGACAGCGAAGAAGAGGAGGAAGGGGAGGAAGAGGAGGAGGAAGAGACATCAGGTAACCCGCCCACTACCAGTAGCTGCTCAGAAAATCCTGGCTGACCGACTCCGTGAATGAAACTGACATGTGCCCGATGGATGTATATTTGAAACAGTCTGAAATAAAAATTGGGGTGGGGTCTTTTTTGCGATTGTTACAACATTCCAGTTCTAGTTGCTCCCATCATTTCTGTGTGGTTCTGATTTAGAAGAAGAGAGCAGATGACTGGTTATCAACTACTGATCTGCCACAGGTGATCCTGGCCAGAACCAGAGGGGGGTGGCTCTAACCTCCGTTCAGTAGAAATCCTGGCCAGGACATTTCCTACCGGCAGCAGAGGCAGGCAGCTGTGTAGACTTTCAGAAAGTTCTAGACGGGGCCTTTTCAAATGCATTCTCGAAAAAGCCAGGCTGGGACTTCTCCAGGGAACTGGTCATTGAGAACGTATTTGTAATTCAGCCGTAATGTTTCAGGACCTGGGAACCAGTGAAGCACATAAGCAACAGGACGATTAGCATTTGAAGCCAACTCCTAGAGGTGTTTCTCTTGTTGTTGTTATTTTAGGTTTTCTCCCTCCTTCTTCTTTAGGCTCTTTTTTCCTGTTTCTCTTCGTAGACTTGAAATAATGTTTCATAGGGCATGACGGAGATCTGGACCGCCGTGGTGATCAGGACGCCTTATCTGACAGCGAGCAGAGAACACGAGGCGCTTCACTCAGTTTAGCAGCTCCCAGACACTATGGGAGGAAAGATTGCATAGCCTTTGGGGTGGTGGCCTGGGGCATGACAGTGATGTGCTGCACTTGACTTTGCTGGTGTTCTGTGCTTTATGGGCTGAGGAAATGAAAAAGCACAAGGCAGAAGATCCCTCCCAAAGGCACACTCCCCCAAACCTGGTCCCTTTACTCCCTCATCTCAGAAGACCCCGAGAGATGCCCAGAACTGCCCTTTCCATATCTAAGCACTGGCTGTTCCTCAGGGTGAAGGAGCACCGAGCTCGGTGGGACCAAGAACCCAGGACTAAGATTTGCTGTCCTACTTCATGAAGGTTTTGAGCATTACTAATAGGATCTCACTAAAGTTGGATTTCATTTTTCTGGCATCCCCCCACACACCTGCCATCCACACCTCTAAAGTATGCTCAGTTATGACTGGAATCTTTGTATCGACTCTTATCTGAGTCACTTTGTAAATAGCCATTTTTCACGACGACGGCTGAAACTTCACTTAAACTTTTCGGACCAAGTACAAGAACTGTTACAACCACCCCAGCCACGTGAAGAAGCTACTTAGACACGCTCAGGTCTTTATCTGCCTGGGCTCGTGAGCTTTTGTCCACACGTGTGGTGACGTGCTGATACCACAAAATGCTTCTGTCCTGACCTCCCTTTAGATGAACCAAGACAGCCCTTCTAGACAAAAGCATGACCCCAGTCTGCAAAATATTACTACTTGGCACAAGGTGGAAAGAGGGAAATGACTAATTTGCTTAAAAATTATGATTAGAATTCATCTGACCACATTTCATGAACTGGGACCGGGTCATTCAGACCCTTGGTGTTCATTCCCAATTTTGAGGAGGCTCGCTCCCCCAGGGCCACTGGTGAGCTTCAGCCAGGCTCTCTTTAAGCCCCGGGTTGGGGGGAGGTGGGGGTGGACGAGACCGGAACTTATGGAAGCCTGGTTTTGGCAAGGAAGATGTCATTTAGAGGGAGCTCGGTTACTGAATATTCCCAAGAAACTAGGGAATTATATCTCTCAGCCTTAGAAGTAAATAAGGTCAACATTCCTCTTCACACTAACTTAATTAACAGGTGGATAAAAATCCTCGTCCCTCCGAGTCTCAGCATATGGTGTCTGCATCATCATGATGTGGGATTCTTAGACCGCCCTTCCTCCAGATTTTGATATTCTTAGAATTCATCCACTACTGTTATTTTGCAGTTTCTCGTTCCAGTCTGCATAAGATATGCTTTAAATAATAATGCAAACAAAAAAGCCACCCACATTTTTTTATGCTCTTGGGTGAATTTAACTATTTTGCAGATTTAAGAAACAAATGGCATCTGGTGATTGACCGCCTCACCGTGCTCTTCTTAAAATTCCTGGAGTATTTTCACAAACTGCAGGTGTTCATGTGGTGGATTTTGGAGTTGCACATCATCAAAATTGTTTCATCGTACATCATCTGGGTCTCTGTGAAAGAGGCAAGTGAATGTTTGTTGTATCTTCAGGCCAAGCAGAACCCCAGTGGGTCAACATTTCCCGTTTCCAACTGTCCACGATTTTGTTTTAAGCGTAATTCCCACTACCTTAGAACACCAAGGCTCTAAGAGGGCGCATACCCTTTGACATATGGAAAAATCAAAGGGCAGTTGCCCTGAGAGGTGGGAAGGATAGCAGGGCAGAAAGAGGCTCCTGGCTGAGTTCTTGATTGGCTTGTTCATGTCAGAAGGGTTACTTATTTTCATGTAGTCTTTGGTGGAACTGTGTGAGAGCAGGCTACTGTTCTGCAGAACCTGTGGAAATCTAGCTCCATAAACTGTGTGTGAGGAAAGCAAGAAGATTCCAGTTTACCAAGGAGTAAATTCAGCTTCCCAACTTTTTTTTTAAATTTTTTTCATGTTTATTCCTTGAGAGAGAAAGAGAGCATGAGCAGGGGAGGGGCAGGGAGAGGGAGACACAGAACCCGAAGCAGGCCCCAGGCTCTGAGCCGTCAGCACAGAGCCCGACACAGGGCTCACACTCATGAACCGTGAGATCATGACCTGAGCCGAAGTCGGACGCTTAACCGACTGAGCCGCCCAGGAACCCCTCAGCGTCCCAAATTTAATAAAAAGTGTGGTAGAGTTCAGCTTGTTGATTATTGGGTGTTTTGTGACAAGACACAGTGTTTCAACATTGTACTGCAGTTCTGTTTTCTCATTTGGAAAGGGGAGAGGCATCATTCCGCCAACAAATCTATGATGCATACTGTGGAGAGATTAGCTCTCTTTCAGTTTGTTCAGCAGATAATTTCTGCATGTTTCTGATCTGCCTGGACTAGTTTTGAGTGACAATTCAAAAGAGTCTTTGCGCTATGAAAATTAAGTCAGGGAACAACTGCCTCTAATTTTTTTAAAAGTTAAATAATAACATCATACTACCTGAAATATTCATGAGAAGGTCACTAGGGATGCACCTTATTTGAGCTCCCCAGTCTAAACTAGACCTTTCTCCATTTTATACAAACCATCTGGAATGGATCTGTGATCACTGCCAGATGGGAACAACAACTCCCTGTGAGAGATGTATAGAAGAGAGTGACATATACTCTACTGTTAACTAACAGTCTCCACATTAATTAGAACTAAAATCTCGCCTAATATGCGTGTTCACTGAGGAAGAAGAAGTTTCAGCATTTTAACTGCAGAAGTAAATCTACCAAGTCAGACAGAATTTGAGGGTCAGAGTATTAAAACAGCAATGAAGGGACGCCTGGGTGGTTCGAGAGCATCTGACTCTTGATTGTAGCTCAGGTCATGATCTCACAGTTTGGGAGTTCGAGCCCCGCATCGGACTCTGTGCTGACAGCACAGAGCCTGCTTGGGATCCTGTCTCCCTCTCTCTCTCCCCCTGCCCCCCTCGCCATCTAGTTCTCTCTCCAAATAAGTAAAAATAAACTTAAAAAAATAGAGAGCAATGAAGAAGGGCAAGAGAAGGCATTTGCCTAAAATCCACAAAGGCTGTTTCTGAATTAACCAAATCTGATGCACAGATCTCTTCTGATGGCATGAGAAGTTGTTGCACAGAAGACAATATTATGATGGGCCTGGGCGTTAAATGAAAGAAATTAGGGCACAGAAAATCCACTGTCTGAAATCCATCCTACAGAGTTCAGACAGAGAAATAAAAGAGTTAAATGATACCACGTTCTTACAAATCCCAAATGTGTTTGTTAAAACCGTCTTAATGAATCCCAAGAATGCCCTGTTAATAGACTGTCAAGTAGATAAAGCAACATGATCTGTTCACCCTGTTACACCATTAGGAAAATGGCCTTTGATAGCACATGACATTTCCTTCTCTAGGATCCATACATTGTGCACACTTCCAGGATTGTCCTTCCTAATCCCACCTCTTTCACCTGTAAGTTTAAAACACATCGGGGCACCTGGGTGGTTCAGTCAGTTAAGTGTCCGACTTCGGCTCGGGTCATGATCCTACAGTCCATGAGTTGGAGTCTGACGTCGGGCTCTGTGCTGTCAGCTCAGAGCCTGGAGCCTGCTTCGGATTCTGTGCCTCCCTCTCTCTCTGCCCCTCCCCCACTCACACTCTGTGTCTCTCTCTCTCTCTATCTCAAAGGTAAATAAACATTTTAAAAAATAAAATAAAAAATAAAACACATCAGAGGCTCCTGGATCAGAGAAATTCTGCCCCCACTCCTACTAGCATCTGCCAGAGACCCCTTGTTGTGAGATGGTTAGCCCCCAAGTATATCAGCCCAGCTTCACCTGCTGTCATCCCACCCACATGAGGGGTTTCCGGCCCCAAAGGGTGAGTTCCTGCATGAGCCTTGGATGTCACGAGGTCTACCCTGTCTGCACGCTGACTTTGGTCTCTTGGCTCCCTTCATTGCTGATGAGTATTGAGGTCACTGGAATATCAAGGATCAGAACATGTGGGGTGGAATCATAAAACACACTTTACTTTGGACCTCTGCTGTCCCTTTAAAATGTATTGTACAGAGAAAGTTTTCTCCATGCCCCTGAATGCTAAATGCTGTCTGATCATTCCTAGGTAACACAAAGTACTATAGTTACCTCAGGTAGCAAACAGAATCTCACTTCATTAATTAGACTTGTCCAGCCACAGAAAAGAAGCAAACTCTCATCTCTCTCTCTCTCTCTTTTTTTTTTTTTTTTTTGCATGAAGGTGGAGTGTTCCTATTTTTTTTTTTAAAGCTTTTGTTTAAATTCCAGCTAGTTAGCATACGATGTATGTGCAATATAGTGATTCAACCATTCCAGAGAACACCCGGTGCTTTTCACAACAAGTGCAATCCTTAATCCCCATCACTTATTTCATCCACCTCCCCCCTACCCCATCCCCTCTGGTAACCATCAGTCTGTTCTCCATAGTTAAGAGTGTGTTTCTTGGTTTGCCTCTCTTTCTCCTTTTTCCCCCTTTACTCATTTGTTTTCTTAAACTCCACACATGGGTAAAATCATATGGCATTCATCTTCCTCTGACTTATTTCACTTAGCAGAATACTCACTAGCTCCATCCACGTCACTGCAAATAGCAAGATTTCACTTTTTTTATGGCTGAGTAATATTCCATTGTGTGTGTGTGTGTATGTGTGTGTACATATATACATATGTATCCATTCATCAGTCATTGGATAGATACTTGGCCTGTTTCTATAATTAAGCTATTGTAGATAACGCTGTTATAAACACCGTGGCGCATGTATCCCTTTGAATTAGTGTTTTTGTATTCTTTGGGTAAATAGCTAGTAGTGCAATTGCTAGCTCCTAGAGTAGTTATCTTTTCAACTTCTTGAGGAATTTCCATACCATTGTCCACAATGGCTGCACCGGTTTGCATTCCCACCAACAGTGCAAGAGGGTTCCCCTTTCTCCACATCCTTGCCAACACCTGAACTCTGATCTCTTTTCAGGTAGAAGCAAATCCTTTTCTAGTGGCTTCTTTCTTTTTCACACATACCTCCCCTCACTGCCTTCCTCCTTACCCCCACTTCCAGTGAACTAACTTCCATTACGTGACCTCCCGGGCTGAACGACAGCGTCAGGCAGGAATGGTGGTGTGCTATCGTAGGACGGCCTCACACTGAGCTGGAGGGGATCAAATCTTCCCTTTCTTTCATGGGGCTCTTCTGCCTCCTGGTTTCCCAGCATCCTCTCCTTCCAGACACTTTCCATTGGAGTCTCGTCACCCGTGCGGCCAGTGCCCCTGAGCAGGACTTAGAATAGCTCTGGGCACTCTCTCTTTCTCTGTCTCTCTCACGATTCAGGTCCAAAGGCAGCACTCACACTGCTAGTGTATGTGGGTCCCCATGAGGCAACTCCTGTGCCTACTCACCAAATCCCTGGCAGCCGGATTTCCTGGCTGAAGTTGGACATCAGTGTCCAGACCGCAGAGTACATGCATCAGCGTCTCTGCGTGGTGCTGCTTGGAGCTCCTTGCTCGCTTGGGGTTTGGGTGAAGAATGTAGCGTCCCTTCCTTCCCACCCCATCACCTCATAAGGGGGGGACTGACAGAAGCACCTCATACAAAGAAATTTCTTCACACTCTGTCCTGTCACCTTCACCATCTTGACCCATCTGTACCCTCTCAGTGTGCCTTAAAGACCTCTAAACGGTTTTCCATCAACGGTTTTGATTTGAAATGTCTACATGGCTGGCTAATACTTCATTTTGGAATCTTTTGCTTCCATCCATTCTAACTTGGTGCCTCATGTGGCTTTGACTGAAGTCTTTCTATACTGAGTACAGTTGAGGAAGAAAGACAACCATTGACTCTCATAAGGAGCTGCATGCCAATCCAGAGTATGATGTGTCTAAATCTGATCTGATTATAACAGAGGCAAGTGTATGGGGATTCTAATGGTGGGGGAATGGGCAGGAGGGGAACCATGTTGCACAGTTCCGGGGGCAGTGTTCACCTGCGAACAGCAACTCCCCAACGTTGTGCACCTCTGAGGTGCCGATTTATACCTGCAGGGGCCTCTTCTGCTTTGAAGGCTTGGCTTATCCTCAGCCAAAGAAGCCCATCAGCAATGACATTTGCTACATATATTTTCCATTTGTAGCTTATTGATTTTGATCAGCGCAAAAGATACTCTTTCTCAAACACTGCTAATCAGTAAATGGCAAAATGAGAACAAAGTCAACAACCCCAGTGAAGTCTTCATCCTTATCTAAGGTCATCAGCAAGGCCACTTGTTTTCACAAACTTTCGGGGTCATTTCTCAGGTCATTTTGGAATCAAACATTAAACCTTTCCAAGGCTATCATCATAGGCATCTGAGGAAGAAGAGGCCATGAGAAAGAATTTGTTGCAGAGGCCTTTCTTTTATTTTATTTTTTTAAGTTTACTTATTTATTTTGAGAGACAGAGACAGAGAGAGTGAGCAGGGAGAAGGGCAAAGCAAGAGGAGAGAGAGAATCCCAAGCAGCCTCTATGCTGTCAGTACACAGCCGGACACGGGGACGCGGGACTAGAAATCATGAACGGGGAGATCGTGACCTGAGCCAAAACCAAGAGTTGGATGCTTAACTGACTGAGCCACCCAGGCGCCCCAACAGAGGCCTTTCTTTTACATCACCTCCTCTTACCAGAGCAACACCACATAGGAAGGACCTAGATTTTAAATATATATAACGCTGTCTTCTTTTTGTATGTGCAACTACATTCCTAGAAAGCTCTGAGAGATCAGGTTATTCTTTGAGGAAGGGGCCACACCTTATTTTAGTACCCTGAACAGCTCCTCCAGAGGCTGGCCAGTTGTGGAAGCTCAATAAATGTTTACTGACTGAAGGAAATAAATAAAACCTTGAAAGCTTGAGATTGTCCCCAGATGTCAGTTGATGTTTCATTATGATTCTCACTCTCACTCACCATTCATTTAGCCTTTGTTATGTACTTAAATTAAATTACAATAAGCTGAACGCTTATACTGTGCTAGACGTTGGCACAAAAGTATGAAAGACACATCTCTTGTCTCTGCTCGCAGTCTGATGGTCATGGCTGGCAAATGAAGCCAAAGTCACATTAACGGCCAGATTAGAGGGGCCCCCAGGAGGCTGTGAGTGCAAGGGAAGGGTGTCATGCAGGGGTGTGTCACTGTGAAAGTGATCACCGAAGCTGCAGGTGCTCTGAGGGAGGAGGCCACCTGGGCCAACACACGGCTGGGGAACCACGGTTTTCAGGGACCTCTCTTTCAAGGCAGTGGCCTCAAGCCTTACAAATTTATATTCAGAGAAAATGGCGATTTGTGGAAAAACGTTTTGTGAGGAAGGCTTGAGGCATAAAATTACTTTCCCAAGGTACTTGATAATAAGAATCACCTGGATACTTGTTAGGTACAAGGATGACCCAGCTCTTTCCCTAGAAATTCTGGTTCATCAGATATTGGTTGGGTTCCAGGTACTTGTCTTTGTTTTTTGCTTTTTAAAGGACATTTCACGAGATTCCTACCATCAGGGAAAGGATGAAACCGTTGTCAACCAAGATTGTATTGAACAAAGTATGGTCCTTCTCTGAGTCCCTGTTGTCCCACCTCACAGATGCTGTTCAGTCCTCATTTTCCTGATTCTCTATGACATCGGATATTGACAATCATTTCCTTGTCCTTGAAGCGCTTTTGTCACCTTCCAAAACAGCACACTTCTGTGGCCTCCCTTCTGCCTCATTCGTGGCCTCCTTCTCTTCCCACCAATTCCTCTCTTCCTTAGGTTTCATCCGCAGTCCCCTTTTCTGATTCTAGACCCCCTGTGGGTGGTCTCATGAGCTCCTGTGGTTCACTTGCTAATTACGTGCGAGAATTATAAATCTGTGCCTTCATCCTGTCCATTCTTTGAATTCCAGGCCCGTTTCTCAAAGTGACAGCTGGACATGACCTTATCCCTGAATGTCCCCAAAGCACCTTCAACTAAATATGTCTAAAACTGAGTCCCCTACCTCCACAGCAGTTTCCTATTAGATTACTCTACCACATGTCCAACCCTGTTCCAATCTCTTCTCCTGCCAGTATGTATTCCATCATGCAGCCAGAACCTCTTACCAGTGTATAAATGTGATCCTGTTAATCCTCAACTCAAAAACCTTCACCAGCTCTCCTGTCCTCACAAACATGAGATATAGGACCCCCGTGATCTGGCCCTAGAGCACTTCGCCATTTTCTTTCCCAAACACCCTAGCCTACCTAGGTGGATTCCAAAGCCTTCTACAGGGACCCTGATCACAGTCCTCTCCTAGTGAGCTGCTTGCGGCACCAAGGACATCCACTCCATGCTCGCTTTCTCCAGAAGGCCCCATCCCTACAGTTCCTCTGCCTGGCTAACTCCTGTTTGTACCTCTGGTCTCGGTTTACATTGAATGCCCTTGAGCAATCTTCCCTAATCCCTGACTAGCCATTCAGCCCTGTGCTCCCATACAGCCAGCATCAGCCCAGGCAGATATCCCCTCCACCATATTGTCATGAGCCCTTTATTCAGTTCTATTCTGCACTGCCTCATATGTTTCTTGACGCCAGGGATCCACACAGGATATGATACTTTGAACCTAATTAAGACTTAATAAAATAGATCTTTTCTTCTCTTTCTCTAACACTCAAAAGATGAAGAGTTGTATGTAAATTCATTGTGCTGTTTTTATACTCAGTGCCTTAAATACATAATAAAAGGAATAATGAAGAGCCTTAATGTCATAGTAGCTTTACTAGGCTTACAGAATTCATTGAGGAGGAAAGGATGTTTTTTAACATCCCAGTTAACATGACACTTGCCGATGACTGAGGATGAGTCACTTAGCCATCAAAGTATTTTGTTAAAATGTAACATTTGTTGTGTTTGTGAGTGTTGTATACTTCACAGGGCAATATTTCTTTCCTCCTCAATTAATTCTGTAAGGCAGTTCTTACTACCCTAATATTTCAGCCCTTAATTCCCAGAGAGGTCCCTTGCCTTGGACAGTGACAAATAATTAAGTAGAAAAGTAGTAGCTAACAAATTACAGAATTAAATACTGTCCTGGAATCTCCACACTTCCTGTTCTTTAGTTTTATAGACCAAACAGGCATCCATGTTTTTGATAGCCCATAGTGTGCTTAGCCCTTTGTACCTGTTGAATTTTATCAATTGAGCACATGCTGCTAATGTTAATTAATTCATGCCGATAATATTGAATGTCCTTAGGACATTACTTTAACAATATTAAGATATTATTTTAATCATTATTTTAATCACATGAGTGTTTTCCATGGATGAGTAAGATGGCTGTGCTTCCATATTGTTCAGCGAACCATTGGCTATGGAGAACAGTTGGAAATGAGTGGACATACCACCTGATTGATAAACATACATGGAGTCTACACCCAAGCTGCAGTCACTGCCTTCCCTCTTTACACCTGCCCCCTCCCCCCACAAGATCATATCTCAGTAGCGGCCCTGTCATCTTCTCAAGGCTCTGGCTCCCAAGCCAGAAACCTGGGAGGCATTCTTATGGCTCCTCCTTTACCCCACCCATCACCACCTCCAAGCCAACCAGCCAACAACTCCAGCTAGTTTTACGACCCATCTCAAATCTGTGACTCATCCCCGTCTCTGCCCCATTGCCCTAGTTTGGGCTCTGGTCATGCTCTCCTGGCAGCACATGTAAGCTGGTCTCCTCACCTCTCATTGAAGGTGATGTACCTCCATTCTTCAGTCATACTCATTTCAACAAATGAAAGTCTTTCCTGAAGATTTTCCCTGGGAAGTCTTGGCTCTCTATTTTCTTTTTGTTTGTTTGTTTTTTTATTTTTTTTAATGTTTATTTATTATTGAGAGACAGAGAGAGACAGAGCATGGGCAGGGGAGAGGCAGAGAGAGGAGGAGACACAGAATCCAAAGCAGGCTCCAGGCTCCGAGCTGTCAGCGCAGAGCCGGATGCAGGGCTCGAAGTCACGAACCGCAAGATCATGAGCTGAGCCGAAGTCGGATGCCCAACCGACTGAGCCACCCGGGCGCCCCTTGGCTCTCTATTTGCTGCACAAGGTGTTCATAGGCCATAGCATGGTTTAAAAAAGGTCCATAAAAGTTCAGCACCCAGCTGCATCTTGATCCTCATTTGCTGCTGCAGCTCACTGTGTTCAACTCCAGAATTTCCAGTGGTTTGTGATCATCTGTCCCTACCATGCCACCTCATGCTTTCCTGCCTTTTCTTATACATCCTTTACCTGGAATATGCTTCTCATCTTTCTTGGCCTGGCTGGCTTTATGCATCATTCAAGGCTTCGCTCAGGCAGTATCTCTTCCGGGAAATGTTCTGGAAGTTCCACATTGGCCAAGGACCCCCTCTGGGTATTCTCATAGAAGCCTGTTCCCATCTATAGTTGAGCCACTACTATGCTGTATTAACATATCCTGGTTATGTATCTTTCTGCCATATGAGATATCTCCACACATACGGCAACGCCCTGTGTGTGCTGGGAACTCCATCAAACTCTGCTGAACTGAGTAAGTCGAGTTGCCGCATTGTGTGGATGTTATGCCGTATTATGTATTTTTGTCCCCATTTCTGATTTTTATGTTTTCAGGTGTCACTGTTCAACTCTGTATTTTTGATTTCTTGGGCTTTTGCTCTGCCATACGCCAAGCTACGCCGTCTGGCTTCAAGTGTCTGCACCGTCTGGACGTGTGTGATCATCGTCTGCAAAATGTTGTACCAGCTGCAAACCATTAAGCCTGAGAACTTTTCTGTTAACTGTTCCTTGGTGAGCCTCAAAGAGAGGGGAATCTTCTTGACTGGGGCTTAGGGAAGCGAGGCGGCTATTGGGAAACCCATACCCCCAGGCACACTCTGCCTGGCCTTCCAGTCACCTCAGCCATGTTGGATATGTTCTGACCCTTCTTCTCTTCTCATGCTAAGTAAGATCTTCCCCCTGAAGTGGATCTTTCCCTCCCTGTCCCCACCAGGTCCCTTTGCTGGAAGCTGAAGGAGAAATTTTTAACCCCATGTTCTCTTCTTTTCAGCCAAATGAAAACCAAACAAATATACCCATCCACCAGTTGAACAAGTCTCAACTCTACAGCACTCCTATTGACCCAACAGAATGGGTCGGCCTGAGGAAATCTTCCCCTCTGCTCGTCTACCTGAGGGTAAGGCCTCCGTCATGCTTCGCTTGTGCCTCTGCACAGTTAATGCCTGAGATCCTCTGCCTTGAGACCTCTGATATCACATTTGAGAGGAAGCTAACCTTTTTATGTGACATTTGGGGTCACATTTAAAACAAATGACTAAGCATGGCCATCAGTGTTGCATTGTACCAAACAGAAATTGATCAAGTAGTTTGAAATTGATTGAATAAAGTATAACAAATGTAATATTCACTGGAATATGATGTAAAAGATTGTAGACTGATACTGTGAGATGTTGAACGATGTCCAAAATATATTCACTTTTTAAAAAAAAAAAAGCAAATTTCAATACACCATATGCATCATATCTCTTCTAGATGCAAAGAAAAACATTAAGTAAAATATACCAAATTGTATATAGTGGTTATTTCTGAGAAGCAGCTGTAGATTTATGAGTAATTTTTGCTGTCTGAATTCAATTTCTCTATAATGTTTAATGAAAGACATGTATTATATTTAAAGGGAATACAATTTTAAACAACATATCTTTGAAAAGAAACTTGCAACCAGTCCTAACAAACAGAATGAAAGCAGTATATACTTTAGACTGTTCCTATTTTAGTTTGATTGGATGATCTGAGCAGTCTTCCTAACACACTGACAGAAACACTTTAAAAAAAAAAGCATTTATACTCAATGCCTGGAATTTTTAAATGTACAAGGCATCCCCTTTTTTGTGTGTAGCTTTCTCTTCTCATATGACAGACATCATGTGCAGCAATACAAATGCTCTCCACCATCAAGACCTATTATAAGGGTAAAAGGAGCTGGCATTTGAAAAGAGCAATCAGAACAGTGTCTGGCCACATAAGGTTCCATAAATGTTAACGACTTTCAGTATGATTCTGATTACTTTGTCATAAGGAGCATGCTTGTCAGTGTGCAGCTCTCTCTAGCCAGATTTCCGAGGTGTTAAAAGATTTCTGCTCCAGCTTTAGTGTGTTTCCCAGATGGCCCTGTACTGTTTTGCACCTTTACTTGCAAACGAGGTGGACCACCCTCCCCAGGCAACCGTTCACTGCATCTTCCTATGGGTGGTGTACTTTTCCAGAAACAGGTATGAGCATCACCAGCCCTCTGTCTAGAGTTTCTAGATCCTAGTATCACGGGAATCACCCTGATTGGCAGAATGCACGTAAATCCACCTCATTACCGTACCATAGGGAAAATGAACTTTGAACCCAAGGCTTTTACAGAGGGGGGATTTTATAAAGCATTGTTCTTCTAGACACCACGAATGGGAAAAGAAATAATATATTGTGGGGATTGTTTAAAATTACCCAGCTCAAGCGTTTGGCTTCGCACAATTGTGTTTTCTTGCTTTGTAGAATAATCTGCTGATGCTGGCCATTCTGGCCTTTGAGGTTACAATTTACCGCCATCAGGAATACTATCGAGGTCGAAACAACCTCATGGCCCCTGTGTCTAAAACCATCTTTCATGACATTACAAGACTCCATCTAGATGATGGACTTATTAATTGTGCCAAATATTTCATAAATTACTTCTTCTACAAGTTTGGTCTGGAGGTGAGTTTCTTTGCTGACATATATGTTTTTCTGTTTTCTGTGAAAATCCCAATCGCTGTTTTTGGCCAGTTGGCCACTGGAGCTTACTTGTACACCTCCATGCTGTGATGACTGTCTTCTTCAGATCAGCAGAAAGAGATTCTCCTAAAGGGTTAACCTGGCCTGGCTGAAAGTTTTCTGAGACCAAGGCCAGTGCTCCATACTCTGGAGCCATGAACTTGGCCCCTCTGGATCTCTGTAGCCTTACAGATGCATGAATACCACTTTGTCATTTTAACTGGTTTCTTTAATGTGTTATAAATCTTCTTTGTGTTCTTTGCATTCTCTCTGAAAGTTTAACTTGAGCCAAAATGAACTGCTTTGACCTGAAAGGGTTGCGGTAGGTGCCTGTCTCTTAACGGAGCACATTTGGAACATGAAGAGATCATAGCTGTATTCTCTTCACAGTGTGAAGCGGTTCTTGCTAACAGTGATGTAGTCAGTCTTTCCCTTGGCAGTAATTTATATGCTATTTCAGTCTTCATGCTGAAAGACACCCCAAAGAGGCAAGACTTGGTGAACGTGTGTAGACAGACCTACCCTCAGGAATGCAGGTCTCTGAGGCACCTGCCCAGGGCTGACAGGTGACACCACTCCCCTTCTCTGTAAATCCGATTGTTTTTTGTTTTTTGGTTTTGTTTTTTTTTCTTCTTCTTCTTTTCATCCTTATACAGACCTGTTTCCTAATGTCAGTTAATGTAATCGGTCAGCGAATGGATTTCTATGCCATGATTCACGCCTGCTGGCTAATCGCTGTCTTGTATCGGCGCAGAAGAAAGGCCATTGCTGAGATCTGGCCCAAGTACTGCTGCTTCCTGGCATGCATCATCACCTTCCAGTATTTCATCTGCATCGGCGTCCCTCCGGCTCCTTGCAGGGGTGAGTGGGCTCTCCCCAGGAGCCCGCCGCTCTTGTAATCAGCCCTTATGTTGTGGACAGTTGGGGCGAGGGCAGTGAAGAAGCGTATTGATTTTGCTCTTTACCACTTCCCTCCCTGCAGATTACCCATGGAGATTCAAGGGTGCTAGCTTCAACGACAACATCATAAAGTGGCTGTACTTCCCAGACTTCATTGTGCGGCCCAACCCCGTGTTTCTTGTCTGTAAGTGTTGCAGCCCCGGGGCCACGGAGCACTGGCGTTTGGTTGTCTCTTTGCAAAGTCTTCTTCATGTGTTATGCATTAGTGTCCCCCGCCTTCTTCCACTGCACTTTGCGATCATGTAAAAGCTTGTCTTGATGCATTAATATCACAGGTCCTTAATGGCTTCTACTTGCCCTATTACATTTGCAAAATTAATAAATAAACATTGGAAATACCATATCCACTTCCATGATTTTACCGCCCCCCCCACACACACCCAGTCTCCAGCGCCACCCCCCACCCCCGCACACACACCACCACTCCTCCGCCTTCCAGCAGGCAGACCGCAGAGGGAAGCCTTGTATTTTGTGAGGTGGGTTATTTCAGGCCGCTAGAACAGACAGACCAAAGCTGAAACTGAGAGGGTAGAAGCCAGGAAGATGCTACCCAAACTGCAGTTGCTCTGGTGCCGGGCTGTAGCCCCTGGCCCTTCCAAGGGCAGGCTGATGGTCCCAAGGTTGAAGCAGCCCCACCTAAGATGAGAGGGTCACCTACAGAGGGACCGTGCTGCCTACTCACACTCAGGTTGAACATAAAGTACGACGAAGCCACTGGTGCTGGAGGCTGCCAGCCTGTAACTGGCCATGATCTTCACCTGAGCTCCCTGCCTTCATTGCCGTGTCCACTCCAGAAAGGGTCTGGTTATAAGTACAATGGGGATCCCATAGAGGATGAAGAAAACCGGAAGTACCTGCCTCTACCATAAGTAAAAAGATAAAGATGGAGAAGTGTACTTGAGTGGCCTCCTCAAAATTCTGGTGGGAGATAAATGCAAGTAAACATCATCCCATAAGCAAGTCCTAAGACTAGTGATTATCACCTGATACTCATACCCACCAATGTGTAAACAAAATCCAGGATCCCCTGTGTCTGTGCCCCCCTCTTGCATCTTCCATGGTGGGCAAGGTGGGACTTGGCCCCAAGATGAGAATCCAAGGAGAACTGCACATTGGGAACTTTGGGAATGCAACTCACTCAGGATCTGGGGAGCCACTCCTGCCGTATGGGGACTGTTTCCTATATCATGGAAACCCGGATGAGGAGAAGGTGACTCAGTGATCTCTCTGTCCTGCCAGATGACTTCATGCTGCTCCTGTGCGCCTCCTTGCAAAGGCAGATCTTTGAGGATGAAAACAAGGCTGCAGTGCGGATCATGGCAGGGGACAACGTGGAGATCTGCATGAACCTTGACGCGGCCTCCTTCAGCCAGCACAACCCCGTGCCAGATTTCATTCACTGCAGGTGAGGGTGGCTGTGCGGGTCGAAAGCCATTTTGCATGTGCGTTTCACTTGGAAGCCGTACCTCGGCTCACAGTCCCTTCTCCCCGTTCTTGGGAAACTGGGCACCTACCTGTACATGCCAAGCTCATAAATGGAGAGGGTTTGCGATCGGGAGACTGGGTCTCAGAATTATGGTTCTGCTCCTGCTTTCTTCGGCATGACCCACACACGTCCCCTCTGTTTCCCTCTGCTTCATCACACACAAACTGACTGGTGCCCATGATACTGCTTCCTGGTGCTCCAGCAGAGACCCCCTGCTCTTGTTCACTGTCCCCCATCTTTATCTTCTGTTCCGACTCCTCTTCATCCCTTGTCCATCCTGATCCCCTGTTCCTCAGCTTTGTCCCCTGTACTTCTTCCCCTTCCTGGCCCCCCATAGCCAGTGGGCTCCATGGGAACCACAGTGTGTCCTGTGCTGGCACCCCCCCCCCCCATGTGCCATCTCCTCGGGTGTGCGGCTTCCCCCTGGCAGCACCTCCTCTGTCCTCCACCATCCTCTGCAGTCTGGTGGCAGCCGATCTGGGCAGCCTGATAGTCCCCTCTGTGGAGTGTGTGTCTGAACCTGACGAAATTTCTCACTATGCATTCCTTCTGTGTTCTCTGGGTTCCCAAGTCCTCATGCTTTTTTCGCCTGATGCCACTTTGTGGCGGGCATCCCACTGCCTCCAGAGTCAACTCTCACAGTCCAGCTCCACCCCTGTGGTCGGGGATCTGACAGGCTGGCGGGATGTTCTATTCCTCCTCGCTAGGTGTGTGCCCTTGGACTTGCCGATCCTCACTAACTAGCATCCACCCTCCAGTTCTGCTGTCAGGGCCCCGGGGAGGCTATGCATCAGTGCCACGTGGAAATCAGTCTTGTTCAAGCCAGCGTGCCTCTCCTCACCTGAGATTTGCTCCCTAGCTTCTGACTCCCAGAGTATCATGTTTGCATGGGATTGTTATTTGAAGAATCCAAACCTATTCCACCCCAAGTCTAAGATATAGGCAACTTAGGGCAAAGTCCACTTCTAACTTACTTTTCGTGTACATGCCTGCCCCCCATTTTTACCAATAGTCTTTGGCCTATAATGCATATAGCAATGTTAATAACAGCGGTAACTGAGTGCTTGCAGAGTGCCAGTCTCTGTTCCAGGTGCTTTACATGGATGAAGCCATCTGACCCTAACGACCACCTATGAGATACTGTTATTGCTATTTTGTGGATCAGGAATCTGAGCAAGGATCTGAAGCCAGTCAACCCAGCTCCAGTACCTGGGAGCTGAGGCCCTTCTGCGGCCTAAGAGCTCAGCATATACTGAACAAACCAATAAGTGAATTTGCTTTAAAATCATAAGCTATGTAGGGGCGCCTGGGTGGCTCAGTCGGTTAAGCATCTGACTATTGATTATGGCTCAGGTCATGATCTCACGGTTTGTGAGTTCAAGCCCCGTGTCGGGCTCTGCACTGATTGGGATTCTCTCTCCCCCTCTCTCTCTCTGCCTCTCCCCAGCTCGTGCTCTCTCTCTCTCAAAAAAATAATAAATATAAATAAATAAATAAATAAATAAAATGATAAGATATGTAGACCTATAGATTCCTTCTAGGAATAATGTATCATACTAAACACGAATATAAGCTAGGACTTCCACTTTCTACCTCTTCTCTGTGATACTAAGGGGAAAAAAAAATCAGTGCAGCTCATCTTTTTCCCTACTTTAAAGGGAAAAAGACATGTATTCCACTCTACAGTGCACTTATGAAAAGCCTAAAACGTCAACAAGATAACGCTTGTGCACCACTGATTTTTAAAGTGATATCTTTTCAAGATGGAATTATTTCAAGCTTTTAGTTCTGTTTCCCAATTAGGGCTGCCGGACAAGTACGCATCAGGGAGTGACCCATCACAAAGCACAGTCACGAGCTGGAAGCTAGCAAGCACTTGGCGGTCGGGGGCACCGTGGAGTCCCACACACCCTCTCCGTGGGCACGTGCTCGGCAGCTCTGGAAAGGAGCCTCTTAACCTCATGACATGCCACCATGGCTCATTCATGTGCTCCGGGACCCATGAGGCTCCTCTTCAGGGCACCTTGACTAGACTTTTCCATATGGCCCTCACAAGCTTGGTCTTAATGATACCTGAGACTAAAGCAGGTGAAGTGCTGAGGGGTGGAGGCCAGGACCCCTGGAGCAGGAATGAGAAGCAACTGCAGGCAAGGAAGGGAAATCCATGGAAAGCACATGGTGCACTACCACACACGTTTCTGTACACACACACGCTCACACCCAGAGCGCCAGCAGGCTGATCCTGCTGACTCCACAGCGCACACACGTACACACACACACACCAGAAGGCCCTGTGGGCCTTCCCATGTTACCCCTCGTCTGAATCATTAATTTCACCTGCAGTGCTTCCGGGATCCTGACATATACTGACATGTTATTCATTCTCCTTTGGGGAGGAAGGTAAAGAAGAGTGAAATAGATCTGAGATGAACATTTCAGGAAACAATTTTAAAGGATTGAGTGTTTTAGTCCCCAAAGGGTCAAGTTCAAAAGGTTGCTTATGTGACAGTGTACTTTTAGGAACGATGTTCTGTAATGATGCTGGGTAGTGGAGTCCAGATTTTATCAAGAAATTACTTGTTAACTCTTATAAAATCACAGCTCATTCATCAAATAACTGACCCACAATTGGTTCTACTATGCATTTGCCCTTACCTGGGAAAAGAAACAGCTAAAGCAAAACATCCAAGTTAAAGAAGCTCTAATTAAACAAACAGATGGGTCTTGGCCTGTGGGTACCACTTCCCTCAGCTGTCAGTGACCCATACTCCGAAGCTCCCAGCAGCTGCCATTTATTGCACAGTGAGTGACCTACAGGCTGCCTCACCTTTCATCAGGAAGGTCACAGGGAAAATTACTCCCCAAAAAGGAATCTTGACGCCATCCAAAGACACAGTGTTGGACAGAGCCTACAAGCCTCACCATGACCGTGTATGCTTTGTGAGAATTACTACTCATCTGCAGGGACAGACTTCCATCTCCAGTAAGACCTTCGGGTAGAACACAGATTCGTTTTATCTATTAATGTCTAGTTCATTGAAAGTGAATCCATTCTTCCCTGTTCTCTTGCTTCAGAAGGCATCTGTATCTTAGAATTTCTTCTAACATATAATTAATTTTTCATGCCTCCCACAGGAAGATAGGGAGGAATTTTGAGTACTCCAGTAATAGGCGGAAAATCCTGCTGTTTGTGGGAAATTTGGCCCAAATAAGATACTAAAAAGTATTTGCGCAGCTTACCTCTTCGTCTCTTACTAACTGGGCAAGAATTTCCTACAGACCTGGCAGTGTTGAATGAAAGATGAATATTGAGCCCACGGCCTGCCTTGCTTACAAGAGAGTCAAATGAGTAATATGAACTCCTACCCTCATTAAAGCAGAATCTCTCGACTTAGTTTTTTTGTGTGTTTGTATCATTGCCCTTTGATGGTTCGGTTTTGTTTTCCAGATCGTACTTAGACATGTCCAAAGTGATCATCTTCAGCTACCTCTTCTGGTTTGTCCTCACAATCATCTTCATCACGGGGACAACCAGGATCAGCATCTTTTGCATGGGTTACTTGGTGGCCTGCTTCTATTTCCTGCTCTTTGGGGGTGATTTGCTGCTGAAACCCATCAGGAGCATCCTGCGCTATTGGGACTGGCTGATTGCATACAACGTTTTTGTGATTACGATGAAAAACATATTATCAGTAAGTGCCTCCCACTGTATAACACATTTGTGGTTTCAGCACAAGAGTAAACAATCCATTCAGTGGTTATTAAAAGCCCAATTGCCAGTCACCCTGCTCTCTTAAAAGCCCCAAATGAGATGCTGCAAGGTCAGCATCTCAAGGTCACATGACAAGAGGATGTGTATTTGCATCCTAAAATGTACTTTTCAGTTAAAATCCCCTTTCTTCTGAGGGATAATTTATCACCATTCACACTTTGTGCTACAAAATGGCTCTTTCATGAGCTGAATTAGTCACTGAATCTCTTCCAAAGGCATATCATGTTGGCTTGCCTAGAAAGCATTATGGAAGTACAAAATAAAATGAGCGTAGTTCTCTGTAACACTGTAGGGTGGCGAATGAGGCAGAATGGGCTATTAAATGCACATTTCATGTACCCATGAGATGTAAACACACAGGAGAATGCAACTTTGTGGTTACCTCTGGGCAGAAGGGTCCTGATTAGGGCTCAGCTAAGCCAGTAGAGGGTTGAGGCAAAACAGATGTCCTTCCTCTGCAAAATTTAGCTGCTCTGCTATTAAATATTCATGTTTCAGGGTACAACTTGTCCCTTGGCCTGGTAGGTAACTTAGACTGCCCGCTAGTAATCCTAGAATTGCATCAAATATTTTGGCTCACAGAACAGCTTTTAAGTTACTTACTTGTTTCACGAAATTAAACGGCAACCTTGCACGAGCTGAATGAGTTAATACATCTCTAGCTGGCCTAAGTCAAAGCGAATCCTTGTGTCCACTACTCTCTAGTAGTGATAGTGCATTAGAGGAGGCGTGATGTGAGAATTTCCTGCTTCTCACCTTCCTGGCTACTTAAAGATGAGCTCGAGAGGCAAGTCTATGAAGGCATTTAAATTTTTTTTGACAGATGTACTGCTGTGTTTAGAGGTCTTGGAAAGCCAAGTGTAGGTTGCCATGAATATGTATTCAAGTCATTTACTTTGTCTAAGACCACTGAAATTTTGTCTAAGACCAGTTGATAGTAAAAGTGACTTTTATGCAACAATTTTACCCCACTGATCTTTATTTACGTTTGGGGTAGTATTGAAAGGTCTTGAAGAGGGTACGAGACAGGACTACAGAGTAACATTTTATTTAATAGCCAGTGTGATGGTGAGGGATCTGTTGCCAGAGGCCGATTCTTACAACCAGTCCTGAAAATGGTGTAGCTGCAAAGTCCATTCATTCATTCATTCATTCTGTAAACCTATATTGCAGACTTGTTCTTTGCTAGACATTACTTTTCTCTTGAAGAACTAGGTACAGTATTGCCTTCAAGTTTTACCCTAATGAACTCACACTCTAAAAGGGAAAACAAACCTACTTATTAGTTATTATAATTTGGTCTGTTAATGCTAATTATCACAACATCTTCGGAAAACCAGAACAAGAAAAAGGAGTGACTCATACCTTGCTTAAGTAAGTTGGGAGCTGACTTTCCAGACGCGATGCCATTTGAACCTGTCAGAGACTTGAAAACCGGAATCAAGGGTGTCCAGGGAGGCAAAGGGAGGAGGAGATTCCCAACCTAGAGAACCCAAATGAAAGCATGACCATGGAGGACAGGTATCATCACATGGAAAGCATGTTCCAATGGGCAGGGCAACTCAAGCTGGGTAACTGCCAGTTTGGAAGCAAATTCTAATGACATTTTCCTACCTCACATATCCCCAGGAAATACACACAATTCAGTCATCACCTTTACGTTTTGGCTGGCAATGATTGTTTGTTTAAACTCCTTCCCCCTCAAGATGTGAACTTAACATGCATCATTGTTATGAGACAACTACATGCCAATCAACAAAGAATAATCCTTTTCCCAGAGAATTGGCCAAAAAAGGCTCAGAATACATACTCTTTTCCTATTCTAAGAACTGAACAATGCAGCTGATGTTTGTGATGATCTTCTGACAAACAGCATAGGTGTAATTTGTCCGATCTTGTGGGAAAGTGACTGTACCAAAATCAAAGTCTTGGGGGTCATTGCTCACCCATTTGATATCACAGAGTTCATCTTGTTCCTGCAATAATCCAAGATTTTCTCTGTGAAAAGACAGAGGCTTCTAAGTGCTAAAATCATCACACTAAAGACTCTTCCTTTACTCATGGGATTTATCTTCCCCCAGGCAACTATGGTACTTCTAAAGCATCAAATGCATTGCCCCATGGTGACTGAAATTTATTTACTACAGGTTACCTCTGGAATCATTAGCACAGAGACTTCATGAATTCTTGCACATACGGAGATCACAAGACACCAACCTCTTTTGCTGGATGCAGGGTTTCACAGTTTGCCACTCCCATTTGTTTTTCAGATAGGAGCGTGTGGATACATTGAAAAATTGGTTCAAAATAGTTGCTGGTTGATCCAAGCGTTCAGCCTGGCCTGTACAGTCAAAGGCTATAAAATGCGTAAGTATGAAAAGCAAATTTGGAAGTGGGAGGGCAGGGAAGGAAGAACAGGTGTATTGTTCTAATGTTAAAATCGGGCCAAAGGGGCACCTGGGTGGCTCCACTGAGCTTTCAACTCTTGATTTCGGCTCAGGTCACGATCCCAGGATTGAGCCCTACGTACTTAAGATTCTTTCTCTCCTTCTGCGTCTCTCACCACTTGTGTTCTCTCTCTCTCTCTCTCTCTCTCTCTCTCTCTCTCTCTCTCAAATAAATAAAATGAGAGGCGCCTGGGTGGCTGAGTTGGTTAAGTGTCCAACTTCAGCTCAGGTCATGATCTCACGGTTCGTGACTTTGAGCCTCAGGTTAGGCTCTGTGCTGACAGCCCAGAGCCTGGAGCCTACTTCAGATCCTGGGTCTCCCTCTCTCTCTGCCCCTCCCCGACTTGCATGCACATGCATACACATTCTCTCTCTCTCTCTCTCTCTCTCAAAAATAAGCACTAAAAAAAACTTATTTTAAATAAAGTAAATAAAATGAAAAAACAAAACAAAACAAAACAGAAAAAAAGAGGTCAATTCCCTTTCTAGGTGGAGGCTATAGGACTGTAGTACATTATGACTCTATTGTCCATACCATGAAGTGCCCCTATTCTAGACATGTTTAGTCATGTTCTGGAAATGTACAAGACCTGGCAGGTCTGGGGATTGTATGTGGCCTGTAATAATTCCCCAAACTTCTTTGAGTTACATTAGGAAGGGTTACAGAAGTCCATCGACCTGTGGTGTTTGCAGCTAGATTCTTGGGTAGTCAGAGTACCTCTGACTTCCAGATTTTTCTCTCCTCAGGAAGCTCAGGGAACCTCAAACTCAGGAAGGCAACTAGAAGAACCTCCACAGTTTCTGCAGTTAGACTCCCAAGGCAGAGGCAGAAGTTTCCATTCCCATCCTCTGCCTTTTGTACCAGAACCCAGGACAAAACCACACTTGGTCCTCCATGGTGCCCGAAATGGGGGCTACTTGACCACGGCACTCTCTCCACTGTGGCTTCCAATCCAGGCCACCCTTTGCCCAGGATGAAGAGCAACTGGGAATTTGTTTTGATTTAGGATAAGATATCTGTTGATAACCTCTTTTTCTAACAGACCATACTGTGTTAACTGCTCTTCTGGTTATACTCGGATTACCATTCCCAGAATAGCCGGGGCTTTTTGTTGTTTTTTTTTTCTGTTTGTTTATTTGTTCATATCAGAGCATTGCCTCTGGCATTGGGACATAGAGACATTATTTCTCCATGGCCCTTGTTCAGGGAGAAAGAAACCTCTCTCTCCCAGAGAGAGAAGTCCTGAGGAGGCACCGTTGGTGAAGAGTCCTGTCTGTGCCTTACACTGTTACTTGTGGTCAGTCTTACAAATCAATGTTGACATTGGAGTTGAAATGTGTATCTTTGCTTGTAAATAAATCCATCCATAAGTGAGTCCATGCATCAGAATATTGTTCTGAGGCCTGTGGGATTTCCCAAGCCTGATTATGCCACAGATATTATAAAATAACAATGAAAATGGATGTTAATTTTAATTTGTTTTTTTTTTCTACTTTTTGACCCCAGCTGATGATGATTCCTCATGTAAACTCCCCAGTGGTGAAGCAGGAATTATTTGGGACAGCATATGTTTTGCCTTCCTCCTACTGCAGAGAAGAGTTTTCATGAGTTACTATTTCCTACATGTTGTGGCTGATATAAAAGCTTCACAGATCCTGGCATCAAGGTGGGTCAGGCCATGAAATCAAGTGGTTTCTCTTTAAGTATCTGTCTGGAAGTAATATTGCACTGTGCTCTTGTCTGAGCTTGCCTGTAGAACCTGCAATAGGTTAAGAAACCCCTTCTGGAGAAACCAATCCAAGAAGGGTTTAGCACAAGGCCTTGAAAACCTAAACTAGAAGAGTAACAAGAAAGTCTTTGGTACCAAGTCACCCTTACAAAGATCTGGGATGCTACGAGAGGCCAAACACAGACTGGTCATGTAGAGCCCTCTGGGCACAGACCACCTCACTGGACATCGCTCATTTTGGCCTCAGGAAGAGCAGTAACACAGACCATGTTGATCTCTATAGAGACTAGTCCACATTCCCCCTCTCTGGCTCTGTCCTAAAAACAGAGAAAAGCACACTTACGTATTATTTCTCAGATCTTAGGTTGAGAAGGAGTGTGATAGATACTGAAGCTCATTCTAAACCTTCCTATCCATCTTTTCTTATCTTTTCCTTCCTTTCAACCTCTTTTCCCCAACAACCTGATTTTCTCTTTTAACAAGAGGTCACCGGGCCACACTACCTTCTTCTTCCTAGACTCCACCCTTCTTCCAGTTTTTGCCCCAATCTTGTAGCTTTAAGGGGAAAGACTGGGAAGAAAGCTAGGTATTAAAGGCAATGCCTAGACAGCTCTGCCCATGTCAGAGACACCAGCCTTGCTGATTCCGTCAGACCCATGGTGCTAAATAATCTGATAACCATCAGCTTGTCTCATATGGAATTTCCAGAATCTACCATTTTGATTTGTGTTTTAGATTAACACACTTCTGTTTATACCACCAGTGCTCTTAGAGACTATTCCTTCCCTCTTCCAGGATAAACAAAATGTTTATTTCAGAAGCCATTTATAGGGAAGCAGTTCCTGGCCTTTGTTCACTAACTTGGAGCCCAGTAGAAAGAATTTTCAGTAGGGGACCTACATTTACTCTAAGGAGCTTTGTGCCACCATGGGCCCTGACTATGTACATGAACAGGGACTTCATTTTCTGCACAATATTAGCCCTAGAATTTACCATTGTAATTGTTTTTCTAACACCCAGCATATCAGTTTCATTAGAGCACAATGTCTTGTCCTTTTTTATTTCTTTTTGTTTCTTTTTCTTTTGGGGGGCTCATCCAAGATATTTTATCCTAATAGAAATTTTATTTACTTGTAGAGCAACTGGTACTTGTGCTGATAAATACGTCTTTTTTTTTTTTTTTTTTTTGGCTTTTCTTAAACATTTGGTCCTTAGACATCCAGATCATAACAGTAAGCCGGTATTTTTCCCTCAAAGTTATCACAGTTATTTAGAAATCCATATTCCTCATGTTATAGAAACTGATGGCTTTGGTTCAGAGTACAGCTCGTGCTTGTTCAAGAAGAGCCATGTCTTAACAAGCGTTGAATTCACAACGGAATTTCCAAAGAAAAGATATTCATTCATTTATTGATTTGTCCACAGCCTACTGTGTTACAAGGAGGCAGATGGTTGGCCTTCCCCTCACAGAGCTTATAGCCTTGTGGGGAGAAGGACATATCAACAGGCAGTCACAATGCCATGTGACTAGTGTGATGGTAGGAGAGAAGCCGTGGGGATTATATCAAGGGTACATAAACACCTGCAAATGGCAGGAACCACGGCAGCCTTCCATTCTAAGCTGCACCCTGAGGGATGAACAGGTGGTAGAGGAGGAAGGCCAGGGACACAGCCCAAGTGAAGTTACCGGGGAAGTTTTCATGAAGAAACCCTGAGAAGCTCAGCATGGTTGAAAAACAGAAATTTGAAGGTGAAGATAATGATGACAAATAAGCTGGAGAGATAGGGAGGCGTCCGATTATCAGGGGCCTGAGAAATCATGTTTATGACTTTAAAAGTAATACCACAGATAATAAGAAGCAAAGGAATGGTGTGGCCTTAATGATGTTTTAGGAGCTCACTCTGCTTGTAGCGTGTACTCAGGACCATGGGCAAAGGGACCAGTTAGGTGGCTTCTCTGCTGATCCAGAAGAGAGACAATGGCTCAGACCAGGATGGGATAAACTAGGAAGATATTTAAGAGTAAAATCGGCACAACTGGAAAATTGGAAGGAAGGGAGGTGCAGCTGGAAAGGAGAGGGTAGAGGATGATATGCCCAGGGTTCTGGTTGAAGCAAATGGTGGTACCATTCCCAAATGTAGAGATGCCAAGAAGCTCGAGACTTGGGAGAACACTGACCACAGACCTGAGTTGTTGGGTTGGTGAGCTTGTAAAACCAAACCCATTGGCAAGTCCAGTGGGAGGACAGGTATGGAGGTGGGAGTAGACTCGAGGGGCCTCATGACCCATATGGGATTAGAGCAGGTGAGTGGTTGGAGGGAATGTGAATGAGAAGAGGGCCCTGGGGAGCATCCACACTTAAGAGATGGGCAGAGAAGACCAGCAACTCTGATCCAGAAAGGAGAAAGGGAAGCTAAGACAGCATGGTGCCCTTGGAGCCCGAGAAAGGCTGTTTCAAAACAGACGTTCAGCAGACAGAATGTACAAACACAAGACTGAAAATTGAACACGGAAATTGGTGACCTCAACACCTGGGCACCAGAGCCAAACACGGGAGAGCTGAGGTTGAAGGGAAAGGCTTAGGGACAGTGACTGGGAGATATTCATGCACGGACATAGAAGACTATGAGTGTGCGTGGGTTTTTATTTGCTAAGATTAGCAGGATGCGAGCATGTTGGCATGCTTGTGAGGAGGACTCAGTGGCAGTGAGAAGGCTGAGAATGCAGAAACGGAGCAATAAGGGAAGGATGGAGCCACTCTGGCTGCAGGGATGGGAAGGGACTTGTGCACAGGCAGACCGTAGGCAACAGTGTCACCTTTCTCACTGTCACTGCAGGAAAGAGTTTCCGCAGGCTAGGTGGGAGGCAGCTGAGCAAACTATTGCCTCATGACTTACGTTCTCTCGGGAGGTAGGAAACAAGGAGTGAAGAGCCCTTGACAGAAGTCTAGATTCAAGAAAAGTAGAAGGGGTTTTAAATAGCTGCTGTAGGGAAGAATTCCGAGGGCGCATGAGGAGTTGGCAGATAACGTGCCCGGTCACGCCTGTCCTGCACCTCTGACCACAGCCCCAGCACAGGGCTGGCACACCACTGGGTTCCTACTGACTTGGGATTTATCAAGCGGATATGATCAGATGACAGTGGAACCAGAGTTGAAGATATTAAGAGAGGTTGATGAAATAGATCTAGGAGGACCCAAAGTTGGCTTGAAAAGTGAGAACAGGCAGAGGGATTGGAAGGAGGGAAGCAGAGAGGCAAAGAGGCAGGAGACAGAACGTGCCAGTGATGGAGCTTGAACTCCAGCTTCGCCTATTTCCTTAGCCCAACTCACTCCATACCTGCTTCTGCTCATTGAGTAGGAAAGTAATCTGAACTCACTCCTCCTTGCAAATGGTCCCTCATGGGGCAACTATACATAATAAGGTCAGGTGAGTAATGCTTCGCTAAGATACGAGGTTCAGTGGGACAGGTTTGAAGGGATGCATTCTTTTCAATGTCTTGAAAAACACAAACCATTTTTTGTTTTGTTTTGTTTTACTGACCTTCTGTGGCTGTGAGCAGGCCCACTCCCTCCCGCGGGTGGCTGTGCCGTGTTCATCCACTGGGAAGGGGCCTCTGCACGGGCTCTTGAGACTCCCACTGCCAGCCAGAAGAATCCAGTTAATGACCTAAAAAGAAATGTTTTCTAATCCTCATAATCATTTTCAGGGGAAGGTAAGTAAAAAGGATAGAAATACTGATTTTTTTTCTCTATTTCTGATTTTTCTCTAGAGGGGCTGAACTTTTCCAGGCCACAATTGTAAAGGCCGTAAAGGCAAGAATTGAGGAAGAGAAAAAATCAATGGATCAACTGAAGAGGCAGTAAGGAGGCTTTATTTCACTCTTCTCCTTTCCTTTTAATTTTGGTTTGCCTGATCCTGTTGGGCTGGCTCTCCACTCCCAGGTACCCTTAATCCCCTGAAAAATCCATTTGTGTTAACTTTTACAACTTCTGGGTATTTGCTCTGTGTCATGGCAGTAGCTTATGCTCACTGGACTGAAAATGGAAGTAATTTAAAAGAAAGATGGCTGCAGCATGGTAGAAAGGGGAGCCATGTTGGATAAGACCAATGTCAAGTCTTGGTTCAGCTGCTTACTCTGGTGCCACGAGCACATCGTTCAGATTCTCTGAATTTCAACTTCTTGTTGAAATTAGGGCTCACAATCATATCTGGGTTTTTATAAAGATGAAAAGAGTTCATGAATGAGACAGGGCCTTTGCCAGTACCACTGAGGTGGAGCAAATGTTCATTATATCTGTGGATTAAAGGAATAGATGCAGAGTGGTAGCTTTGGAAGGATCTCTAAAGATAGTATGATACAGTCTCTTTGGGAAGAAACTGTTGACCCATGACATTAGATGACTTAAAATCCCCAACAAACTAGAGGCAGTACTAGAAATACAACCCCCGTTTCCCTGTGTTCGCTTCAAGAGTTTGTTTTCTGCCGCAGTGTTCTGGGGAAGTCGAGTAAGGGACTGACTCCACTCAAGAGCTTTGAGAATTTCTTTTTAAAATTAATTAGTTAATTTTTAAATGATCCCTTGAAAAGAGTTTTCTTGGAGTGAAATTTTCAGCAGTAAATGTCACTTCCGAGGATCAGTAGCTCTTCATTTGAGGGGCAGGTTTAAGAGCTGATGGCCACGGAATTCAAAACCTAGCCACTTTCTCCAGGAAAGTGGAGACTCCATCAGCCCACCAGGAAAATCCCCCAAGTTTGCTGAGACTACTTAATTCCCTTATGACCTCATTTCCCCGCTCCTTTCCCCATGCAAAAATGTTTGCTAGCATAACTTACACCATCCCATTGCCTGGCTTATTCCACAATTGACGATATGAGTTACATAAAGTGTCATATAAACAGTTATGGTATAACTGTTGCCCTTGTGGTCTCTAGTCATCAGGTCAGAGAAATAATAAATTTGGACCCACATGTAGAATGAGTTCCTAATTACCCATAGGGGAAACCTGTTACTATCATTCACTTCACTGAATTTTTCCATTTGCTTTAAGAATGCATCCTCTTAAGTGACAGAAAGTCAGAATATAAAAGAAGGTAGGTAATGATCATTGCCAAAGAGAAGCTAAAAGTGCTGTATAAGTTGCAGGAAGCAGAAATCAGCTTAAAAACTTGAGCAACGTATCCAGAATTTTAAGAAACTTAAGAACTGAAACACCGCAGGAGGACAGGTCTGGGAAACAGAGTTCAGCACTGCAGTTTCTGAATAGTTGGACTTCCCAATTAAGCAGACAAAATAAAAGGCTCTAACTCAGTAATTAAAGATGCAATAATACATTTTTCCAGAACCAATAGGAGATTAGATTTGAGATAGAGAAGAGTCACGTGGTCTGATAGAATACTTAAGAGCATCTGAAGAGCAACATGCTTTTTACAAAATAGTCCTCACACTTACATACCTTTTCATTTGATTTTCACAACTATGTGAGATACACAGGTATCAATTTTTAAAAATTGCAAAATCTGGAAGAATAAAGGACTTCCATTTCATCATCTAGTGTGTTCAAAATGCCTTTGGTACAAGGTGTAGGTGGACATAAAGTACTGTGTACCAAACTTTAGCATAATTGTGATCATATTATTAAGACCAGCATCTATGTAGAGCAAAATAACAGGGAGATGTGGGGAGACACAGCTATATACATACATATATGTATACATACATATACATATATATGTGTGTGCAGACATGTATATATTGTCCCCCAAGAAGATGCTTGTTGCCAATAAAAAAAAAACCATTCAAAAGTCCCAAATATTGACCACTTTGTGATTTTACCCACATACATACAAGTGGAAACCCAAACTGATCATGTGGTAACTGTGGGTGTGTTCTTGGCATTGCTGCTGCTACTTTGTCTTATAGGATGGATCGCATCAAAGCCAGGCAACAGAAATACAAAAAGGGTAAGGAGAGGATGCTGAGCTTGACCCAGGAATCAGGGGAAGGCCAAGACATCCAAAAACTCTCTGAAGAGGATGACGAAAGTATGTCGAGACGTTTCCCTCTTGTTCAAGTAGCTTGGCATTGAATAATAGCATGATAAGGGCTAGGGCTGTAAAATAACATTACTTTTACTCTGCCGGTATTATGCATGTTTGTATTTTTTTTTTAACTCAGCAAGTTTTACCTTCTGATTGTGAGTGGGATACATGTATTTATTTCACAAAGTACATATGTAATGACTCCGTGACTTTATGAGTATCTCTTCTTCAGCACAATGACTTTAATCAACACATAGCCTAGCTTCTGTCTCACAGAAATGTGTTTCTGAAGAAAATGAGAATGAATTTGCTTAATTTATTCCTTTAGGGAAAATATTTTAGATATTTTAGGTACACAGTCTGTTGTCTTTGATTTCTATAAATGTTATACAAAAATGAAATATGTATGCATATTTTATGTGGTATCTGAATAATGGTAGTTAAGTATCCTTCAATTATTGTCTGTTCCAATTAAGTCTAAAATGAAATATACATTATGATATCTGTAGTATATCTGCAGATTTACTATATCCAATTAAGTTTAAAAGGCCTTCTAATAGAAGTTTGCATGCTTTTCTATTTGAAGGGGAATGGCAAAATAATACATGGTGTTTTCTAATATATAGCACCTATTTAATAACCAATAAATTTGTGTTTTTCCAACCATGCATGAAAATAATCACAAGGAAACTCCTGGTTATTGGAATATATGCATCTTCACAAATTATCTGCCACTATATTGTTTTATAAAGTTTAGGTGATGCTTCTTTTCTGTTAATTCACCGGAAAATTCAATGTGCGATGCCTTTTTGAGAGCTAACCTTCTTTTTTATATTTCTTTATATGCACTCTATTACTAAAAAGAAAGCAAAAATGTGGCATAGTGTTCATAGAACGCTTAGTATTTGCCTTGTGAAATCGCCTGCTCATGCGTGTAAACATTTCAGATTTGATATAGTTTCTTTCCCTGACGTCTGATGTACTTTTGCAACTTACCTAGATTTTGACATTTGAGTTGTTAAAGCGTGGTTTTCAAAATTTGTTTTCTCACTTCATAAGAATTAATATTTGGACATATTTTATTTTAGGAGAAGCAGACAAACAGAAAGCCAAGGGCAAAAAAAAGCAGTGGTGGCGGCCTTGGGTTGATCATGCTTCCAGTAGGTTTTCTTGATCCTCTTACAATTTCATCGATTCTAACCCTTATATCCTTGACCAGAATTCAGGCGTCCCCATGACCTGTGTGTTCCATGCATGGTTTGATCCTTGTGACTTGATAGGGGGTCAGAGTGTAGGAAAATTTTCATGGAAATGGGTCTCTGGGCCCTGGTGATGGAACCTTCCAGAGAAATCAGCTGATTACCATGCTGTCTGAAGAAAGCCCCACATGTGGCTGACACATGCCTGAGCATCCTAGAGGCTCAGAAAGCGAAGAATTGCTACCTTTTTATCTAATTCTGAGGTCCAGAGCTCTGCTGATACGTATTTGTCTTGTAACTGAAAACCCTTATTGAACATGAGTTTTGGCTCCCCCTGGGAGGATACTCATTAAGTTCAAAGTGTTTGTGACCCTCTTTGTAAGGCACTAGGCATGGATGATGATGAGTCTCTCCTCCCCCTTCTTCCCAGAGCTTTGATTTTATTTGCATGTAAGGTCTTTTGGCAATTTATTGAATATAAAGGTGAGGCTAACTTAAAATGTGCTCACTTTCTCATTCTGCCTCTGCCCCAGTTTCAGAAGGCTCTCGTACTACATTCCACATTCGAAGCCTAGCATGTGGCATGGCTGTAGAGCCACCAGCCATGACCAGTTCAGAGCAGAGGTGGACAACAGTTTTTGAAAAGCAGAGCTTCATGGCCACATAGAATTAAAGTTTTCCTCCTGATCATTAAAAGAAATGAGGGGGGTGGCGCCTGGGTGGCTCAGTTGGTTAAGCATCCTCCGACTGTTGATTTCAGCTCAGGTCATGATCTCAGTCGTGGTCATGATTTCACAGTCGTGGGATCGAGCCCTGTGTCAGACTCAATGCAGAATGGGGAGCCTGCTTGGGATTCTGACCCTCCCTCTCTCTCTGCCCCTCCCCTGCTATTGATCTCTCTTCCTCTCTCTCTCAAAATAAATAAACTTTAAAAACAGGAAAAAAGGGATGAGGAATTATGGAACTCAGTGGCTATATTTGTTCTGCTTAACAAAGGAAATATCACTCACGATTGGCCAGTGGACAGTCTTAGAATGGAATGATCCATTTCAGTCTGACTTTCCTTGCATTTGTTCAAATATTGAATAATTATTCATTATGTTGCAAATTACTAATAATACCTTCAGGCCTTTATGCCTTATCCTGTGGCTTAATAACTTCAGCTAACGTGATCAGACAGGGACTATCACTGAGGCCCACAGTGTCGCACGATGGTGGAACAGACTCTACTGACGGGATCTTCAGAATCACTAGAAAATCAAGTTGATCAGAATGTTTTGCCGTGCCTGATTCTTCGTGTCTCTGAGATATAGTGTTGGCTTCTCTCGCCCCAAAATTAACTTTCTAAAATCAGCAAGCCGATTTAAGGAAGTATTAATTCAAAATTTGCTCAACCTGCCTGAATGATACTAAATTTAATCCCAAACATTGAATTTATAGCATTATGTGAGGGAAGAAAAAAAAAAAAACATGACTTTCAATGAGTTTTGTTTCACCTGCTGCCAAGTCAAAAGACAAAGATTCACATCGAAATTCTGTGTGACTCTTGAATCTTTTGTTCATTGGCATGTTCGTCATGCTAACGATCCAGTAATGCAGCACACTGTAAGCCTGTTTCTATCAAGTCACAAGAAAACTGTGCTTATCTTTCTGTTTGTAAAGGGCCCTTTGCTAGTTTAGACAGACCTATCCATTTCGACATTGTGTCCTACTGAATGTTTTCTCTCTCACCTGGGGTAAATTCCCGTTGCAATTGTAGTTGTCTTTCCTTTTCTCGTCTAAACATTGAATTTTGGAAGGAATTGGATATGGTCTTCGATAATCATCTTACAAGTTGGTAATAACTGAAAAAGAACTGCTTATGAAGGTTATTGACTTTAGTTTTCTGATTCATTTCACCCTCATTATATCGAGTTCTTGAAGACTGGTATTAAATGAAATGTGCCTTGTTACAACACCTCTTGGTGCAATAATGCAGGAATGTGTGTAATTCATGGTGTGGAATCAGATTCTGACCGTGGTGTTAAAATTTTTCCGCAAAATACATTTCCTTTTACCAGCTCATGAGGAAAGGAAAGGAATGACTCTGTGGATTATTTCTTAGGCCATGAGTTCCAAAAGTTATCTTTAGATCTGGAAGCACTTTATTAAAAGCCCTTATTTCAATCTCTTGAGTCACTGGGCTTTTGCCTAGATGGTTCCTTACAGGTGCGGAGTGTGAGAATACATGTAGTTGAATACCCTTGTGTAAGTCTACAGATGATACAGTGATATGGCCAAGTTGTTCATAATACTGGCAAGCAGTCAAGATCTTAACATAGTCTGTAGGTGGCCAATCTTCCACTTCCATACCTATGTGCACACATGCGATTGCATTATTGCTGTTCAATGATACCTTCCATTCCAAGGTAGTATGCCTCCATGCCAATTCAGTACCTTCCTCTTGTTAAATATCTGAAACAGAGGTCCGGGCTTCTGGGGATACAGGTGATAGGTTTTAAAAGTTATTTTCGCACTCAGTTCAGCAATCACATCAATATCCACATGTTTCTGGACACAAGCTGGGGGCAGGATCGCTCTCTGAACTAACAAATGTGTATGTAAGAGCTTCTCTCCTTATTATTAGCAGATAGCACCGAAGAAAACACTCTCTGTTGTTTTCGTACTTTTATCTCAGTAACATTTCATAAACGAATAGGGGATTTTCCTAAGCATTTCCTTCTTTTTTTTAATGTGTCAATTCTACTTCTCGCATACAAATTGATAGTTTGTTTTTTTAAAATGATCAAATCGATGTTGTGACTGCTTGAGAAGAAAACCGTTTGGGCTCACTGTGTCCACACGAGTAAAAGTCACAGAAGGTATGATTGAATACAGTTGAAGCTATTGTTGATTTTAGAGCCTATAATGAGGGTAAAATGCTCAATCCTGTAATACTCTGTTTTTTACCAAATGACCATGTGACATAGAGTCCATGTAACTTTCCTGCAAATGTCTGAGCTTACTTGAAGGCATTACTTTAATGGTCTTCCTCACTGTCAAACGTAATGCTGTGACTTTGGTTTGTTCTTGCTTATTCTTACCTTCTGTTGTATTGCATTTATTCCCTCAGGCCTGGACCCAGTACTCTGGGCCTGGTTCTTTCTTCAAAATAAAAATAACAAACTACAGTGCTTCTGTTCAAGGATATAAGGCCCAATTCATTCCGTGTGCAACTTCACGGATGGAGGCTTCAGATACGGTCTGAAACCGTTGGGCAAAATTACCTCCTTCTGGCCATGTTTAGTGATGGTCACGCAACTAGTTTTAAACAAGCCAAGGTGTTCCATTACCTTACAACGCACGAATCCAAAAGATCACGGAAGACATCATGTTATGTCGTCCAAAAGACACCTCAGCATTTGAAAACTTGAATGTACCTTGAAAGTGCTACTATGTTTTTCCCCCGCAATGATGGTACAGTTCTTGTAGCATCGGCAATACGTACACTGGGTCTCTTTTCTCTGATAAACTTAACGTAACGCTCAAGCCGACAAAGATGGGATTCTCAAATTTCTTTAAGTCTCTGGACATTTCAGCTTCCTCTGCTCCTTTTAACACAGCAATATGTTCTTGCAGGGAGAAGATCAGGCAAGGCAAGGCACGGACTATCCAGACTGTCTGTGCTTTGTGTCTTCTGGTCAGTATGGTTCTCCTCACATTTCAGTGAGCAGCTGGAGTTCCTTGTTGACCAGAAGCCCAACAGCGCTAAACCATATCGGCCATGTCTGCCGTGCCTCAGTCTGTCCTGTGCTACTTGTAGAAACAGCCAGAGTGGTGGTGGTGGTGCTGTTTTTGTAGTTGGTTTTTTTGTTTTGTTTTGTTTTTTTAATGTTACCTGCCCATTTCCTCCTTGTGGCAACGCGTGTGTGTGTTGTGTGTGGGGGGGGGGGGGGGGGCGGGGGAATGTTTTTTGTGTTTGTTTAACTCTTTCAAATGTCTTGCCATGTATGCTCTGTCCCCTGTGTCACATGCGGAGCAGCCAGGTCTGCAGAGTGTAAAGTGAAGTCGAAGTCGGTGATGCCGATTCTTGGTCCTGAATCAGCCTAATTGGCGTCTCTACCACACGCCGGACCCATTCAGACAACACCAAATCCTCTACTTCACTTTGGCCTCGTCTAAAGGACCCAAATTGCCGACTGGTCTGAGTTGTGAAACTGTAACCGTTTTCCATCCACTATTTTGGCCATCTTGGTAACAAAACTGGTTGCTGCAGAGTTGATCCAGTGTTATCTGTGTAAAATTTACAACGAAGAAGGAAGAGAGTATCAGATAAACCCAGCAGTGGCCAGTTTTCTTACATGGCATAGACAAGGCCTCATGCTCTGTAGACCCGGCCACACCAACACCATGTAGTGTTAGCCCAGAATGAGTTCTCTTCATCTCTTGTTTTTCCCCCCCTGCCAACATCTCTTGCTGGTCTTTTGTGGACAATGTGTATATCGGTGGGGGGGCAGTTCACTAATAAGCCCTTAATGATCTCATCTCTCTTGCAAGAAATAAGTAAATATTTTGTTTTGCTTAGTGGTCAGGAGTGGAGATTATTATTTGTTTGAAACGGATAGTGAAGAGGAGGAAGAGGAAGAACTGAAAAAGGAAGATGAAGAACCTCCGAGAAGGTCCGCTTTCCAGGTAATTCTGGGGTTGGGAAAACCATGCCCTTTGCTGGTTGAAGGGCTTTTCTTTCCGACAGACCTTGAATGCAGGCCTAGACTTCTTCTGCCATGTTCACATGTGTTATAGCTTCCAGAAGCTTCTAATTTCCACCTGAAATCATCCATCCCTCATTAAACTGTAACGCTGCTTGCCCTCAGCTTCGGTGTAATTCCTGCCATTCAAGAACACCGTTCCCACCAGGTGTTTGCTCCCGTGCATCGAAAACCCTTCTGATGCTATAAACCAAAAATAAAGCTTCCCTGGGTGAACTTTATTTTTCTGTTACAAGTAGAAGGTGAAGAAGACTTCTCTGGCATTGCTCTGGATTGCTTGAGCAGACTTCCCATTTTGAGACGTGAAATAGTTGATCATAAAAATAAAGCACTTGCTTTGTTTTGAAACCAATGGCCACTTCCATGTTACCTCAGATTTTGCAAATCCATTTCATTTGTGTTGTCAAAGGTTTGAGACTGTACTGCAGTCATGAAAACAGCCAGCACAGTCCTGATTTTTTCATCTTAGCTGCCTTTCCTTTTCAGAATGTGCCACCTCATTCTTGGTGACATAGCTCACCAGCCTAATACAGTGTACCCAGTGATTGTCTAAGCAATGCTTGTTAGCGATGAGGACTTGTCAGTAGAGTTACACATGGGGTGAAAACTTGGCATATATTTCTTTTACCAAAGAGTCACTTGTGAGGACTGTTCTTTCCCGTTCATTACAATCCAAGACATATGGAGCGATACCCATCAAGCCGCATGATGTGTCCATGAAAAGGTCATTGTCATTCTGCTGACCGGGTCTCCTCAAGCTGCAGGGTTACATCCACCCCTGTATTCCCAACGACATTGAAGAACTAAATTATTTATGGAGCCACCTTGCTCTGATGCTTCCTCACTGGCCCCATCGCTACTTGAGTTGTGTCTCTTAAAGGTGGTGTCTGTGCGTGTGGCTGGCTCGTCAAATACCGATGACCTGACGTGTGTATCTTTATTCTCATGAGTTTCCTTATAACCATCACTCATTCAGCCAAGAAGAGAACATTTCTCACCGTGTTTATGGATTACATGCAATGGCTGACTATTTTCCTATTCCGAACCGACAAGCAAAGCACATTTGTTCCAGCTTCAGTGATGGGGCACGTTTTAAGCTCGCTGATGTAACTGTAGAGACAAATTCATACTGACGTCATATGTAAAATTGTTAGTCTTTGATGTTTTTCTACTAATCACTCTCGCTTTGTCCTTCTTTGTAGAGAGCTATTGGGAAGTTTGCGTCGGCCATTTTAGCCTTGCCAAAGTCTGTCATTAAACTTCCCAAAACTATTCTTCAGTATTTAATCAGAGCTGCAAAGGTATTTGATGTTTCACTGACGTGTGGTGTGTGACCCTCCGCTCTGTAGAAATTTAGACAAGCAGATCCCTGTCGCCTCCATCTGCATTTTCCCTGCTCTATAGGTCGTACAACGGAGGAAGTATAAGAACTTAAAATATTAGGGAAACATTTCCAAGGAGAGTTTTGAGAAGCCAAATTTCTTACTATTTCATTCTTGTTCTTCAGTTGACACAAGAGCCTATCGAGACATAGAGAGAGAAAATGCAGATACGTATCTACTCTGTCCTTCTTGTAGTTTGGCCTACGTCACATCTCATTTGAAAAGGGTCACATCTGGTTGCATGCGTCAGTCATGATGTGTAAAATGTGTGATAATCGTTCTCAGAAAGCTGGTAAAATTATGACCAAGGTAATAGAAGACTCATTTTTCTCCACCTTCTTGTTGGCTTCCCTTTCAAGTCTCCATCTACCCTCAATCGGATATCGTCTTCCGTTTTACTCTCCTGCCTTTGGTACAATTCCTCACAAGACCGTGCTGCCATGTACGGTCTGTGGAGTTTCTCACGCCCATGTCACCAGAGAGAGTGCGGGATAAACTGCAAAGAGGCTATTTGTCAATTAATCTAATGCACAGCAGAAAGTATCCAGCTACCTGGGCGGTAGCCACCCATTACTGAAAATCATAAATAATGAATTACGGTTCATGTACTTTATAGAAAGCTGGTTCTGTGCACTTAGTCTGGGCAGGCACTTAAACTCTCAGGTCTTTATGCTCATGTGTTTAGCAAATGTTTGGATAGTGAGGGGGACCAGTGCTTCTCCCATTTTACCTGGGACCTTATTTAAATGCAGGTTATGGAAATTAAGCAGGTCCTTGAAATTCTGTATTTCTCTCAAACTCCCAGGGGACAGACAGCTGGGGGTCTATCTTGAATAGGAGGGTCTAAGCTTCTAGGTTCCTCCCATCTTTAAAATGCCAGCGTTCTGATTGCTAGTTTAATATTCTATGTTTTAACTTCCCTAAGATTCTTTTTCTTTTCTCTTTTATGACTACCATATAAGTCTCTCCATTCATATTTAAGAATTTATATGAAAGATTGCAATGTAATTATCCCCGTCTTACTTTAAAAACAAAAACAAGAAACAAAACAGCTTCTTTCAGACAACATAAAGAAAGTCCTGGGTTACACATGAATCAAAGGACAGTTTATTAAATTTAACCAATTTCCGTTAAGGATCTCCATTCTCTTCAATAAAGCCCTCTCCTGTTTGAAAAATTAAATGCTTTTTGCATAGTACATTTTCAGGAAAATGAATCTCATTTCCCCCCCTACTAGGTAAGATAACCTTAAGATAAAAATCATATGATAAGACTTAAGATAAAATTTAAGATAAAGTAAATGAGTGAATAAATGAATGAATGAATGAATGAATAAATAAGTAACTAGAATGTAAGATAATGTTGAGAATACAGACTAATAATGGCAATTTGAAGAAACCAAAGGTCATTTATGGACATTTTCTTGTATTTTTTGTACTTATGGTTAGTGGTGTGGGTGTCCCATGAACTTGAACAGTGGTTATGGCTGCAATGTGAGAATTGAGAAGTTTCAGTAAGAAACTTCCATTTCTCCACTCAATAAGAATTGGGATTTTTCCTCCTACTTTGTCATCACCATTTCCTGAAACAGACTGACCCTCTATCAAATGTTCCTGGCACTATACCGAGTTTGTAGCTCCAAACGTCAACATTAAGATAATTTACCTACAAATAGGGACTCCTCATAAGATTTTCTTCCCCTCTCTTTTTCCCCCTTCTTTGAATTATGTAAATTCTCATCTTAGTGAGACAGCTTCATTTTTTGGAATTATAGGTAGAACCAGGAGTTTCCTTTTAATAAGGCAAAATCTTTTTTTTTTTATTTTTTTTATGTTTATTTATTCTGAGAGAAAAGTAGAGGGAGATAAAAAGTGGGGTAAGGGCAGAGAGAGGAAGAGAGAGAATCCCAAGCACAGACCTGATGCAGGGGCTCAAACTCACAAACCATGAGGTCATGACCCAAGCCCAAACCAAGAGTCTGACGCTTACCCAACGGAGCCACCCAGGTGCCCCAATAAGGCAAAATCCTAATGAGACTCCCCGATCTACAAGAGTTCTGCAATTCTGTCCTAAATGACCCTTGTCTCCCTCCTTCTCACCCTCCTTCCCCATTTTTCTCCAGTATAAAAGAATTCCTCCAACTTGTATACCTAATGCATTCACAAACCCTGAATTACTCTTTTATTTTCTATCTTGGGGATTCTGGCATTATCTAAAAGCAATATGGTCATAACCCATTTTTTTTTAAAGAAAATGTCACTGTATGTTGCTCTTAAACCTGAAAATTTCTTGCATCTAGCAGTTCAGATTTTTTTTAAAGAATCAATATTTTGTGGAAGCAAGTTTGCTTATTAATTTACTAAACCTCAAAGATATTCTTTTTGGTAGGTGACAGGTTTAATAAGCAAGGGAACTTACATATTTGGCAAAGATATTCTTTCTTCTTTTTTAATTTTTTTTTAATGTTTATTTTTGAGAGAGAGACAGAGACAGAGCATGAACAGGAGAGGGGCAGAGAGAGAGAGGGAGACACAGAATCCGAAGCAGGCTCCAGGATCTGAGCTGTCAGCACAGAGCCCAACGTGGGGCTTGAATACACGAACCACGAGATCATGACCTAAACCGGAATTGGATACTTAATCAACTGGGCCACCGAGGCACCCCCAAAGATATTCTGATAGAGTTCCCAAGTAGCATGCTTAGTAAACATCTACCATAAATTCCTTCATGTGGTCCTTCTTTGTCCAGTGTCAGTTCATTTCTCAAAATACATTTTTGGCAGAAAATAGGATTATTTTTTTGCCTCTTGGATTTATTATTATTCAGAAACAATACAGATGTTACACTTGTGTTAGTTGCCATTAGATTCAGATTTCTACCATTGGGAAAAAAGAAACTCTCTTCCTTAGTCACCCATGACTTTTACACTTCCATACATCAAAAAGTTGGGTCCCTCTTTATTTTTACTGACCTCACAATGCCTGTGGTTTGCTTACACTGTGTTTTCCAAGGATTCCTGAAATCTGAAAGTCATACAGAGTACAGTGAAAGTGTCTCGGTTTACAAAGTGCCCCCACAAAACAGCCCTCCAACTTGAACATCATAATAGAAAACCCAGCTTCCCTGAGACCCAGGTGGCTTTGTGGGTGCATGAGGAGCATGCCTGCTTGGCTTCTTGATTACAGATGGCTGACTTTGTTTACCAGGGTTTTCTTTTTGTTCCTTCTGCATGATTTGGGAGACTATTGGTGGGTGGACTGTTCAACATTGCTCTGCGGTGGTTATCGGTTTTATCATATTAACGTAACCGTTTTCAGCTCTTGAATGAAAATGACAAAAGGCAACCAAGGTCACCACAGTTTTCCTTCCAGAACATTCCGGAATAACTCTATAACCTTAATAAGCGCACTCATTTTTCCTCTCCAAATACTAATCAGTCTACAGAACCCTTTCTCAAGTTGCTGGTCATAGCTGTTTTTCACAAGGGAGGGCATCAGATGTACTAAACTCTTTTCCCAAAGTAAATGAGTAAACGATGTTTTGTTTTTGACTCAAAGTTTATTAGTGAGGGGAGAAAACCACTCCAGTGACACTTAGCAAGAGGTCCAGCTTATTCCTATTGTGTGTAATACAAAAGAGTCAGTCACTGTCACAAGTGGTAGTGGTACATGGGGACTTGGGGGGAATGATGGTCACCCAAAGTATCTCCTGACTGTGATACCAAATGAAATACACTCCTACAACATCTGTTTTCATATTTTATTTCATGATCATGGAAATAGCACAGGTCAACTGAGAATACTGAGGGATGTGGGAGCAGAAGATTTAGTTTGTGCTGGCAGAAAAATATGTATATATTTCCAAAAGTCAGGAAGCTTGGTGTTGGTCCCTTTTCTTTTCATTTAAATATTAAAAAGGCAGAAAATAATTTAATTTTCTCCCTTCAGTTTGTTTATCAAGCCTGGATCACGGACCCTAAAACAGCACTCCGACAGAGGCGCAAAGAGAAAAAAAGGTCTGCAAGAGAAGAACAGAAAAGAAGGAGAAAAGGATCTGGGGATGGTGAGTGTTGAGTGAGTGCAGGGCCCAGCCAGCACTCTCTGTCCCTGTGGCCCTGGGATCCCAAAGGGAACCACAAAGGACAGAAGCTTTGGAGGAATGACATTCTTACATTCTGAGGAATGCACAGAGTTCTACTTGTCCTTCGTTGCTTGTGTCTGACCCTTGGAATAAATAAAAATGTAAATTTAAGTTAAGGTACATTTTATAAAATAAGAGAGAGGAACAAATTAAACTCAAAGTAGAAGGAAGAATTAATGTTTTAAACAGATGTTAAATTATAGAAAAGAAATACAAGACAAGATCTATCATTAAGTGAAAAGCTGTTCTTAGAAAAAACTAGTAAAATGGGTAAACCTTTGGAAGTTTGATTAAGAAGAAAAGGAAAAACACAGTATCAGGAACCAAAAATGGAACGTAACTACCAATGCCATATTCCACATCACATTTGAAAACATACGATAGGAAAACATTTCTAAAGAGGGGAAAAACTCCAAGCTACAGCTAAGCACCAAAAGTGGAGTGAAAGTTCAAGTGGGGCACTCAGAAAAAATATTTGCATTGTATATATCAGACTAAGAAATAGTATTCTGGATATATTAAGGACTTCTAAGAAGCAGTAAAAGAAAAGTTCAACCCAATAGACGAATAGATGTGAAAAACAATTCACAGATCAGGAAATGGAAATAGACAGAGGAGCTCAGCTTCACTTAGTAGTGAAGGAGAACCACAACCCATATTTTGACATACTGTTGTTTTGTTGTTGTTGTTTTTGTTGCTTTACCTATTGGATTGGGAAAAGCCCAAACATTTGTTAATTTGTTAACATCACCATTTGGAGTTAGTGGGAAGAGAAGTGTTTGTATGAGTTACAACCCATATAACATGACTAGCGGTGTCGTAGAGTAGCGCATCCCCTTTGAACAGCAATGTGTTGATATCTGTAAAAATGTTAAATGTCCATCTCCCACTACAGATCGATCCCTCTTCTAGATGTGTGGTTCAACTTGAAGCAATATCTGCACATGTGCACAAGGACCCATGTCTAAGAATACCTATCAAACATCATTTGTTTTGTTAATAACAAAAACTTGGAAGCATTCTCAATGCCTACATAAAGAAGAGTCAAGTAAATTATGTTACTATATATTATAAAATTCTATTCAGTAGTTAAAAAAGTGAGATGGATTATAGCTGATCCTAGAACAATGTGGGGGTTGGGGCACTGACCCTCACACAGTCAAAAATTTTGTATAACTTTTAACTTCCCCAAAACTTAACTAATAGTCTACTGTTGACCAGAAGGCTTACTGCTAGCATAAACAGTCGATTAACACACATTTTGTATGTTATATATGTTATATACTGTATTCTAACAATAAAGTAAGCTAGAGAAAGGAAAATGTTATCAGGAAATCATAAGGAAGACAAAATATATTTGCAGAACTTTACTGTATTTATTTAAAAAAAAAACCTCCACGTATAAATGGACCTGCACAGTTCAAACCTGTGTTGTTCAAGGGTCAGCTGTACTTTAAACCTGACATACTGTTAAATGAAAAGTACTGTGTTACAAATGGCAGCACATTATGAAACCATTTATGAAACAACAGAAACCAGCGTTCCTCAAGACAGTATTTTGCATTTTTAATGCATGCATATAACGGTGTATAAATGCAAGAGAAAGATCAGGAAGAATACTTATTAGTTACTAACGGTGGTTACTTCTGGGGGAGGAGTGAGGAGACTGAGATTAAGTGGTATGATTATCTGTTATATTTTGATTCATTACAAAGAACATATACATCGATTTTTTGTGTGAAATTAAAAATGTATTCAAAAATCAAAGAAAAGCATAATTACTAATGGAACTCTAACTGCACAATCTGTCTCCTTTTTGACCATTCTGCCCCCTGCTACCTCCTGGTAGCTTTAATTTGATTTTACTTTATTGGTTTGAAAGACAACATGAAGACACAGCCAATGTAACAAGTAAGCAGTCAAGAGCTAGATGCAGAATCTCCCTTGGAAACCCACCCCCACAGGTGCCAAAGCCTCAGAATATGTAGTGTTCATTTCCAGTCCTTACTTATGTGTGTGTGTAAATATGCAGGCACCATTTCCTTTGTTTACTTTCAAAAATGAATCCGTGCTATACAAATCGCTCTGGGGTAATCATTAGCAATGTATCATAAACATTTCTCATATTAAGTATTTATAAAACTATATCCTCCTTTTTTTAATGGCTGCAAAATACTCTACAATATGGATATGCATAATTTATTCAACTATTCCATCACTAATGGACATTAAGTTTGCTTTCAAATTTTTGCCACAATGAATAATGCTATCATAGATATTCTTGCACAGAAATTCATACAGTCATACATACATGTGGGTGTGAATGTGTGTGTGTGTGTGTGTGTGTGTGTGTAGTGTAAAGCCACAAAGAACACAGACTTTCCACAGAAAAGTCATCAAAAGTGGGATTTCTGAGTTAGGGGGTGTGACTTGTTTTTTTACTTTAATCTAGTTTCCCAAAAGGTTTTAGAAATTTATACTCCTACATGTAAGGGATAGGAGTGTCCATTTCCCTGTACCCTTACCCTACAGGATGTTATTACTTTTTTTTTTTTTTTTTACTGTTGGTCTTTCTTCGGGATGACAAATGACTTTTGTTTTCATTTGAGCTTTCCTAACTAATACGACTGAACATTTTTTATTTTCTATTTTTCATGGCATTTTGCTTCCCAATCTAAGATTTAAACATTTTTATCATTTTTTGTAGTATCGTTCTACTGGGTTGTTTGCCCTTATTAATTTAGGGACTATTTATATGTTAGGGATAGTATCCTTTTTTCATGTGTTACAAGTTTGTTTCCCCATCCAATTTTTATCTTTTGATTTCGTTTATGGTATCTATTATCTAAACAAGTTTTAATTTTTTGTGATGTCAACGAGGTCTCCATGTCTTTTTGCAGTTTCCAGGTTTCCATGTTGCTTAAGAAAGTCTTTCCCCCACATATAATACAAATGGTCTCCCTTATTTCCTCCCAAGTCTATTTACATGTTGAATTTTTATTCCATGAAGTAGAGATCTATTTTGTTTACTCTTACATAGATAGGCAATTATGCTATAGCCCTGCTGACTACATGATCCTCCCTTTTCCGAGTGAATTTAAATGCCACTTTTGTCAATATTAAGCTCCTAATTATTCTTTGGTATGTTGCTGGACTCTGGACTTTGATCCACTATCCTACTGTCTAGCTCTGGGTCAGTGTCATCTGTTGAGTTCAGTAGCTTATAGAGGTTTTAATATTTAGTGTTGCAAGTTCCCCTCACTACCCCATTTATTTTTCCAAACTTGTATTTGCTCTTTTCAGACATTTGTGCTTACAAAATTCATTGACTGGCTCTAAAAATGTGTCTTTTAGTCATCTTGCAAATATCTCATTGCTCTGTGTCATGGCGACTATTCCATGCGCAGATGTTGACCTTCAGATTGAAAACAGCAATAATTAGAAGATACCGGGACTGAAATAGATGTTTATTTATTTCTTTAATAAATATTTATTTAGCCCCTTCTTCTTTGGTAGAGGGGCTCATCTCTTCCAGATTACTTTCAGACAGAGGAAGCACACCTTCCTAAGTGCCAGGTGTTGCCATACGTGCTTTCTGTGCAGTAGCTCATTTGTCCTTACAACAGTACAAGGCATTTTACTCACCTTGTCCCACAGATGAGGAAATGAGGTACCAGAGAGGGAAGAAACTGGCCTCAGGTCACACAGCCATCCAGATGGGTCTGGAATTCATGCAAGCATCCTGGCTCCAGACCCTCTATCTTGACAAATGGGGAACACAAGTATAGGGGAAAATCCCTTATGGTGTAGAAAGTGCAGAGTTTCACTTAAAAAATTAAGCACAGATAAAATAGTGTGGGACTAGAAGGAAAAAGGAGAACTTACAGCTGGGAGTGTTAAGGAATGCAGTGCTTCATGAAAAACTCTTTTAATAGAGCCTGACATCCTGCCAGAAGAAAGCAAGGCCATGTATGAAAACTAAAGGGCAGGTCAGCTTAGTTGATAAAGACAGGATGTGAAACAGAGTAGTGGAAAACAGCATAGAAAGTAAGTTTGAAAAGATTAATTGAAGTTAGATTGTGAATGGTTTTAGTACCATTAGATAAAATACATGGGGCCCAGTGAAAGTTGGATTTTCTTTTTTACATAAACAACAAATAATTTTTTTTAGCTTAAGTATAATGTGGACATATTGTATGAGACCTACACTAAAAAAAAAAAATGTTGTTTTTCTTAAATTCAGATTTAACTAGGTGTCGCGTATTTCCATTTGCTAGATCTGACATCCATAGCCTGGAATTAAAGACTAAGAAATAAAATGAAACCCTATAATGCCGTTTTATGGGGTGACACACTAAAATATGTAACATTACCCTGAGGTGCTCAAAATTAAAATTTAATGGTATGTCTCAGGAGTCAGCACACTTTTTCTGTAATGAGACAGATAGGAAGTAAATGATTTAAGTTTCGCAGATCCTAAGTCTCCGTGGCAACACATCTCTGCCAGTGTAGGGTAGAGGTAGCCACAGACAATATGTAAACATATGGGTGTGGTTCTGTTCACTAAAATCTGAATCTCCTATCATTTTCACATGCCAAAATATTGTTCTTTTGGGGTTTTTTTTTCAACTATTAAAAATATAAAAACCCGGAATTCATAGGCCATTCAACAGTGGGAAGCTGGCAGGGTTTATCCAGTGGATTATCATTTAGTCATTCTCAGTTACACCTGGTTCTTATTCTGGAGTGGAGTAAAGAGAATCTGAGAGCTATGAATTCTTACAGCTTTCCCCCCGAGAACTCTTAAATTAGGCAGAATATTCTAGATTTAATTACAAAATTCCTTTTAGTCCAGGAGGGTAGTGTTGACATTTAATTTACCCTAAAAGGGTGTAACTCATGTTTGTTCAACACACTTCGCAGGTCCTGTGGAGTGGGAAGCCCGAGAGGATGAACCAATCAAAAAGAAATCTGATGGACCAGGTAAAAAAATAAAGACAAATATGAGCTGGGGGAAATTTGAAAATGTTGCTTTCCCAGAAGGTATGTCGTGGAAGGCTGCCTAAAAGCAATTAATCAAATACTGTTTCTGGACTGTGATTAAATAATCAATGTGTCATAAAATCTCATCTCTAGTGAAATTTCAAAGTGACTCCTAAAGGTAGATCTGACCTTTACACTGTTGGCTCAAATGTTGGATTAGAGTCAGTTTGTAAATTTTTTTATCCAAATACCTATAAAAGGGGACTTGGGGGAACACATTATACATGTCCCATAGAAGCCATCAAAACAAAAGCACAAAAGATATTGGCAATTAATTTTAAAGAACATAGAATGTGTTAAGTGAGAGGTAAGTACAGTTGGGGAAGGGAGAGGTACTCTGGAAACTTAGGCCAAAGTCCTCACTTGATGAAGGGAAAACCAAATCCCAGTGAGTTTGCTCAGGACTCTAACAGCTACTACGTGACGGAGTCAGTGACAGAATCCATGTCTTCTAACGTCTAGCTCAGTCATGGTGTCACTTGGGCTTCATGTCAGATGTGACTGGGAGGAAGATTTCTCCATGAAGGAAAAAAAAAAAGGCAAAACAAAAGCCCCCAACTGAAAAAAACTCAAATGCCTCTCCAGTTCCATAAACATGCCATTTCCTCTGTGTCCCCAGGTTCGAACTCTTGTGTGTGTTATTTATCTACAGGCAAGATTTTGAGGCGTTCTGATTCTTTTCACAAATACTGCCAAGGACGCCATTTGCTGACCCAAAATGAGACTTCCCGAAGGCTGTCTATCACTATCTGTGGCACAGTTACTTTACCCTGAACCCCCATTTCCAGATTATTTCACTCATACATATGTGAAGCCAGATAATTCTATTATTGCTGCAAAACTTCATAGAGTAATAGTAGCTAACACTTTAGATCACACATCTTTGCCGGGTGCTTTTCCAAGAGCTTCAAGGCATGTTAACTGTTTACTTCAAAAAAAAACCCTCTCTCCCATTTAAGAGATAAGAAACTGAGGCAGAGAAAGATTAATTAACTTTGCCAAGTCTTTCCAGAAACCAATATTGCACTGTCTAGTAACTAACTAGAATTTAAATAAAAATTTGTAAAGAAAATAACTAGAGAAAGAGAGGAAGGAAGGGAGGGAGGGGAAAGAAAAAAAAGGAGAAAGAGGAGAGAAAGGAAAGAAAGAAAGAAAAGAGGAGAAAGAATGTAAGAAAAAAAAAGAAAAAAGAAAGAAAAAAGGAAAAAAGAAAGGGAAGGAAGAAAAGAAAGAAAAAGAGAGAGAAAAGAGGAGAAAGAAGATAAAGAAAATAGATGGAAATAAAGAAAAGAGAGAAAAGAGAAAAGGTAAGAGAGAAAAGAGAAAGAAAGTAAGAAAGAAAAAAGTAAAAGAAAAGAGAGAAAGAAAGGAAAGAAGGTGAGAAAGAAAGGAACTTTGCCAAGTCTACAAAACTACCAAGGGGTAGAGTTGGAATGTGAACACAAAAGATCTAAATCCAAAGTGTGTGCTCCTAACCATTATGCTTTACTGCCCCTATGGCTAAAAAAATAAATAAAACTTAAAAATGCAATCTCACATGTTAGTTTGTGACCACCAAGTTAATAAAGTATGTTATTCGTGTCTCCAACACAGCAATTTTAGTTTTGCCATCAGGACCAGCCTTAGCAAAACTGGAATAATCATATGTATCATCACCACCTCTCAGGCAATAATTGTGAATGTGAGAAAAAAATAAATTGTCGAAAATGTAAGATGCTAAGTTTAGTAATAGATGTAACCTCCAAGTCCCTCAGCCTCTCGGGCTCAGACTCTCTTTTGGTGTCTACACAAAGCGACTACAGATTCCATCCAAAGCACTGTAGGAAATACATATCTTGGTCAAAATTAAACCCAAAACGGGCTGGGGGGGGGGGCCGCCCCCAACAATATAGGTGTCCCTGGCTGCCTCTGGCTCAGAACTGCTCTTCAGTGGCATCTGCAGGACCTCACTCTATTCAGCTTCATGTAGCTGCTGGTCCCTTCCTGGGCTTCTTTGCTCAACAGAGGATACTCTCATTTCCTTCCTTCCTCAAGTGCGCCTCTTGAAAGACTGTTAGGTCTGACAACATTTAATGAGGCTTTGGGGGAGAGCAGGGAGGGGAGCAGCAGAGACAGGAAACAACTTTAAAGGGAAAGTCAGTGATCACTACTCCTACCTCAGTGTCTCTGCCCAGCTGGTGCCTCTGGAGCCTGGCTCATTAGATCATTCCCGCTTTCTTCCCCAGGTACCAGCTGGCAAGTCCAAGATCCCTGTTCCTTCAGTAGGTAGAACTGTTCAACTTCTTTGTCTCTGCCTTGCCCGCCTGGACTCTGTCCCGAGGCCACGCCGCTGTTAGCTCAACTTCCTTTTGATGGTTCTCCTTTTCAGAGCAAACCTTTCCCTGAGAGAAATTCTGCCTTCCTCCTAGGCAACCCAATTCACAAACATTTTTTTTTTTTTTCCTATTACAAAGTTAAATGCTGAGTCAGACTGTGGGCTTTAGAAAGAGAGAGGATTAGTGGTGAGTCATGAAAGGGTCACATCTGATTGCACTGGCTGGATTCGAGATTAGGTAAACTATACAACCTCCGGGGTCAGATCCCGCCTGCTGTTTTTATATGGCTTGTTAGCTAAGGATGATTTTGATTTTGATTTCATTTTGTGGTTAAAAAAGTCAAAAGATATGAAAATTATGGAATTCAAATTTCATTGTCCGCAAATAGTTTTATTGGAAACCCAGCCGTGCCCATTCATGGACAATGCAAACAGTCTACAGCTGTTTACACAGCACACCAGAAAAGATGAGTTATAATAGAGACAGTATGGCCTGCAATCAGATCCTGTCCAGCAAAAGGATCCTACATAAGTCCATAAAGGCTAATGCCCTTTTCTGCATGCTACGGTCATGATTTTAAACTAGAATTACAGACTATCATCATTAATCATGAATTTTCTGCATGCTCTAGTCATGATTTTAAACGAGAATTACAGACTGTCATCATTAATCACGAATTTTCTGCATGCTATAGTCATGGTTTTAAATGAGAATTACAAGCTATAATCATGAATCATGAATTCATTTTACTATGGCAGTTGAATCTGGTTGTCTGTTTTTTTTTTTTTGTTTTTGTTTTTGTTTTTTTACTTTTTCTTTTTTGGTGGGGAAAGGTTAAGGGATACAAGTTGTTTTCCTTGGTGGTGGTGGTGGTGGTGTTTTGTGTTTTTACTAATAAACACGAAGACAATTTGTAATTCATTGTGAGGTTCACTAAGTGTTCACTTTATTGCAGCTGATGTGTGAAGTCGCTAATAAAACTAAATTTTTTTAATGCCAAATTAAAAAAGAATTCACATGGGCTCAAAATTTGGCAGCATGGCTTGAAAGGTTCCTCGTGTGCCAGTTGAAAAAACCCACTGGCTTACAGGAACGAATGAGTAGGGCAGGCAGTTAAGTTGCCATCTTCACTCTTTGATTTTGATTCTGCCCTAAAATAAGTCAGGCCACAGATGTGGGACCGCCTCAAACTTAGCAATGATCAGGGAGCTCCCAAAGAACTCCGTGAGGGAACCAGAGAGACATGCGTGTTGCCCTGAGATAATGTCACACACGCAGTCCCAATCTGAACCGAGCTGCAGCTTGCCCGGGCTCCCTACATCACGGTCGCAGAGAAAGAAGAGAACCCAAGTACATCAGGAATCTCACAGCTCCTGCTGGTTTGCACAGGACTGATCCCATGTGCAGAATTCCATAGTTAGCCCATCGCAGTATAATTAAATAGGAATGAGGAAGATGATTCAGGAGTATGGATATACTCCTAGTATGTGTACTGAGCTCTTTCCAAAATAGCTTGAAGGCGATTTAACTGAAATGTAGCTGCAGTGGGAAGTCATCGAAACATCAATTGTTTCCAACGATAATTATTACTTAAGAAAAGAAGAAATGTATAGCGAAAGCATGAAGGGACCCCGTTTCCTGGATAGATACAAACTGTTTCCACCCTTGTGTCAACAAGAGAAATCTCTTGGAATGCGATCTCTACTTCTGTTAGCTGTATCTGGACCTATTCTGACTGATGTTTTGACCAAGGATTAAAAATTCTATCCAAGTTTGGTTTTGATACAGCCATCAAAACCAAGTGCGTGTGTAGAAAGACCCACCCATAGCTTCCTATACCGCCCGTCCTCCATGCCCCCCATGATGCTGAGGGCCACACGCCTCACGCCATAGTGGGTATGCAGGTCTGAAACCACATCTGCCTTTGGTTAAACATCGCTGTGATACACGACGGCAAAATGGCTGATGGCATTTTGCTCCGTTGAAATCTCGTTGCTTTTCTTCCTCCTAGACAATATCATCAAGAGGATATTTAATATTTTGAAATTCACCTGGGTCCTGTTTCTGGCAACAGTGGATAGTTTCACAACTTGGCTTAACTCCATCTCAAGGGAGCATATTGACATATCTACGGTTCTGAGGATTGAACGATGCATGCTGACCAGAGAAATTAAAAAGGTGACACTGTTGTTATAATTCTTTTTGCTTCTTCTCACACTGTAAACATTTTAAAAGTCAGTGTCTCGAACTTCAAACAGGATAACACAAAATCTACAGTCTTTCAGACAGTCTTAACATAACCCCTTTGTTTTTCTGTATATCTCAATCTGTTCCACGCTCAGAATTAAAATAATCAGACACTACATGCACGTGCACGCATGTACACTCACACACACACACATGCACACGCACATACACAGCCCTGGGACAGTGGCCAGTTGATTCGTTCTGTTCCCTCCCTTCACCAGTTTGCAGGTGCACAGACGCTGCTGTCTCATGACGGATTATGTTGTTTAGTCTGGGAAATTTGGTCTGAAACTTCTCATAGGGGAAATTAAGATATATGCAGAGCAACAAAATATGGTAACATGTGGTTTATAGATAGTATTTAAAACTGATAGTTTGTTTCTGAAAAAGTTACTGTCACTTAGCAAAATTATCTACATATGAGAAGGGCTTTGTTTTTTTTTTAAGTTTCTATTTTTATTGAGATAAAATTGACATACAACATTATATTAGCTCCAGGTGTGCAACATAATGATTCGATATTTGTATATCGACATGATCACAGTTAGTCCGCTTAACGTCTATCACCACACATAGTTCCTTTTTTTTTTTTTTTTTTTTTTTTTGCGATGGGAACTATTAAGTTCTAGATTTTTAGAAACTTTCAAGTATGCAGGACAGTCACCATGCTCTACATGACATCCCCGGGACTGATGTATTTTACAACTGGAAGTTTGTGCCTTTGACTCCCTTCACCCATAACCGAGAGGGGATTTCTTGTTAGCCTTGCCCAGCGAGACCGGGGGGCCAATAATTCAATGAGTCAACATCAATCCCCACCTTGAGCAGCTTTGTTTTTTTTTTTTTGTTTTTTTTTTTTGTTTTTTTTTTAATTTTTTTTTTCAACGTTTTATTTATTTTTGGGACAGAGAGAGACAGAGCATGAACGGGGGAGGGGCAGAGAGAGAGAGGGAGACACAGAATCAGAAACAGGCTCCAGGCTCTGAGCCATCAGCCCAGAGCCCGATGCGGGGCTCGAACTCACGGACCGCGAGATCGTGACCTGGTTGAAGTCGGACGCTTAACCGACTGCGCCACCCAGGCGCCCCTGAGCAGCTTTGTTTTAATCCTTGCTTAAGGAGCGCGTGATGGCTGAGAGTTGTCGGTATGGAGAAACGCGCAGGCAGGTAAGCACTGTGGCAATGTCTTCCCCTCCGCAGGGCAACGTTCCCACCCGGGAGAGCATCCACATGTACTACCAGAACCACATCATGAACCTTTCCAGAGAGTCGGGACTGGACACCATTGATGACCGTCCCGGTGCGGCTTCAGGTGCACAGACAGCCCACAGGATGGATAGCTTAGATTCACATGACAGTATCTCCAGGTATTTCACGTTCTAAACAATGGGTTTGCTTTTGACAAAGGTAAAAGAGGTGGGCTTCGCCAATATGAGGAATGAATGTGTGAAATGAAAGTTAATCAAAAACTTACATGGATCCCCACCCCCTTTGGGCTACCTCCCTGCATGCAACAAAGCAAAAGGAATACTGTCCTCCCCTTGACTGAGCCAGACAAGATCAGGTATCCATAATAGACTATTAGAAGTGTTAGTATGACGCAGAGGCACAGGCTAGAGCTTTCTAAGCTGGAGGCAAGTAAGAACGAGCCTTCCTGATCACAAAACACTGTGTCAAGGGCTGCGTCTTTAATTCCTTTGAAAACTGCTGCCCCCATCGAGTATCTTCTATACTAGAATTGTCATCTGGTGCTCTCTTTAATCTTTTCCTTTCAGAATTGTTACTTTGTGATTCATAATAAAAATTAAGAAGGGATTCTGTCAGCTTCCATCTTCCCTGACCTGTGTGATTGTGTGCGTTGTTCTCACAACACGGACCCTGCACCTGCCACACACGGGCCAGCACCACTCACTGTACATGGGTTACCTCTTGGTATCCTTCCAAGACCCTACAAGATGCATACTATTATCATCCCCATTTTACAGAACATGAAGTTCACTTACAGAGAGGTTAAGTAGCTTACCCAAAGCCACACAGCTAGGAAGTATTATAGAGCAGAGCCAAGATCCAAAACCACATGGTTCGGCTCAGAGCCCGGTCTCTCAACTTCCATGGTACCCCGCCTCTCGTGGCCTCTTTCTGCACTCCAGGCCAAACTTTGAGAACTGACCTTTCTTACTGCCTCTCCCAGTAGACTCCCCATTCTCTGCCTCGCTGTTCTAGACAGCTGCTGCTGATGGCACAGAGCTAGCTTCTGAGTTACAGCAGAAGTCCCGACATGGCTAGGATGATTAGCTAGGTTGGATGAATTACACCTTGCACATATCTTCATAGGTAAAGAACATTATCACTGAGGACATTTGTCGCTTTCATTAAACATGTTTAATGTTTAATTAAACATGGGCACCTGTTCCATGCCAGGCCCCAAGATCAATTCTGACATAGACACGTAAAGATAAGTCATCTCTAAGTAGTTTGAGCCTGGGAAGAAAGACCTACCAATAGGATTATCCATAGAATCCTGGGTTGAGGTTCCTGCCGTAAGGGTGGCTGACTTAGAAACTCTTAGAAAACCCTCAGTCCCACTTCATACACTGTGCAAGGCATCAGAGGCCTGCTAGAAAACCTGTCCTCCACAAATACTGGATATGTTAACAGATGAAAGAGAGGAGGGAACTGAGACTATGTTATCGATACCACATCCAAAGTAGGTAACGTCAAGTTGAAATTGCAACTTGAATGGGGAGAGGTGGGTAAAAAAAAATGTTTTGCCTTGAAGAGCTATGTTTAACTGTTGCTGAATTGCTATATTTGAGCTTCTCCAATCATGCCAGTTCTTCTGCTACCCAATAACTACCTATTGATGCAGATCTATATTTATTAGTATGGAAAAGATATTCATTGCATTGAGTAAAAAGTCGGGTTTTAAAATAGAATGTATGCTAAAACTTCATTCTCATTTGTTATGCATATATTGATTTAAATGTGAAATTTGTACAGATAAAATTCTGCTTGGTTATATCCCTTCCTGTCCCCCAAATAGGTATTGATTCTTTTAAAGTCCTTTGAGGGATAATAAAAGGCATTATATTTTTCCTTTAATTTGGGGATAATCTTTGCTCATTTGTCAGTTCCAAAGAAACATAATATTTTAGCTATTGTAGATTTTTGTGAGAAGAGATAATCAGGATAAAAACTCTTAAGAGTTTCAAGGTCAAAGGGCGCCTGGGTAGTTCAGTCAGTTGAGCATCCGACTTCGACTTCGATTCAGGTCATGATCTCACACCTTGTGAGTTCCAGCCCTGCGTCAGGCTCTGTGCTAACACCTAGGAGCCTGGAGCTTGCTTTGGATTCTGTGTCCCTCTCTTTCTCTGCCCCTCCCCCACTCATGCTCGGCCTCTCTCTCTCTCTCTCTCAAAAATAAATAAACATTAATTTTTAATTAAAAAAAAGTTTCAAGGTCAAAGCATTTATTAGCTAATTGAGATCCTGTTCAAGATGCTTTTAATTTCTAGAATAAAATATTTGATTGTTAGAACAGTGGGTATGCTAATAAAATTTTCTCATTCTCTTTCCACCCAGGCATACACACATTTCTCAATCAGTAGTTTTTGAAACAATTAGTAATAGCAAAGTTACAACGAGAAAATTTAGTTTTCATGTCCTTTGATTGGCAAGTGCTGACAGCGCCCCCTTGTGTGTCTTCACTTTCAGGAAAATAGCATTTTTGAAAGGGGAACTTCATTCTCTTTGGACAGACTCCACTGAGACAAAAAATCATTATGGTTTATATTTTATTTTCATTTTCTGCAAATCATAATAACTCGTCTATGTGGAAGCTTCCAACTTTCTTAAATTTGTTCTGTTGCAACAGTTTTCGATCTACAAATCAGTCATTTAAACAGAATTATTTCCTCTCGATTCATTTTGATGCAAAAACTGAAAATCCATTTCTGTCTACCTTCTACCCAGGCTCTGACATATCCCACGTTACTTCGTGGTAGCTATTCCCATAATAATAAATAAAGCCTGCGTGAGCGTGGGTACAAAAGTATTCAATGTGTCAACAGGGAGGCAGGGGGAGGCAAGATTTGTTTGAAGGTAGTGAATATTCAAGATGCTGACAGATGCTACTTTCTAGTGAGAGGGGTCAACGAAGGCCCCCGGGGATCACACAGTTTCCAGATACACACACTCTGTAACCTATTCATGACCAAACAACTGGTTTAAAAAAAAAAAAAAAAGGAGAATGGTAAGATGTATACTTCTCAAGATACATCTCAGTTACTTGGTGAGTTATTGCATACCATGTACAAATGTCCCGCGGCATTCAGCTTCGGACAGCGCTGCTCCGTGTTGCACACTGGGTCTCACACAAACCGTTTTCCCTTATCTGCATTCCAGAATAAAAGGCTTCAGTCAGCTCTGGTTAACTTAACAGAAAGTCATGTTCATATTCAACTGGGAGGATTTCCTCCCACATAGCGAAGAATACACTTAACATCCACCCAGGGTATATAATGTGGTTATTGCATATTTATTTGCATCTGTTCTTAAATAATAATAATAATAATGCCCATAATAAGACTTATTTTTCTCTAATGAACGTTTTCTTAACCTCTTCCCTTGCCTAGTTTCATAATACAGAGGGTGTTGTTGTTGCTGTTGTTACCTGGGTCCCTAAGCTTGGCAAGTAAAAAGGAGAATGGATGGAATAACTTGCCCTCAACAATTTGCAATGACACTGCTAGTAATTGGCAACATTATTTTTCATGAACCGCTTTTCTTTTGAAGTTTCATGAAGCTATGTCCTATCTCCCAAAGGGGAAAACTACCCAGAAATATAATTTTTTTTCCATAAATTTTCGAGGGTTTTACAGGCCTTCTGGCCTGGCTGGAAAATAACTGCTCAGGAACCAAACCGAATCAAATAAATCAAAGAGAATTAGAGAGTAGACTGACAACGAGTTGCCCATAAAATAAACATGTGATGCCTATATTAGTAACTTGTAACTGCATAGTAATTGACAACATGCCCAGTTAAGAACTCAACTTAATATTATAAATCACAACATAAGAGGGATTAAAAGAAGGAAGACGAAGATTGATCAAAATGAAATCAAGTAAACTACCTTTAAGTTGGACCCAAGATTACAAGTGTAAAACCTTTCCCGTGATTAAAAACCATGAGGTAGGAATTATTTAAATCCATCGACTGCTTTTTAACAAAGACTGGCAAAATATCCTCCAAACTTAAAACCAGTCAATCAGTCAATAAATTTATTAGTAGAAAACGATACCTTTGAAATTAGTTCCTGGGGTGCCAGGGTGGCTCAGTTGCTTAAGCGACCGACTCTTGATTTCAGTTCAGGTCGTGATGCCAGGATCGTGGAATTGAGCCCCGTGTTGGGCTCCGCACTGAGTGTGCAGCCTGCCTAAGATTCTCTCTCTCTCTCTCTTTCTCGCTGTCCCTCTGTCCCTCTCCCCACTCGCTCTCTCTCTAAAATAAAAACATAAAAAAAAAGAATTACAATTTGTTCCTAATGTATTTTTTACTTTTTATTTCAACCTAAAGAAAGGGGAGGCACAGTAGAGGTCATTATGTTGTTAATAAATGAGTTAACATACCTGACCTTTTCTTAGTGGCTGACCTCCCCTTCTGGTTTTTTTTTTTTTTGCTTTAGGAAACTATCCAATCTGCAGACAAAATTTGTCTACACTGAAGTCTGCTGGAAGCCATGCTGATTACTAGAAAGGCAGGAATCTTCCCTAGAAGGGATTCTGAGTGGAAGGTCACTCTGAGACACCTGTGTCATTAGACAGGGTCTAGCATCATCCCCCAGTGGGGCTGCGCATGGCCCCCCCTCCCCGTGCAGAGGACCCAGCCTGGATGGGGCTGTCGCACCTGCCACACGTGCTCTGGCTTCCATGTCACCTGTTTTCACCTTTGGGCATACTGCAGACAGAATTGGGATAAAAGCCTAACAAATGACTTTCTATTCCCTTGACTTATTGCAAAAGTCACCATTTCCTTCAAATCCGGCTGTAAAACGGCACTTATTTTAATGGTGTTTCCTGAAATCAGTATCGTCTACATTCCTCGAAAATAAATTATTTTAAATAGCTGCAAGAAGCGTTAGATGACATTCTAAAGAGTGTTCCTAGATACCAAAGGAGTGGTCGTCACTTGAAATGTGTCACCTAAAAGGCGTGGGCTGATCAGGGAGGTGACAGCAACTGTCCCTTTCACCTTTGTCATCTGGGCCTGTTATCAGAGAGCACCCAATCTTCCCTTTCACTTTTAAAATGCCCTGGATTGGGGGCGCCTGGGTGGCGCAGTCGGTTAAGCGTCCGACTTCAGCCAGGTCACGATCTCGCGGTCCGTGAGTTCGAGCCCCGCGTCGGGCTCTGGGCTGATGGCTCAGAGCCTGGAGCCTGTTTCCGATTCTGTGTCTCCCTCTCTCTCTGCCCCTCCCCCGTTCATGCTCTGTCTCTCTCTGTCCCAAAAATAAATAAACGTTGAAAAAAAAAATTAAAATGCCCTGGATTGGACGACAGATTGGTCTCACTCCAAGTAACCAAACTGGGTGGGATGGTGTGGGGTCTGAGGGTCAGCCAGTGTGACAGCGGACCCAGGAATTAACAAGATGAAGCCGACGTTGGGATTAGAACAGTGGTTCCCACGCAGAAAATCTGAGCAGGGCCGCAGGAGAGGGCACACGGTATCTTTTTGCCTGCATGCTAACCCCTAAATGGCGGTAAGGGTGCACCCCTAAAACTAGAAAATTAAATACAGAAGTTCAAAGAGCCATTTCCCTCATCTTATAAATGAGAGAGAACAGGTTATATGTGATCAATTCTATAAACTTAAAGTCAAAAATTTCTACCGAACAACTTTATCAAATAAGCAATAATATCTGTAGTTATTTTCATCATAATGAAACCTCTTCTGATTCTTAGAGAGAGAGAGAGAGAGAGAGGGAGACCTCAGAGAGGAGAACGAATTTCTCTAAACCCCCAGAGCCAGTTCCTGTCAGCGTGGGGACTTGAGCCCAGCCCTCACTGCACTTGGCCAGAGCGTTTCTACTCGATCTTGTCCTCCTCTCCTCATTGCATAAAGGATTTGGTGATATCTAGAGGAGTTGGGGCCTTTAAAAAAAAAACAAACAGTCGCTCTGGCCTTATTAGAGACCATCTGGTTGTTCCCCAACTCTCCTCTGTCACTGCCCTGCATCTTGACCACACGCACAGCATGTTACATGCACTGCAGGGGGGCCCCACCGAGCACTCATGGGCTCGGTGCCACAGCTCTCGGAACCTGAAAAGCCCTTTAACTGGTTCCGCGAGTGAGTGACTCAGATATCCCTACGCTCCCTGAGCCCTGGACGTTGTCACTTCCTGAATGGTTTCCATTGCTGCCTCACAAAGTCTGACTGAGCACATCTGGCTGTGTGGGCTGGGCACACGGTAGGCCTCAGTCACTCACATGATAATGGTGTTCGGCCAGGGGATCAGCCATCCTGTGTCGCAAAGTCCTGTCCCGCTGGGTCAGCCAGGTCATTAGTGCTCAGGTTAGAAGATTCTTCATTCCAGTAGTCTCCTGCATAGGTTCTTCGGGTGCCTGTACCCCTTTGGGTTAAACTATATGTCAGCACTGAAATTCTGCCCACGTCCTAACTCTGTCTGCTTCTTCCTCAGTCGCTCACGCAGTCCTCAGTCCTGAATCAACCAGCCTTCTCTCCCCCAGTGTTGCTCCGTGGGGTAACAAGAAGTGAGGACTTTAGCCCATGGGTCCTCGCCCTAAATAACATCTGCCAAGACCTAAAACGTGATCCAGAAGAAAAAAATTCATTAGGCAACATGAGAAGTTAACAGACAAAATGACCCTGCCATTGCTAGACTTCCTCTGTTGTTTTCTTTGTACCATTTTCTTTCTTTCTTTCTTTTTCTTTTTTCCGATGTTGGTTTCTATCTGGTTGCAGATCAAACCAGCATCTCCTTCACATGCAAGGCATCTAGTTTGGCTTCACTGAATACCACTCAGAAAATGGGGTGGATAGTTCAGTTTGTCATGGTCATTTCTGAGCCTCGCTCCCTCTCTCATCTTGGAGACTGTTATGTTTTTTCTAAAAACGAAATGTTCTATATAAATATTACCCAAGCAGGTATTTCTGCTTAAGCCATTCGGTTACCAAATGGTTTCAATGAACTCAGGATTGGGAGCTCCAAATAAAACATATCTTCTCTAATTTAAAAACAAAACCAAACTCAGCTACAAAGCCATGAAGTACGAATTCCGCTCTGCGAAAGGAATATTGGGACTTGTAATTCTTCTATTTCCCTGTCCCACCCAGAGAGTGACGTTTCGTGATTTATTGCCAGCCGGGATACTTTTATAAAAACGTAGGACTGCTCTGTTTTCTCGTCCGGCCGAACAGGTCCTTCCCCATCCCTGAGCCCCCCTGTGGCGCTCGTTGTCCGTAGTATTGGTGTCGTGTGTGATTTGCTGCATGACCGTGTGTTGGTCAGTGGAGCCGTGTGTAGACCGATGTACCGCTGGTGTTTTAACACTGTGTCTCTGTAACTGTTTGCGCTGCCAGCTGCTACACTGAAGCAACCATGTTGTTCTCAAGGCAGTCTACCCTTGATGATTTAGATGGACCAGAAACTGTTCCTAAAACAAGTGAGCGTGCTCGACCTAGGCTTCGTAAAATGTTCAGCATGGATATGTCCTCCTCATCAGCTGACAGTGGCAGTTTAGCATCAAGGTGCTTAACTCGTGCATGCTTTGTTTTTTTCCCTCACGTTACCACTGTTCCCCCTTCGTGTCATTGCAAACGTAAGCTCTTGTGATGTCCGTTTGGCTTTGGTTTTGGTTTCTTAATTTTCGTTTTAAGAATTTGCATGACTGACCAAAAGCATAACCGCCGCTCATTCTGGGACGTGACTGGTCACTCCCAGGACAGCATTCTCTTACACTAACCGCTCTTTGCTTTTTGTCTGTTAGGAGTTTCTTAAAAATCCTTATTACAAACGTTGTCCTCCATTTTGTAAGTATTTTCCACTTCCTGGGCGTAAAGAGATAAGCATGCTCCCTCCTTGATGGAGAGCTCATGTGGGCAGTCCTCACAGAGGAAAATGGGCCAGGAAATAGAGAAGACTTTTTCTCATGATTTCATCAAAAGAGACATGCAATAGAAGAAAAACAATTAAAATCTGCCGCAAGGAGTCGTTTTTAGTGGATAAGACCAAATCTACAGAACTTAGAATATACTTTACCATTGGCTTCTGTAAAGAACATTATCGTGCGGTAGAATATAGAGCCTTTGCCGACTGGAACTTATTGCTTTGGGCTTGAGTTTTCTCATTAAGTCCTACCGTAAGACAATGCTCATTCAGAAATGAAGTGATTTATATACAGTCCCAAAGCTCTTTGTGGAATTGCCTTTTTGAATGGTCCACGGGGGCACAGAAACATCAGCTGCATTGAGCTTCTCGTGACACCAGAAAAATCACCCGAACCAAGACAAATTTCAGTTTTGACCGTGCACGTTGGTAAATCAGAGGGGTGTTAACTTATTCTCTTCCATTGCACTCGGTTGAGTCCTGAAGGTACCAGGACTCGTTGACTCCCTTCAGGGCCAGACCTGATCCAAAACCATAAAGAACGTGCTTGTAATTGGTTAGAGTCCAGCTGGAAGTTAGACTTGATGTGGGGTTGGCTCCACTGTTCTGAAAATTGCCTGGGGTGATCAATTTCATGGCCTTCCTAGGAGGTAAGTCCTAGAAAAATACCCAGTTTGCCTTGGCATTCCAAGAGCTTTCTATGCGATGTCCCGTACTGAAGTCCAAGGTCCTGGGAACATAAACACATAAGTGGGCACCAAGGGTTCACATAAATGTTCTTCGGTCTCAGGATGCCATGAAGGGCTCTGCCAAGGCCTATTCATCTGTCCATCCATCCATCCATCCATCCACCCATCCACTCACTTATTGACATGTCTACTGTCGTCCATGACAAGAAAAGTGGGTACGACCTGTATATTTAAGAATCTCTGTGTTTATGGGCCCAAGCTGCTCACCGTATGCCATTCAGATAACAGTACAATTTCAGAGTCTAACATAGTATGGTCCTCTATCTACCAGATTCCACATCTCCAAAACATTTTTGTCTTTCTGCCCTTCAGGGGCTGGGGTAGACAATAAAAACAGGCAGGCCATGAATTTCACTGTTACAGCTGCTGTATTTTCATTTCCAAAGTCGCCTACACAGACATGGCAGGGAAAGTTAGGAGATAAAGGACAGAGAAGGAGAGGTACAAGAGAGATGGCCAGGTTGCCAAAACTGGAGGGTGGAGATAAGTAGGGAAGCTTAGGGAGAATGAATACTCCATGGGGAACAAGTAGAAAAGATAAGTTGCAGTCACTGGGGACAGAGATAGCAGGGGTACACCCTGAGGGTGCAGCCTGCAGGATCCATAGCACTGGAGAGGGTCCATAGCACTGGGGAGGACAAAATGGCAGGCCTTCCCATGTGCAACACAAAGAACCCAGCGGGGAATGTTGGGAGCCAGAGAGATGGTGAAAATTCAGTCATATGTAATAAGCACCAGTAAGAAAGAGGTAAAGGATGGAAAAATAGGGAGGAGGAACAGATATCCAAGAAATAAGGCATTTTTTCCATAAAGCATGCAGGTTGTTTAATTTAGCCAATATTTTCTCATTCCTATCCTCTCCTTATGGGTAGGAGTGGGCCCATTACGTAGAATTGGGAGTAGAGTACCTCCTGGCCAACACCCACAGACCCAAACTGGCAAAGTTTCGACTCCATAGGCACCATCCTTTAATATAGTGGTAGGTATGCTATGCTAACTGTCTCCATTTGAAAAGAAACCCTGGAAACCATGGCTGCAAATCTTGATACGATTTAGACAACCTCTGTGCATAGGTGGCTTTAGCAACATCTGAGCCATGTCATGTGACTTGTTCAGGGTCTCAACCGTGCGCGTGCACTGTGGGCTTTCGCATTTTGAGGCTGCTGTTTGCAGTCTCTGCAGACCAGACATGAATACTCTGAAGGAACAAAGCAGGTGGATGGAATGTCGGGGGCGGGGTGGTGGGGGCAGGGGAGGGAACGGGGTGGTAATTTTCTCGCCCGCCTTGACGTTTGTATTGGGGAGTGTTGGGAAGGTGTCTCGAGAATCGGGAGGATGCTAAGAGCGGGGTGTGTGCCCTCCCTCTCTCCCGACAGTGAGCCCACGCAGTGCACCATGCTGTACTCGCGCCAGGGGACCACGGAAACCATAGCGGAGGTGGAGGCCGAGCAGGATGACGAGGCGGTGGCCAAAGACGCCGATCAGGGAGGGGAGGAGGCCGCGGACTTGGGGCCGGTGGAGGCCTCGGAGGCCGGCCTCACCCCAGATGCCGAGCTGCCGCACTACTCCACCGAGGATGGGGACGTGGAGGCGCCTCCCTCCTACAGCAAGGCGGTCAGCTTCGAGCGCCTGTCCTTCGGCTCGCGGGACGACTCTGCAGGCCAGAGCCACATGGCCGTGAGCCCTGACGAGAGCCGCTCAGACAGGCTCGAGTCCAGCATCTTACCGCCCCTGACTCACGAGCTGACGGCCAGCGAGCTGCTGCTGAACAAGTAAGAGTGCTGGGCGGGTTGGGGGGGGGGGGGGGTCCGCGCGGGGGGGGGGGGGGGGGTTCCGCAGGTTGTGGGTAGACAAACTCCCGTGGACAACCGTCCACCTGGACATTCAGAGCAAACAGACCCAATGTTCAGTGCTCCCGTCGTGAAGCACAGAACTAGCCAAAGCCGTCCGTGATAGACACTTGTGCACACATTTCTTCTTCCAGTAGGCTATTAGGTTGACTCCGCCAGAACTCTGGCCACATGGGAAGGAGGGGAGGGACAAGAGGGATCATGCAAAGCAGAAATCAGTGATTTGGAGAAATGAAGACGAGTTTATTCTCATGTTGTTTATTTGAACAGGATGTTCCATGATGACGAGCTGGAAGAGTCCGAAAAATTCTACGTTGGCCAACCCCGGTTCTTGCTGTTGTTCTATGCCATGTACAACACTCTGGTGGCCCGCTCAGAAATGGTGTGTTATTTTGTGATCATCCTCAACCACATGGTCTCTGCCTCCATGATCACCCTTGTGCTTCCCATTCTGATCTTCCTCTGGGCCATGCTGTCTGTGCCCAGGCCCAGTAGACGATTCTGGATGATGGCCATTGTCTACACAGAGGTAAGCCTCGAGTGGGAATTGCTAATAAATCGCTTCCGGCATTCACTCGAGGCAGGCCAGCCCTGTCTCCCAGAGTTTCACGCAGGACATTCAAGTAAATGGATGTTCTTAGATAGGCAAATGACTATTAACTAACAGTTATTTAGTGCTGGCGATTGTACATGTCTTTTCACAAGTCACACCACACTAAGACAGGCACCAATATCGTTTGGTTTAACATACAAGGAAACAGCTTTAGCGAGATGAAATAACTGACCCAGGCTGCCCCAACTGGCAAGTGATGGGAGAGGCTTTTGAAATCTGGTCATCTGTCCTATGATATGAACTACTGAAATAATGTGTTATTTATGCAGAAAATAGTGTCTCGTGCCAGTGGATGTCCAGTGAATGGATGCTGAATTAAACAACACAGTAAACAATTTGAATATAGTTTGATACAACATGCATATTTCCCATTTTTTAAGCTTAAAGCCAGTTTCAACACACAAAAACACAAAGTCACATAAGCACCTACCTAAAAATCTGAGTAACACGAGGGTAAATTACCATTTCATTTTCGTCATGTGTGAGGGACAGGAGACACTCTTCCCAATTATACGAACCTGTTTTTCTATCCTTCCCCATCAAATATATGCAATGTCACAAACTCCCATGACAACGATAAAATTGGGAATTAAAAGGGAGGCTCAATAGCCTTTTTTTGCTTGGGTTATTGTAGTTCTTTGTGTTCTGAGGTCTTTGAAGAAGGCGAATTTTCTTACCTGGCTCATAAAGGAAAGTTTTCACTAACATTGGTACTGTAGTTGCTTCTTAAAGGATGGAATTCATGATGAATGTACATTGAGATTCCAGAAATTTTGTAGGTTTATAGGTAATTCACCAGTAAAATAAAGCGAAGCTTTTATCGAAGCATCTCGAAAGTATCAGTGTAAAGTATCATATATCTTATTTCCATAGTAATTATTAAAATATATTTAAATACTTATAAAAGGTGGAAAGCCAACTACCTAGCTATCACTTTAAGTAGACTGTCTGTCACGGTCTTGCCAAAATAATCATTTTTAAGTCTTACTTCCATCACATAAACTTTGTGATCCGGGACATAAATGACCCCCTATTTGGGGAATGGGTCCATTCTCTGTACCACCTCTGTATAGAGGTGAGGGAGTTTCTAACCTAGAAGTGAAGGAAGGGAGTTTCTGATATAGAAGTGAAGGAAGAAGGAAATTCTCTAAAAATTTAGAGAAGGGAACAAGAGCTACTTACGTTATTTCATCATAAAATGAAATCTTCCTAGTTGAGTTAAATTGGGGTTCCCCATTTTCTCCGTCACACCAAGAAGGGAGGAAGTAGAAGATTAAGGTGATGTTAACTCACTCCACAAGTTAGACTATGCACCAAAACCCAGGAACTATGCCAAGCATAAGAAGAGGACAATAAATTTAATAAAAAACTTTTTTTAAAAAAAGTTGTTTTTGTTTCTCAATGGCTCACAAACCAATATGGTGAACACATAGGATGTAAACAAAGAATTGCCCTACAGTACAACACAAAACCGCATTAGAGAGCATACAAGAAATACGGATATGGTCTGTGCCTCGTGCAGCCTGGGTGGTGTGGAGAGAGGCCATCATAGCATCTTCTCAGTAGAAGACAACTTAGAACTGAGTCTTAACGGATGAGTGTAAGGTCATCAAAGGACAAAAAGCAAAGGGTCAAACAAAGGTATAGACACTCTGACGTGTGCCCAGAATGACACATGGCTTGTGATGGCTGGGAGGCAGGCCGTGAGTGGACAGCACGGTAGCAGGCTCTTGGGAATGTCAACAGGGTGTATGCTCAGGACTTTCTCCCGTTGGTATGAAAGTTTTTGAAAAGACGCTGAGAGGTCATGGGATGTGAACTGACCCAATGGCCACGAGGCTGAAGATGAATGGGGTAAATGAGGAGTTTTAGTAAGTGACCCAAACGGGTTGGGGGTGCGAGTGAGAAGGAAAGAGGCAAAGATAGTCTTCAGGTATCTGCTCTGGCATCCGTTTGTGGCAGTGCTGCTCAGCATGGTCAGAAACACAGGACTGTTCTTTGCGGAAGCTTGGCTATAAGAAGGAGAGAGACGGGAGGAGGGCAAAGTGACTCTAGGTCAGAAGAGGACTTCGAAAAATATTTTTTATGGATGAATTGCATGAATTGCAATTAATTCCCGGTGACCCAGCTGTCAGAGGGATGTTTAGATGAGGCCTGTCAATTTTCTCATGTGTCTTTGTCACAGACCGCTTCTCCCCAACATTTGTACCCTTAACTAGTCACCACAACCGGCAAGTTTTTATTTCTTTTTATTTCTTCTTAAGGAGAACTTCCAGGGAGCAACGAAATGGTGAGAACAGGGGCACCTGGGTGGCTCAGTCGGTTAAGTATCTGACTTCGGCACAGGTCATGAGCTCGCGGTTTGTGGGTTCGAGCCCTGCATCGGACTCTGCTGACAGTGCAGAGCCTGGAGCCTGCTTCAGAATCTGCGTCTCCCTCGGTCTCTGCCCCTCCCCCGCTCACGCTCTACCCCCTCTGCTTCTCAAAAATAAAATAAAACATTAAAAAAATTTTGTTTTAATGGTGAGAACAAAGAGGTCAAAGGAAAATGAAAATGGGCATCAAAACTGCCTGAGATGCTCAGGAAGATTACAAATGAAAGCTATATGTAAAATATAGAATTTGTTCAAGTTTGTCCTCGTTACCGTATCTTAATAGCTGAGTAATTAAACCTTATTAAATCAGCATAAACTAGCCAAGTCCTGAAAAATAGAAAAAATCATAAGTAGGTGCCGTGAGTAACCTGGCCGGCTCTGATGTATCTGCAGTCCTGCCCTGGCAGCGGTAAGATATTGCTCTTGGTCTAAAGTCCATGTACGAATGATAATGTTATTTTTCCACATCATTGTGTGTGATCTTATCACCAAAACTGTGAAATGATCTTTTTCTTAGCTTTTATATCACTATTTTTCATATAGAACCATTCTTAAAAGGAGTGATTTTTTTTTTTTTCCATCATCTGCATGTAGGTGGCAATTGTGGTCAAGTATTTCTTCCAATTTGGCTTCTTTCCCTGGAACAAGAACGTGGAATTGAACAAAGATAAACCTTTCCACCCACCGAATATCATAGGAGTGGAGAAGAAAGAAGGCTACGTCCTTTATGATCTCATTCAGCTCTTGGCTCTTTTCTTCCATCGGTCCATTTTGAAGGTACTGCACGTTAACACTTAACCGGGTCATGTTGATCATTGCAGCCCCGGGTGATACTCGTGGAGAACCTGAACATTACGATTGGCGATGAGGCCAAGGCATATGGGGCTCAATAAGGGAAACTGTAACAAACCTGGAAGAGAATTCCCCCATATTTCTACTTCTATTATGAACATATCATAATTAATCCATATTTGTGGGAATTATGTTAGAGAAAATGCATAACCTTGCAAAGGTATGTTATCCAAGGAAACCACTTAGCCAAAACTGAGTTTGCCTGAATTTTCTAGTTCTTCTGATAAATTACCTGAATTCATGCAGTTTACTAATTCTTGTTATGAATATATTAACAAATGTGTTAACATTATGTTTTCAGTTCTAGAAATTGAAGTTTAAATTTCTGCATTTAAGACATGGTGGTATTATGTTGTATGTCCACTACACCTCCGTTTAAAAAAAAAAGACATGATTGTATACATTTGGTCACTTCACGACTCTCTTGCAACTTGTATCCTTTTTCACATCATTTAAAAAATGTATATATAAACCTTTAGGCATTTTGCTGCCTTCTCATTAATATTTCAGTGGTTTAGCAGCTACAGTTGAATATTTAAAGCATAGAATAAACAAAATTTTGGCGTTTCCTATTGATATACTTACTCTGGTTTCTTAGAAAATTTCATATCTATGGTGAATGTATTTGAGGTACTCTTATGCTGAAATTTTGGCTAATGATACGAAAAATCATTTTTAGAATAACAAATCTTTTCATAAGGAGACAAAACTACCCTACAGCTCTGGAAATCTAGGAAACCAAACAGTTCAAACTACGTGGAAATTTCAAATGTGGTTAAAACTATCCTATTTGGTATGAATTGCTATAGATCTTATAAATAATTGGAAGAATTCACTGACAAATACACTACTATGAAAGTAGTAAAAGAATCTAAACATGTTCCAATGTTGGCCAAAGAGAAAACAACTTTTAAAACGATTTAAAAGACAAAAAATGATTTAAAAGAAATCAATATAAGTTGGAAAGTCCCATTAGGAAAATCTAGAATGTTTGTTATGTTTTCAAGAATGCATCCACTGACTTTTCTTTTTGAAATAATATACCCATTAATATTTAAGAATAGGGACGCCTGGGTGGCTCAGTCAGTTAAGTGTCAGACTCTTGATTTTGGTACAGATCATGATCTCATGGTTTATGGGATCATGCCCCACGTCAGGCTCCACACTGGGCATGAAGCTTGCTTTAGATTTTCTCTCTCCCCTTCTCTCTGCCCCTCCCCACCTCAAAATAAATAAATAAACTTTTAAAAATTAAAAATAAAAGAATAATCTGTGTATTAGGTGACATTGTCTTTTAATGAGTTGATCATGCTCCAAGTTATTTTTTGACCAACTGAATTTTGGCAAATTGGACTGGAGCTCTTATCCTCTAGAGCATGTGTCAGAGGGAGGACTGGGTGAGCTCCTGGGGAATAAATGCATAGCCTGGCAGTCTGGGAACTCAGGAGGCAGTGGGCTCCCTGGGGAGCTTCAAGAAATGGCAGCAAGGTCATTGTAAGGTGGATTTGCTGTCCAGGTAACCTCTTGCACCAGCAAGACCCCTGGTTTTTCTCAGCCTCTCCTGCTATCCTTCCTCCTGCTGTCCTACCAGCCCCTTTTGCCCATTTCTTTGAAGCAAAATGCAGGCTCTACAGAGTGCATCACAATCTCTGTCTCATATGTGGGCCAACATTTTTTGAGTAGAGTATTTGCAGCTCTGTTCCTGACCCAGCCGTGGGTGATGCAGGGGTTCACAGCTTACCGTGGCTGTTCAGGGAGACACAGCATTTGCATTCAAGTGTAGGTATTTGGTGAACATGGACGGTGGGGCTAAATTCACCCACTGATATTTAAAATGCTACTTGTAAACACAGAGAAATATGTTCTAGAAAGTGCTTTCCCTCAGGAACGAGTTAAGTGATTATAACTTCGCCTTTACTCCATCTGCCAGACATGATCTGCATCCATGTCAATTAGCCAAACTCATGATCTGCACCAGCCCGTCCCCGCTCTCTGGGACTATCATAAACATCTAGATAATAAGCTTTCCTAGAGTCCCTTCATTTTCCAATCCTTTTTCTGCTTTATTGCAGTATGAGTGACAAAAATAATTGTAATATATTTAAAGTGTATACATTGTGGTGATGTGTTTTACGTAGACACAGTGAAAGGATCACCTCCATAGGGTTCATTAGTTCCCATCGCCTCCCGTATATATCTGTTTTCTTTTTCATTATTTTTTTTCCTCCCTTCCTCCCATCCCCCACCCTGCTTCCTTCCTTCTTTCCTTCTCTCCTTCCTTCTCTCCTTCCTTCCTTCCTTCCTCCCTCCCTCCCTCTTACTTTCTTTCTCTTTCTTTCTTTCTTTCTTTCTTCTTTTTCTTTCTTTCTTTTTTGTGAGAACATTTAAATTCTAACTATCTAGCATATGTCAGTTTTATGATGCAATATCACAGCCACAGTCACCGTGTTTCACATTTGCCTTTCTAATCGTGGGGGATGCGATGCTACCTCACCGGGAATGGCCGTGTGAGTTGTCCCTTATGCTTTCTCAGTGCCACGGCTTATGGGATGAAGATGACATCACCGACAGTGGCACAGACAAGGAAGAGTCGGATGATGAGCTGTCCCTCAGTGGTGGCAGGAGAGCCTCCTCTGATTCTCTGAAATCCATCAACCTGGCCGCGTCAGCGGAGTCGGTGCACGTGTCCTTCCCGGAGCAGCCCACGGCCATCCGGAGGAAGCGATCGGGCAGTAGCTCCCAGATATCGCCCAGATCCAGCTTTTCTTCCAATAGGTCCAAAAGAGGTATCTATCGCATGATTTCCTTAGGCTGGAAAAACTCTGAGTTTTCTGCTTGTTCCGGTGCCACTGGGTCTTGGGCAGGGGCGTTTACGGGGTGCTCTCAAGGAGACAGATGTGGTGATGTGAGAAGAAAGTGCTTTGACATCACAGGCTCAAGTTCAGTTCGTAGCTCAACTGTGTGACCTGGGGCAGCCGTATCGTTCTTTAAAACATCTGATTCCTTCCCAGGACGAGGATTTGGGGTCGTTGTGAAAAGTGGCCAGCACACTGCCTCGTATAGTAAGCGCTGGGCACATGCTAGTTTTTAAATCATATCCAGAGATATGAGATGTTTCAGGGTGTGTCCAGAATGCTATAAATCACAATTTATTTTGAAAATATTTTTAGATTTTATCAGTGGAAACTTTTAGCAAAACCACCTATTTATTCCCTAAGCTAGTTAATTTCTAACTAAATAGTTGGGTATTATCAGCAGGTGGATAAGCTCTCCAGTTTCCACTCTTGGAGAAACTGGGCTTTTGTATTTATAGTGCTCCTGCCTGAAGCTTTCGAAACACCCGTGTATTCATCTTCAGAATCCACTTTTCAGGCAGGCACCAGCAGTCATCCATATGCGTTTTACAGTTAGAGAAATCTGGACATGAAAAAGGCATGGGGCATGGACCCAATCTGGAAAACCCACAACCTGAGACCCCGTTTAGCACGATAAAAACTATTCTTCCAATCTATTTCTTCCTGGAATAAAGATCATATAACAGGGGCGCCTGGGTGGCTCAGTCTGTTAAGCATCCAACTCTTGCTTTCGGCTCAGGTCTTGATCTCTGGGTTCATGGGTTTGAGCCCCATGTCAGGCTCTGCACTGGTAGAATGGAGCCTGCTCAGGATTCTCTCTTGTGCCCTTTCTCTGCCCCACCCCTGCTTGAGCTCCCTCTCTCTCTCTCTCTCTCTCTCTCCCTCAAAATAAATAAATAAACCTAAAAAAAACAAAAGATGGCATAACAACCCCAGAAGGAGCCAGTGTTGGGTGTAGAAACCCAAATACATTTCCCTGTGGAGGCAGAGTTGAAACTGCAGATTGCAAATCCCCAGTCACTATTCTTACAGTCCATCGTATATAGTCACCCTCTCAATCTGCTTCAAGCCATCCTCTGCTCTGTGGGTTCCAGGGGCTTCTGTGGTGTTTATGTCAACAAACCTGTAACTCAGCACATCTTGGGTTTTTTTCTGTCTCTAGGCAGCACAAGCACCCGAAACAGCAGTCAAAAAGGAAGCAGTGTTTTGAGCATCAAGCAGAAAAGTAAAAGGGAACTTTATATGGAAAAGCTTCAAGAACATTTAATCAAAGCAAAAGCATTTACCATAAAGAAGTGAGTCCATGAAGACACTTGGTGTGGGGTGTTTTATTTTAGGGTCAGGGAGCTGATATCAATTATTTCATATAAACCAGGGGTGCAGAGCAGAGAAGTTACCTCTCTATCACAAACATCATCTGCTTAAGGCATAAGAAAATGACTTGTTATTATATTGTTCTTAATGGAGATGTAATTGACATATAAATTAAGTTCAGGCATGCAATATAATGATTTGATAGATGTATACGTTGTGGGATGATCACAATAGTCAACATTAATCACCACCTGTACTTACAGATTTTTTCTTATGATGAGACCTTTCAAGATTTACTCTCCTAGCAGCTTTGTAATGTGAAGTACATGGGGCACCTGGGTGGCTCAGTTGGTTAAGCGTCTGACTCTTGGTTTTGGCTCAGGTCATGATCTCACGGCTCATGAGTTCAGGCCCCACATCAGGCTCCTCGCTGACAGCGTGGAGCCTGCTTGGGTTTCTCTCTCTCCCTCTCTCTCTCTCTGCCCCTCCTCTGCTCTCTCTGTCTCTCAAAATAAAGAAACTTAAAAAAAATTTTTTTAATGAAATGTAAAGTGCAGGATTATTAACTGCAGTCACCATGCTGTGCACCCAGGACTAACTTTATAACTGGAACTTTGTATGCTTTGACCCCCTTCACCCTTTTGCCCAACCCTCCTTCATGGCAATCACCTATTTGTTCTCTGTATCTCTGAGTGTGGGTTCTTCATTTTTATTTTTTTTAGATTCCACGTATTAGTGATATCATATGTTATTTGACTTTCTCAGACTTGTTCCGTGTGTGTGTGTTTGTGTGTGTGTGTGTGTGTATTCATCCCAATAATATATATACTTCATTATATACCACTGTGCAAACACACACACACACATTTTTTTTATCCATTCATCCATTGAGGGACACTTGGGGGCCATGAGTTGGCTATGATAAATAATGCTGCACTGAACCTGGTGTGCAGAGATCTTTTTGAGTTAGTGTTTTCATTTCCTTCAGATAAATACCCAGAAGTAGAATTGCTGTATCATATTGTAGTTCTATTTTTTAAATTTGGAGGGGAGCCTTCATCCTGTTTTCCACAGTGACTGCACCAATTTGCATTCCCACCAACGGTGCACGAGGGTTCCCTTCTCTCCACTTCCTCACCAACATGCTATTTTTCTGTCTTTTTGTGTGAGGTAATGTATTGTTTTTAAAAATCACTTTTCAGTGTGATTCATTTGTATATCCATTACATTTATAAACATAGGTTTCTTATTTGAATAGAATAAGTAATTTCAAGGATTCATAGTATGTATTTCCAAGCATCATCATGCTAAATCCCACCTAGACAGAGAGGTGTATGATATCAAAGTTGGAAGGTTAGAGAAACACTCTCATCCTGGAGAGGGGAAACTGAGGTTCACTGGCACACAGCTGGTCTCCAGCAAAATGCATGAGCCCCTCCTCCAGTGCCAGGGACCTTGACAGGCAGCAGACAAGCAATGGGAATGGAGGAGGTTAGGCAAGGCTGGCCTTGAATGTGGCCTCTGAGACCAGGAGGGCCATCCAACATGAACATGGCCTTGAATTGAAGGCAGAACCCAGAAAACAAGGAAGACAGAGCAGAGGCTGGACAGAACAAGATGTAGTCAAAAGCCCAGGGCACTATGTAGGAATCAGAAGGGGCACAGGACCCATAAAGGGGAGGAGCAGAGGCTACCTAATGTGTACAGGGTGCTCAAGTCAGACTCCAGGTCCAAGCACCATTATGTAGTCCCATCTAATTCTCACCCCAGCCCTGTGGGGTTTTACAACAGAGGAAACAAAAACACAGAGAAGCAAGTAGCATGCTCAGGGGCTCACAGGCAGGGAGTAATTGAATCAGGTGACAAACCCAACACCTCATTTCTGGGGCTTTCGACCATTCTCTTGTGCTTCGAACAACAGAGGAGGCCTGTGGTCTCATCAGCACAAGGAGGCAGAGTGCCAAGGAAGGCACTTGAATGTGTCTGCACTTGCCATTAGAGCAGAAGCCTCCCCACCCCACACTGGGCTCTGCTGGGGCTGAAAAGGGAGGTGTGACCTGCTGGGAGAGAGGGATACGGAGGAATGGAATGATGGAAATACCCGGTCATCCCTCCCATCCTGCCCCTCCTGAAGCAAGTGCTGGGGGTCTCTGTTTTGCAGGACTTTGCAAATATATGTGCCCATCAGACAGTTCTTCTACAACCTCATCCATCCAGACTACAGTGCTGTGACCGATGTGTATGTGCTCATGTTCCTGGCTGACACTGTTGACTTTGTCATCATCGTCTTTGGCTTCTGGGCCTTTGGGGTAGGTTGGGGGGTGAAGGCCACCACACTTCTAACGAGTAAGAGCGATGCTGTCCTGTGAAGTGCCACTCGTGCCTAAACCTGTTGTTTCCTTCCCAGAAACACTCAGCAGCAGCAGACATCACCTCTTCGCTGTCAGAGGACCAGGTGCCTGGGCCTTTTTTGGTGATGGTCCTAATTCAGTTTGGAACCATGGTCGTGGACCGAGCACTATACCTCAGGAAGACCGTCCTGGGAAAGGTCATTTTCCAGGTCATTCTTGTGTTTGGAATTCACTTCTGGATGTTCTTCATCTTGCCTGGTGTGACTGAGAGGTAAGGTGGAAGCCGGAGGCACGCTCCCACTTTAACGCAAATATGTTCCAGGAGGTTATCATGCCATACACATCACCACAACAAAATCACCAGGTACAGGCAGAGGCACGGCCGAACAGCACCATGGGTTGGAAAAGTTAGAGATCTTCATCACTATCAAATTCAGTGTGGCTCAAAACGTGAACTGATTCCTCAAACACATTTTCATTGTGTGTTCGTACGCATTCATAGAAATCGGGTTTTTCAGGGTGGGAGAAGTGATGACCTTGGCGATCTGAGAAAACCAGAGGCCTTCCATTGTGATTGTCTCTACCCCTTAGTAGACAGAGATGAACCAGAGATGGTCTTACAGGCACTGCTAAGAGAATGAGAGGCTCTCAGACTATGTCCTATGAGAAAGTGGGACATAAAAAGAGCAGCCTAAAGTTCAATGGGGAAAGGGCCAGTGAGATCCTTGGAGGTGGCTGTCTGCTGCCTTTCCCTGTCTCCTTGAGCTCTAAGGTCCAGTCATATTGAGGGCGCCATGTCCTCCTACACCTCATGGGACCTTGTTCACTGCCCTTCTCTCCTGCCTCCAACCCACTCTTCCTCCTCACCCTTTAGATTTCCCAGGTTGCTTCCACCAGAAACACTACTTGGGACCGAGTCGGTGCCAAACGCATGAACAAATGGATGCGCCAATGAATGAAAGAGAAACAAGGGAGACTGCTATAAATAGGACATTATGGGAACAAAGGGTGAACAGAAGGGGACATGGAAGCACCCATATAATGTAATAGGAATGATCTTTTTAATGAACATATCATTAAAAGTCTTCATGTTTTACAAGAAGCTGATCTTTTTATCATACCTCAAGGGTCATTCCTGGCCAAGCCTTGTGAATAACATGGTAATCTGGCTGGCCAATGCCATTTTCCGAAGAGTGACTAGAAAGTAATGAAAACTGCTCTCACTTATGTGGTTCATAACTTGACTCAAATGGCATTCTTAATGAGGAAATTCAGCTCTCTCCTGACAATGCTTCAGCTACCTGTCTACTCTCACCTGGATGGTTAGGCTGTGACCTTTTGATTTTGGTGGCAATGCAAATATTGTAAAAGCAAAAATGGAGTTAGGATATTTCCCATGAGTCTGAAGTAAAACTAAGTCAATAAAGAATTGTTACCCAGAAAAATACCAACAGCCAAGTAGGTCCTTCACACTATACTGCGTATGGGGAGAGTAAACATACCTCAGCTGATAAAAATAATTCAGATTAAGGCAAGCTTTTTGTTAAAACACTAGTATTTTGTTAAAATACTTTGTAAGGACATTGTGGATCTTATTTGTTAGTCTTTAAAGTGGAATAAATACGCTTTTCTCTATAAATAATTCTATATACATATCAACTCAGAGAAGTAAACCACATTCAAAAGCCATGGTAGTTAGATGATGAATGTTATTTCTGTGACATTTAAGAGCATCAATGGGCATTCTCCACCAGCCTTCCTAGAAACTCTTAATTTCAGAGATGAAAGGGACCTTAAAAAGCTTTCTAGACCTGCTAACTTCACAGATGAAGATAGGTAAAACCCATACAGAAGAGTGGTGTCCCCAAAGTCACTCAGTTGGCTAGTGGTGAGACCAGATCCCAATCACAGACCTCTTGACCCTACTGTATGCTACACCCCACCTCCCATGGGGGGGGGGGGTGCTCACTACCAAGCAGATTTCTTGAAATAATACAACCTACAATTCGTTGTGCAGTTGTGAAAAGGATTTGATTTTTCCATCCCCAGAACAGAGTTCCAGAGCATGGATGTTGCCATGTCCTGATAGAAAAGTTCATAGAGACTGGTGTTTCCAGAAACAGGGCAATGGAGAAGCCATGGAGAATCCTTCAGCAGGATCAAATTACCAAATAGTTGGGTTATTCCTGCTGGTATGAGTTTCCAATTGATGCTGTAACAAATTGCCACGAACTTAGGGCTTAAAACAGAATGAATTTATCATCTTACGCTGGACTAAAATCAAGGGGTAGGCAGGGCTGCATTCCTTTCTAAAGGCTCTAGGGGAGAATCCCTTTCCTCGTCTTTTCTAGCTTCTTGAGGTGCTAGCCTTCCTTGGCTCATGGCCCGGCCTCAGTCTTCAAAGCCAACATCAGTGAGTGCAGTCCTCTTCTCATTGCTTCACTCTTTCCCTTCCTCCACCATCATGGTTCCCTCTGACCGCAGCTGAGAAAGATTTCTTCCATTAAGAGCTCATTGATTAGATTCAGCCCACCTGGACAACCTAGGCGCTCTCCCTACTTCAAGGAATCTAATCTCAACTATAAAGCCTTCTTTTTCTTTGAAAGTTAACAGGGGCACCTGGGTGGCTCAGTTGGTTAAGTGTCCTACTTCAGCTCAGGTCATCATCTCACAGTTCGTGAGCTTGAGCCCCACATCAGGCTCTGTGCTGACAGCTCAGAGCCTGGAGCCTGCCTCAGATTCTGTGTCTCCTTGTCTCTCTGCCCCTCCCCTACTCATGTTCTGTGTCTCAAAAATGAATCAATATTAAATAAACAAAATTTTTTTTTTAAAAATGAAAGGTAATATATTCACAGGTTCTGAGGATTAAGCAACAATACCTTGCAAACCGAATAGAGCTGGAATGTTTGTTATAATACCTGAATTAATGAAAACTTCAACTCAGTTTCTCATTTATTGAGTACCTGCTATGTCCAGGGCAGTAGACCAGGTGAAAAGGGGCATAACACTAACGTGAATAAAGCAGAGACCTATCCCCATCTGGGAAGGACCACATGATGGGATTCCAGAGATTGAGGCACTATGATAAATACTAACACTATGCCCATAGCTGCACACCTAAGACTAATATAATGTTATATTAGTATAATTAGTATAATTATATTATATATATTATATAATGTTATATATAAAATCTCCTATGCCCTTTGTAGACAGAGGCTTATCCCTCACCTCTAGCTTCTGGTACATCCATTTTCTGTCCCTACAATTTTGCCTTTCTCAGAATGTCATTTAAATGGATCACACGTCCTATGGCTTTTAAGGCTGGCTTTTCTCACTTGGCATAATATATTTGACATTCATCCATGTTGTTGCATGTATCAGTACTTAACTATTTTTTTGTTGGTCAGTAGTATTCTATCATGTAAATGTACCAAAGAGTGTTTAAATATACAAAAGTTGAAGGACATTGGGGTTGTTTATAGTTCTTTGGCAATTACAAATAAAGCTGCTATAAATATTACCAAAAAAAAAAAAAAAAAAAAGGCCACAGAGATCATTTCTGTCTCATTGGATCTCACTTTTGAGACTCACCTAATGGTCATTCCTAGTGCAATAGATTACCCTATCTTTATTTTTGGACATTTAATGCAAGATATATTAGGATTGGTGAGACTTGAGTCTACATTGCCAGCATGTCAGTGACAATATAATTTCATGTCATTTCAAGCCATGCTGCCATCACTTGTTAACATCCCAGATTCGTTTTTCCTCCTCCAGATATTGTTGCTAAAAATTTTACTCATTACTGTGCAAAAGAAAGCAGTCATTAATAGTTATCTAAATCCTTTTCAAAACAGGAAAAGAATAAGAGAAGGAACAGATTAGGAGTTGAAACTATACAGAAAAAAAAATTATGGCCACCAGTTATAATATTCAGCATCAGGAAGCTCCAATATTTTAAATAATTCATCTGATAAGTGATTTTTTCTGTGTGTGGGCACGTGATTTATTTAGTCCACAAACTTTCAGTGGTTGCCTATAGTCTACAAAGTGCTGTGTGGCTGGTGCCGTGGGGGACAGATTGGTGAGTAAGGCATAACTCCAGCTGCTAGTAATAAAGCATGGAGAGACCACCAAAAGAAAAAGTCCTTCACTGTGGGACAACCTTAATGTTCCTATTAGATTTAACAGGATTACTTCAGGAACTACTGATTAACTTATTCCAAGTTGAATCACTTTAAGGTTGAAGGAAGGGAAATGTTCATTTATTTTTTCAAGTTTTTATTTAAATTCCAGTTAGTTAACATAACATACAGTGTAATATTAGTTTCAAATGTATGATTTAGTGATTTTGAAATTTACATACAACACCCGGTACTCATCACAACATGGGTTGGTCCTTTTATAAGGGATAGAAGACAACACAGTTTTATAACTTTTTTTTAATGTTTATTTATTTTTAAGAGAGACAGAGACAGGATGCGAGTGGGTTAGAGGCAGAGAGAGAGGGAGACACAGAATCCGAAGCAGGCTCCAGGCTCTGAGCTGTCAGCACAGAGCCCGACGTGGGGCTCGAACTCACAAGCTGTGAGATCATGACCAAAGCCGAAGTCGGACGCTCAACCAACTCAACCACCTAGGCGCCCCACAGTTTTGTAATTTTGATTATTATTTTGATAGATAACAATTTTTCCTCATGCAGTTTTCATATAAATTATTTGTAAAATCCAAGGACATTTCCCTGGAAAGCTGAAAGAATGTTCTTTCTTACTATTACACCAATAGAGACAGTCCCTAGAAAGGGAGAGGGAAGGAATAGTTGATATTGGCTCTCTGTAAAGTTCTGATATGTTTATTAATAACTTGTCAAGTGCTAGATCATGGTCAAGTGTATTTAACACATTAGGACCTGAAATACCAAAGCTGGTTTCTCTACAGGGCAAGACACTTCTAAGAAATACTTTTAAGATTTCCAGTTGTTGAGATCCACGTAGAGGTCCCTAGGTCCCTGAGATACATGGGCCAGTGCATCCCCGGCTGGTTCTTAGATCTGGTCAACTAAATAGTATTTTCAGTTAAAAAAAAAAAAATAACACATGTCTTCTTCTAATGTCAGAATTAAAAGTTAAGATGACGAATCTGAAACATAAAATAAAGAGGAATAAAGAGGAAGCTTTAAGTGTTGCTCTTAACTTTAAACACAGGGAAGATGGTACAGAAGTCTTGGCAAAAGGGACTACCATTTCGACTGCTGAAGATGTCATTGGAGAAAAGAATGTTAGATCAGGGAATCATAGATTTTCAGAGCTAGGGAAAGTCTTCAAATGAAGACAGACGTCTTGAACATGATGGCTTGAGGAACAAACGCAATAGGTTATAAACACAACTGGAACCAAGGGTGTTGAAACTTTGTTAATCCACGACCTGCCTTTATAGATGGATAGCAAAAAAGGGGGGGATTCATTCCTCAGGATACCTCCTCCTACATCTTCCAAATTACAGGTCCTTTGAAGTAAAAAAAAAAAAAAAAAAACATCTTTTTGATGAACTTTAATTTGGATCACGGTAGCAGCATCTTTCACATTGTGAGAAAATGTTCATTAGTAAATGCACTTAAAAAGAAATTAGTTCAGGGGCGCCTGGGTGGCGCAGTCGGTTAAGCGTCCGACTTCAGCCAGGTCACGATCTCGCGGTCCGGGAGTTCGAGCCCCGCGTCGGGCTCTGGGCTGATGGCTCAGAGCCTGGAGCTGGTTTCCGATTCTGTGTCTCCCTCTCTCTCTCTGCCCCTCCCCCGTTCATGCTCTGTCTCTCTCTGTCCCAAAAATAAATAAACGTTGAAAAAAAAAAAAAAGTTTAAAAAAAATAAAAAAAATAAAAAAAAAGAAATTAGTTCATTCATGGCCTAAACAACTGAATTATGCACTAACACACTGGAGGCACCATTTGTAGAATTGTTTTTAATTAGGAGACTTTCTTACCCTGCTGTTTGCCTTCAAAGTGATCTACTACTAGGTGCAGAGAATTCCTTACACTTGACTGAACTGGCTCTACATGCCAGAGGGGCAATTCGACTTTTTTTTTTGAATCCGAAACTGGTATGCTCTTATACCAGAAGAATATTCCATTATTTCACTTTTATGTTTTTGCGCTTTAGGAAATTCAGCCAGAACCTGGTTGCTCAGCTTTGGTACTTTGTGAAATGTGTTTACTTTGGGTTGTCTGCCTACCAAATCCGTTGTGGCTACCCAACGCGAGTCCTTGGAAACTTCCTCACCAAGAGCTACAATTATGTCAACCTCTTCTTGTTTCAAGGGTAAGGAAGGACGCTCTGTGTTGTCACAGTCACTCACAGAGGGGAGGCTGGCAATAGAAAGGCACTTGTTTCCTTGGGAAGAAACAGGAAGGTGAAAAAAGGCTGGTGGGGCAATTTAGATCATCACAGAACTCTTAAGACTTTTGGTAAAAGACAGATACGCCTCTTGAAATAGCCTTTCTAGGTGTAGTTGCCGCACACCTGGTCAGCATGGAGTTCTAGAATTATCCACATGGGTTAATTTTCTATTACTGGATCCTGCATAATTACCGTGCTAACATTTCAGGATGAAAACCAGGGATACACGATCCTTAGGTATTAATGTATTTCTGGGCACAATGGAACAGAAATTCGGCATTTGTACTATTTGAAGATCCCCTTGGAATTTTGCGTATACAATGAGTTCCTCCGTTGAAGAGGGCCATTTATTCCACCTAACGTCAACCTGAATGCCACATGACTTGTTTGTCCCTGGTAGTAAGTTAGCTACTAGGCAAGGCCTATCGGCTCTTCCGTGTAAGAATTTCGTTGGTAGTATCTCCTCTCTGTTCCAATGAAGATCATACCACAGCCCGGAAGGTGAGGCTGCTCATGGCACCGCTGGCTCCTTGGTTGTACCAGACCTGGCGGCAGGTGACTTAGTCACAGAAGAGGTGTTGAGTGTGCTCGGTCAGTCACTTAGTGGTGTTCTCTGTGTATGGCCTGATATTTCTTCAATGGGCTGGATTAGTGTTCACTTGGCAGAGCTGAGTGGCCTTGGGGAGAATTTCCGAGTATAACCCAAGCTGCTCTGAAGAGCCTAGGGTGAACCTAGGTCTCCAGCTGGGAGAAGCTCTGTGTTAGTCAAGAAACAGGGAATAGTTCCTAGGCCAGAGAGGAGCCCACGCCAACCCATTCCCAAATATGAGAACGTAAGGCCAGAATCTTATTAACCTGAGGCAGCTACTCAGTCCGCCATCTACTAAGTCTACTGTGTGCCCCCAACCCCATGTCCTGCTCCCTCTGACATCTCTCATCTCCCCTCAGCTTTCACGTATCAGGTGTACAACTTTTCCTAGCTCATTCAACAGCAAAACCCCAGTACTCAATAATCCCGCGACCGACAGATTCTCATAACATAAACACATACACGTTTTAAAATGTAAAATGATGGGTCTTTTTGCAGAAGATATTACCTTAAATGTAGAAAATCCTAAAGAATCAACCGAAACACGGTTGTAAGTAATCAATTCATCGTAAAGTTGCAGGATATAAAACCAACATGCAGAAATCAATGGTGTTTCCATACGCTAAAAACAAAACATCGGAAAAGAAAAAATAAAGAAAACTATCCCATTCATAATAGCACCAAAAAACAATGAAATACTTAGAAATAAATTTAACCAAAGAAATGAAAAGATCTGGGCCATGAAAACCACAAGACTTTGATGAGAGACATGGGAGAGGACACCTTCAAACTTACTTAAAAGGCAATCCTAATTTGTTAAGACCATCAGCAAAAAGAAAAAACAGAAAAAAGAATGGAAAATACTAATTCATACGTTGACTTAAGATGAGAAGCAGTTGTATTCCAAGTTAATTTTACCATAAGGGTCACCTTGAGAATTTTTCCCAAGTCGTAGGGGCTAAAACAATAAGGAACTACATGAGCTCCCGGGGTTGGGAGGATGACGGGGGCCACCCCACAACTGCCTCTCTAGCAAGATGTGGTTTCTGGCAGGTTCCGCCTCGTTCCCTTTCTGACTGAGCTGAGGGCTGTGATGGACTGGGTGTGGACAGACACGACCTTGAGCCTCTCCAGCTGGATCTGTGTGGAGGACATCTACGCTCACATATTCATCCTGAAGTGTTGGCGGGAGTCTGAAAAAGTAAGCCAATAAAAATGCCTTACCCCTTCTCGTTTGCCTCCCATCCAGGCTGGGTATAAGATTCATGTGAATCTCTGCAAGCTTTGTGGCCAAATACGTGGAGGCAGGGGGCAAAAATGGTGAGGACCTGTGACTGTCCCATTGGTTTCCACCCCGGTGGACTTGGGAATTTTGGACTCACTGCTGCCTTAGTCAGCAATGGCATCCAGATGTGTTCTTCTTTTGGCCAGCCTATATTGTAGTTATTTTTAAAAGAAGAAATGATATATTGCTCTGTGACCCCATAATTCTTAAATGGCTCATTTGGGAGCAGAAGGGAATGTGGTAGTATGGAGAAAAGTGGGGTCAGGTGGCTTGGACTCAGGCTCACCCTCTGATTCACTCTTTGATGAGCGACGGGACAATATAACTTCCTTGTGCAAAGGAAATCGAAGTGCAAATATTTGCTTATTCTGTTAGGTTGAATATTGAAGTTTGAATACGGTTACAATTACTGTTATTTATTGGATTTTTTGCAAAAGCTTAACGTCGGAAACAGGAGTCATAAGAGCAGTGGCAATGGCTCAACAAGCATTGGCTGAGGTGGTAGAAAGTATCCCTTTTTTGTTTCTCTTCTTGATAATACCCTCCTTGAAAAAGTTCCCTCCAGTGTATATAATTTCTAGTATGTTCTGCTGCTGCTTCTTGGAGTTCCAGTTTCATAATCACGGGTCCCACTGACCTGCGGCTCCTGTATTTGTGGGGTTTGTGAGAGTAAAGGAGACAGGGCTGGCAGTAAACTTAAAATCTGCTCGCTTGTCCTCATTCGTAAGGAGCAGAGAAGCTGATAAAATGACAGAATATGGCAGATATTCTACCAAAGGGACTTTGAAGGTAACAGTCATGGCGATAAAGCATCCAGAAATCGTGACCAATGAAGAAAAGCGGGAAGAACCAAGAATTGTTCTGTCGGAAGTAGAAAAAGAAACGGAAGGAGGCGAAGACAATAGCCACTTTTAACTATTTGAGATAGTGGGAAATAGGGGGAAAGTTTGAATTTGTCTAGAAGACGCAAGATAACAGAGTTGAGGCAGCTTGGCAAAAGCTCTAGTAAGCTTCAGTGGCATCTGACGAACTTCCTAACAGTCGAAGCTACCCCATCACAGACTGGCTGCCTCAGGAGGTGGCTGCTGCCCAGAGGTGTCCACATCTACACCGTCACACAGAGGAGAATTTACATCCTGAAACCTCCGTGCTGGGAAGCGTGGGTCCTAGATCTATTCATTCAGCAGTTTATCATATCAGTTGTCTATTGCTGCTTATCAAACTACATCAAACTTAGTGGTTTAAAAATAACCACCGTTTTGGGGGCACTTGGGTGGCTCAGTTGGTTGAGCCTCTGACTTCGGCTCAGGTCACGTGGGTTCAAGCCCCACATTGGGCTCCCTGCTCTCAGCACAGAGCCCCCTTCAGGTCCTCTGTCCCCTGCTCTCTCTGCCCCTCCCCTGCTCGTGCTCTGTCTCTCAAAATAAATAAACTTAAAAAAATCACAACCATTTTCTTTGCTCACAATTCTGCGGGTCGGCAGTTTGGGCTGCATGTCGCTGGACGGACTTGCCCAGGGTCATCCTGTGGCTGCTGTTCCAGAGGGAGCAGGCACAGGCCAGAGAAAGGCCCGAGAGAGAAGCGGTTCAAGAGACAGGCAAGTGGAGAAGATAATTTCGGAATAGAGAGGATCTGAACCTCTGTAGATGGTAAGGAAAAGAACAGTAGAAAAAAAGAAAAAGAAAAAGAAAAATTCTTAGTATCGAAGCCAAAGGATAAAGGTCTGGGTGGGGGGCCTCGGGAAGCGTGGAACCAGAGGCGTGGGTGAATAAGTGAGTAGTGGCCAAGAGGAGTGGCCATCCTACGGGAAGCTGGGGAAAGATGTGGTGAGCCGACTGCACACCACATAGCCTGGCTTCCGCATGAAGTAGACGAACTTATCTGTTGACAGCAGGAGGGAAGGACGGCATCCTAAAACCCAGAGCCTGTCCACTGAGCACTGGAAACCGTGAGATCCTACTTCCTCTGGATGAATGGGAGGGGAGTCCTCAGGTGGGGGTTTCTGAATCAGAGCTCACGTTACTGTCCCACATCGATACAGGGCCACCTTTCATGGGAGCAGCTGTGTCTGCCCCATTTGTTAGCTCTTACAAGCTTTTCACTGCCTTTGAGCCAACAGGTGACAACCCTCTTTTTTTTTCAAGTTTTTTTTTTTTAATGTTTATTCATTTTTGAGAGAGAGGAAGAGCCAGAGCGTGAGCGGGGGAGGGGCAGAGAGAGAGAGGGAGACACAGAATCTGAAGCAGGCTCCAGGCTCCGAGCTGTCAGCACAGAGCCCAATACGGGGCTGGAACCCAGGAACCCTGAGATCATGACCTGAGCAGAAGTCAGGCACTTAACTGATTGAGCCACCCAGGCGCCCCAACAACCTTCTTAATACTATAGTGAGGAAGTCACAGCCATTGCCCGTCGTCCTTGTGAAGGACAGGGTTTGCTGTGCCCTAGAACACGAAGCATCCCTCCCCACAAAGGGTTTACGATTATTGTTGTCATTTTATCTTCAAGAAATAAAAAGCCTCATTTCAATGTATCACCTTTGGTGACACATGCATCACCTCTACTTAAATATATACTTCTATCTTATGCTCAGTCGCTGGCTATTTCAGAATAAGAGCCTTTTAAATCACACATAGTACAATTTGCTAAGGAACTTAGGTGTGTGGGAGGTCAGTGTCAGGGGAGTCCAGGCGAATCTGGCACGCGTTTTTAGTCCGTCCCATCAGAGACAGAAACGTTACCAGTGACCGTCTCTTGTCCAGTACAAAGCAGAAGAGTAAGCTGCTTTTAAAAGTAAATTTTCTTGGGGCACCTGGGTGGCTCATACGGTTAAGCGTCCGACTTCGGCTCAGGTCATGATCTGGCGGTTTGTGAGTTCGGGCCCCGTGTCGGGCTCTGTGCCGACGGCTCGGAGCCTGCAGCCTGCTTCAAATTCTGTGTCTCCCTCTCTCTCTTCCCCTCCCCTGCTCGTACTCTGTCTCTCAAAAACAAATAAATGCTAAAAGAAAAAAATTAAGTAACTTTTCTTGGGGATTCTTCCAAGTCGAATGTGCTGTGTTCCAGGGGCTTTATGAAGCCAGAACCATTTCCTAAAAGGCAGAGTGTTGGCACAGGAGCACTCGCAAATGCAGGCCCCTCGGTCCCAGTCCTCGTTTCCAATGCTTTCCAGGCAGCCACGTCCCAAAACACGTTAGGGAGCTGATTGGAAATGAAGCCTGGAAGGTTATGCAAACTGGGAGACCCAGAAGAGCGTTGACTTACCCAGGAGAGGGGTGGCAGGCAGTGCAGGACAGGAAGGGGACGGTCCCTTTGAAAGGTGAAGGGGGAAGTAGCCTCAGAGTTAGAGAGAGGTCCAAAGGTGCTGGCCCTGTCCTGCCCCGGGGCTGAGCAGGAGAAGGGGGAGAGCGGAGGGGGAGGTTCTGGGGATTTTAGCGGTGAGCCTCAAAGGGCGGCCTCCAGGAGAGGAACCGATATGGCACCACTACAGTCAGAAGAGACCCAGGCTGTTCTTAGCAGAGAAAAGTCTTGAACCAACAAAACACTTCGCCACCTCGTGCCTGAGCGCTCCTGCGTGAGGATGAGAGGCCGCTTGTCTCAACTTGCCTCCCGGAGAAAAAGATGAAAAAGCAAGCCTGTGTGTGTGTGTGAATACATATCTGAAATTCTCCAATACTGCAGTTTTTCTTTCGCAATAGAAAATTGTAATCAGTGGCCTCAAATTCCAGCGCAAAGATACCGAAATATAGTGCTGGATCTGAACATCATGCCCTAACTCGGAGCACAGCCACTGAGAGGCACTATCTCCTGAGCACAGAATCCATAATGCTGCCCATACTGGCTCCCGTGCACCCCCGTCCAGCCCCCGCCCTATACTTCCAGGCCTGACTTCAGCGATCACGGACGGCCAGGGCCCATAGAGACATTGTAGCAGTGCTGGCTCCCAGACCTCTGTCCTTGTTTGTCGCTTGTCACATGAGCTCAGCGCCTGCAGGCAGAATGTGGGTGAGTTTTCCTTACCTCACCTCTAGCGAAATGAATGGCTGCCTCCTGAGGGATTGTGCCCCCCAGGATAAATCTCACAGCCAGGCCGGGGAGTGGGGGTAACCCCCATATCGTGTGTGCAGCCCAGCTTCAGGGGCTGACCCTGGAAGGCAAAAAGGTCATGGAGAAGCAACATTTAAGCAAGGATTACACGTGCATATCTGAAGCCCTTTTGATTCCGGACAGCAAAGCTGGCTCCTTGCGCCTTGCTCAGGAGCAGTGCTTGGTGGGTCCCTAACAAAGCTGATGGAAGTGATCCCATCCCTACCAAACGCACTGCTTTTGTAGGAGAGAGCAGGTCCCTCACGTGACGCACACTTCTGCCACCACCCCCACTTCCTGCTGTTCAGCACAGCCCCCGCTGAGGACCCGCGTGGAGTCCTGGCGGCCGAGAGAGAGGGCTCTTCTGATCGTATAGATCTTATTGCAGGGCTTGAACCACACTGCCTTCTGACAACGTGTGTCATGAACGAAGTGAAAAACTTTTTTCCACCCACCAAGAGCAGGTGGTTGATAGGCACAGCTTTGGAATAATCAGGAATTTGCAGTAAAATGTCTTTCTCCCACATGATCCCTTGAAAGCAGAGGCTTTGTTCAGCAGTATTGGATCCATCGGTCCATAGGTTCATCACCAGCCAAAACCAACACAGTTTTAAGGAGAAAGTCCCTCGGGTCCCATTGGTCCCTCGTGGCACCACCGTGGGGACGTGTTGGGTGCTCATTAGAGCTTCACATCACTACTTAATTTCCTAGAGCGACCCGAGCGAACTGAGCAGAATCAGGACTCAGTCGGGTCCCGCGGCAAGAGCGCGCACCCCTCCTCCCCGACCCAGACCCCGCCTGCTTCTCGGGGCCAGAAGCCTGAGCCCGGTGTGACCCCTCTGTTGCAGAGATACCCGCAGCCCCGGGGGCAGAAGAAGAAGAAAGTGGTGAAGTATGGCATGGGAGGCATGATCATCGTTCTGCTCATCTGCATTGTCTGGTTTCCCCTTCTCTTCATGTCCTTGATCAAATCTGTGGCGGGGGTCATCAACCAGCCCCTGGACGTCTCGGTCACAATCACCCTGGGAGGGTACCAGGTAACCACTGTGCACCTCCCCCAGGGCTCACTCACCCTCCGCCGCCTTTCCCAATAAACGGCCACAGGATGTGGAGTTAGCTTCGGTGCTCCAGATTCCTCCCTACATTTCGGCTGGTCGGCAGATACGTGATGTATGAGATAAGTAAAGCACCGAAGACAGTGAAAGAATCGTTTTGTTCTGGTTGGGTAATCACTTCAAAAAGAGATCTCTGAGGCCGGCTGCCCTCGGGTACCCCGGGGGGGGGGGGGGGGAATAACATGGCGGAAATGTTGTTCTTTGAACCCAGGATGCAGAGACGGGCCTTGGAGGGCTAACGGCACCTTGTTTCTTTGTTTTCCAGCCTATTTTCACAATGAGTGCACAGCAAAGCCAGTTGAAAGTTATGGATCAGCCCAAGTTTAATAAATTTATGAAAGCTTTTTCTAGGGACACTGTAAGTAAATGCATGTAGTAGATCTCTGTGAAGACCTTTCTAGACGAAAGGTGAGCTCACTGCTTGTCATTTTGTTCACTCCTCTGTCATGGCCTGTGGTGGTGGGAGGGACTTTTCAGGGGTTACCAGGGGTCCGCAGCGCATTTCAGGCCACTGGCCCCTTCGATACTCTGAGCCATTATGTCCGTATCATTGGATACGTGTTAATAAACGTAATTGTAATTCGGGACATTTTAATGTAAGCTTAACAGATGTAGGTCCTCTTTCATATTTTTAATTTTTTTTTAATTGTAGTAGATACTGACCCCTTTGATGGGTAGGTCTAATCTGAGAATCTATATCAAGGGAGTCATTCAAAATGTTGGAAAAGCTCTATGCAGGCCCTTGCTTGTGCTGGCATTCTCTGCATTAGTAAAAGCTGGAAGCCACTGAGGGCTTCATAACTAGGGACCGGTTAAAGAAGTTATGGCAAATGTATCAAGTGAATTTGATAGGCACTGGCTGCCCTAGGGCGGTCGGCGTGGGAGAAGGGGACCACCACTTTTCATTTTATTTACATGCTATGTCTTCTGAATATTTTCCGAGCAGCGTCTTTCATAATACAAAATAGTCATTGCAGAGACTCTGCATGGCGTGAACATTTCTCAAGATAAAACCTAAGTGAAAAAGGACACACATTCCTATTTTTTAAATTAAAACAAATGAAATCTACATTTCCTACCATATATCACAGCGGTGATGCCCTGGTGGTAAAGTTGTGGCTGATGTATTCTCTTCCCTACCTTACAAACTTTTAATCACATGATAAATCGAGCTTTCAGAATTAAAATTTGCTCTACAAATAATACTTTGTATTTAAAGAAAATGATTAGGCACACAGATGCTTATCTCCTTTATAAAATTATCAGCCTCTAATGCACACTGCCAAAACTAATCTTGAGGGATGTGCAGCTGTGAAGACAGGACCAGGATATTGTGGGTGGATTAAATTTGACTGGGTGGTGAGAGGGAACACCCCAATAGTTGATACATTTCCTTCTTAACGGGGAGGAAAATGACACCAAGTCATTTGTCTTTTCTTTATTGATGAGTTGGGATGATCCCATAGCTGTATTGGTGAGGCAACATCACCAAGATTGCTCCACGGCACTCGGGCTGCCCATCCCTGTGGGGAGGGGAACAGAATAGTGCAATAGAGCATGAAGACCATGCACTGTAAAAATTGTCCTTCCTTACGGAGAATTCCCCTTCGTGTAGCCAGTTACAAAGAACAGTAATCACTTTATTTGTACATCGCCACAGGGGGCACATGGGTGGCTCAGTCCGTTGGGCGTCCGACATCAGCTCAGGTTATGATCTCAAGGTTGGTGGGTTCGAGCCCCACGTCAGGCTCTGTGCTGACAGCTCAGAGCCTGGAGCCTGCTTCAGATTCTGTCTCCCTCTCTCTCTGCCCCTCCCCTGCTCTCACTGTGTCTCTCTCTCAAAACTAAACAAACATTTTTGAAAAATTTTTATTTGTACGTCACCATATATATGATCTATTTAGGCATGTGTATTTGTGCGCATACAGGGTGCTATGCAATTTCTGGAAAATTATGAAAAAGAAGACATAACTGTAGCAGAACTGGAAGGAAACTCAAATTCTTTGTGGACCATCAGCCCTCCCAGTAAGCAGAAAATGATAAGCGAACTCATGGACCCCAATAGTAGCTTCTCTGTTGTTTTTTCATGGAGTATTCAGAGGTAGTTACTGTATTTCCATGCATAATTTCCCCTTTCCCCCCAATCTAAACTCGGGGTGGGGGTGGGTGGATAGAAGTAAAGAAAAAGTCGATGGATGTGGTTTATAGCTGACATTACACTTTGGGAACGTTCACTCGATGCTACAGCTAACATCTGTGTTTGCTAAATAACAGTTTGCCTAGGAATCTCTGACAAAAATAAGAACTTCTTAGTTTTCCTTTTTTCTACTCACTCCAGTTTTGAAAGAGAGGCTGGCAGTGAGTTTTGTGAATGAGAGAGAGAGAGAGGTAAAGCAAAAAGAAAAAGTGTCATGACTTATAAAATGAAATGGTCTGGATGATTGTAAGATTTCCCTGAAAGGTGGACATTTGGTCTTAGCAATAAAGAATTGGCAGTCTCGGGAACCCGAATTCTCACTCGAATCCCTCCAACGTAGGGAGGTCCTGTCAGATCTTTTCTCTGAGCAGGAGATGTGAGAGCAGCCTGGGAGTCCCAAGATGGGAGAGCTGAGAGAGATTCCTTCTTACCTAACCTGAGCCCATGGCCAGCACGTGGCCACTACTGCACTTGTTGATGATCTGTGTTAAGTTTGTATTTAAACTCAGTTAGTTAACACACAGTGTAATATTAGTTTCAGCTGTACACCATAGGGATTCTTCACTTCCATACAACACCCGGTGCACCTCACAAGTGCCCTCCTTAATCCCCATCACCTATTTCACCCACCCCCCCCACCCACCTCCCCTCTGGTAACCGTCGGTTTGTTCTCTGTGGCTAAGAGTCCCTTTCCTGGTTTGCCTCTCTCTTTTTTTCCCCTTTGCTCACTTATTTTGTTTCTTAAATCCTGCACATGAGCGAAATCATATGGTATTTTTCTTTCTCTGACAGACTTATTTTGCTTAACATAATACTCTCTAGCTCGATCCATGTCTGTGCAAATGACAAGATTTCATTCCTTTTTACCGCTGAGTAATATTCCATACACACACACACACCCCACATCTTCCTTATCCATTCATGAGCATGTCTTAAGAAAAGTTCTTGCATTCAGAAGCCCAATGTGTTAGTGAAGCAATCGGGGAACCTCAACACAATACACTAGTTGGTTGGCTTAGTGTTTGTTTGTTTGTATTTGTCATAGTCTTGTGATTCAGGATTCTATGCCAGCAGTCAAGTGACAGGTTCATTGGGTTCATGCTTCCTGGCTTCTAGGATAAAATTAAGAAAGAATTCCGATAGGTACAGAAGAAGGCTTCTCCAATCTAAAGTGAACTTACAAGGAAACAGTAAAGAAATATCTGAAAGGGGGCTGTTCAGAATTGAAAGAACTCTTTCTGTCATCTTATTTTCTCCTTTAGAACATCCCAAATTCCTCACATGAAATTCTGTACTGCCAAAATTCACTTTCTAGCCTTTTCTTTGAAAAGCTACCAAAATAATAATAATAATAAATAATAACAACATTAAAGATCAACTCTTGATGGAGCATTCTTTAAAAGCATGGATTCTATTGGTCACCATGGAGACTAACCTCACTAGATTAATAAAAAAAAAGTGTTTCAGAAACTCATTATCAGAGCATCAAGACGGTTTCTCTTCTAGTCAACAGACTCTGCCCTCTCACCTGCCATCTGTTTTAAAGGTGTTTGTGGCCTCCCCGGGCTTTACTAACTTGGTTGTCTAAGAAGCTGGACGTAAAGGTGAGGTGGACAGAAAAGGTTGGGGGTGACAGTTGTGGATCCAAGGAAGACTTGGTGAGATTAATAAAATGAAGAGTCAAGTGAATTTTTGAACGTCTCTTCTAGACTTCCAAGTAATCACTGACGTTGAGCCTTTTTATTTCTCTTCACAGAAACATGAGTTTGGGTGCAAAGGCAGAAATTGCAACCGATAAGCTTTCTTTTCCTCTTAAAAATACCACACGAGAACATATAGCTAAAATGATAGCCGGCAACAACACGGAAAGTTCAAGAACACCGGTGTAAGTGATTGCTCCTGTTAATTAGCTTTAATAGATGGATATATCTGGTACAAAATCTGCATCTGCAAACTCACGTATACCAGAAATGCAACTTTCTTCAGTAACTCAAGTCAATCTCTACTTGGAGGCCTCATTGTGTTACATTAAGGCAGCTCTGTTTTCCTCCCCCGGTACTCTGTCCGCCTACCCTGGGAGTACTGACCTTGTTCCTGGGTAGCAAACTTTGCTCTTATCTGACCATAATCACCAAAAGCCAGAGAAAGCCCCTGGGATACCCCTCCTCTACTATGACCCCCTGGCCTGGGGTCATTGAATGGATGGGAGATGAGGGGAAGATAAGGGGTAAAAAGAAATTTGGGGGGGGGGATCTACATCTTAATATATTCTCCTGCCGTATAAGTACTCCACTTCAAACGGATATAAGCTGTGATGTCTAGATTCTAAGCAGGAGGGAGAAAAAATGCTATTGGTGTAAAACCACTAAATGAAGTATTCCAGACGTCCACCAGCCAATGCCTAGTTCTGACCTCCAGTCTGCCTTGGCCCCACTTTAATGCAGTGAATATAAGCCGCCATGATGCAGTCCTCAGACGTGCTCCCTACGACAGCCTTTGTTAATCACTAAAGTTGAAGGAACCTCAAAGACTGTCAGTTCCTCCCTCATTATTTCACGAGAGAACAGACAGGCCTAGAAAGACACTGCAACCTGCTCAGGTCACCTAGCTTGTCCTTGGCAGAGGGAGGGTTAGGTCCAGGCCACTAGTTCTCACCTCAGGCCTCAGTCTTGTCACTAGATTCATGCCGTCCACTTGATTATAGATGTATCTAGAGAGAGAGAGTACAGACCTAGATCCTAGCAAGAAAGACAGTCCCTTGCTTCAGAAACAGTCACAGTCATGGAAAATCTCTGTAGCAGTTTTCTTTTTTTTTTTTTTTTTTTCCAACGTTTATTTATTTTTGGGACAGAGACAGACAGAGCATGAACGGGGGAGGGGCAGAGAGAGAGGGAGACACAGAATCGGAAGCAGGCTCCAGGCTCCAAGCCATCAGCCCAGAGCCCGACGCGGGGCTCGAACTCACGGACCGCGAGATCGTGACCTGGCTGAAGTCGGACGCCCAACCGACTGCACCACCCAGGCGCCCCTCTGTAGCAGTTTTCAAGTCATAAACTGCTCATGTACAGAGTTTACTTGAGTATTCGAATAGAAACAGGTAAAATTTTTTTGGCTTCAGAGAATTCTAGTTAGAATGGAACCCATAAATTGCAATGACATCACATTATATACATATACAAAGATTCACCATTATCGTTTGATATGAGGTCAAAGTAGCAACAAAAACATCAATTTTATGTGGGTAAAACAACTAAAACTTAATTACGCTTCCCCTCCTTTGTTTTTTTTTTTAACATACAGGACTATAGAAAAGATCTACCCATATTACGTGAAAGCACCTAGTGATTCGAATTCAAAACCTATAAAGCAACTTTTGTCTGGTAAGGCTGAGAAGGAATTATTTCAGAACTTTTTTTTTAACCTTCTTTTATTCAACTTCTGCAGTTTGCATTTTCAACCTTTCTCGAGCTTCTTTCCAGTTTTCTGTCTCTGTGAGACAGAGCTTATAGGAAGCATGAGACTCCCAGCTGCGTTCCACAGCCAGAAGGAATCAGTCACCAGAAGCCATATTCTTCATTGTTTTCATTGATATAGAACTTGATGGGCTTAAATCCACATTTAGTGCCTTAGTCTGTTTACTTGTTTCTATTAACATCCATATCTTGGGCAGAAAATGGCCTCATGCAGTATTAAATATGAAGGCCCCACGATAAGAACAATAAAAAGGTAGCAGGAAATGTGCGTGATTCAGCCCAAGGGTCGTTAAGTATCAACAGTAGTCTCTAGGGACTGTATTTACCCCAAATAACAGAGATGGTAGTAAGATGATGATATGGAATTCTTAAGCATTAATTATGAAGCATTGTTTGACTTCATCAGTTGCCTGGACCAGAACAGATGGGTATGGATGGTAAAAGTAGAAGGACAATGCGGTATATATCCAAGTCACATTCATTCCTTTGCCAACATGGGTTGCTCATTGTCACCAGGCAGTATGCCAGGCACTGGAGACGAGGTTCTGCATGGTTCATGTTTAGCTGGAAAGATGGGGATTGCGTAGGTAAACAGGTAGACGCCCCCATGGAGATCTCAAGAAGTAGAGGCAGCATAGAGGTTCCGAAGACAAGTGTGGGCGGGCCCCCACATCTCTATGCATTTCTTCCTCATGAGGTTCAGCCTGTGAAGTCCCCCTTCCCCACACCACAGGTCTTGGTGTTCTCAGGTCCTGCCAACACAATAACTTCTCTGATTAGCTTTACTGAGTTCTCTCTGATCTTTACCATAAGGCCTATTTAGCATACGTTGGTGGTTATCACCAGTTTGCAAAGGGGGAACCAAGGCCCAGTGTGTGAATTACTCAGCAAAGGTTATACAACCAGTACGTGGACAAACTAGATCCAAACATGGGCCAGATGTCCCCCTTCAGAACTCTCTAGACTTCAGAACCAAGGCTCTTTTTCTTCCTGAGCATTCTCAGTGGTTCACATTCTTCTTGAGGAGGGGTTTCTTTATCTTTATGAGTCTCCTGCCTCACTCTCCATCCATCCATCCATCCATCCATCCATCCATCCAATAGACTTACATTGCCACACACTGTCCTAGATTCCTTTGATCTAGGAATTTAGCAGGAAATAATGCAGCCACGGCCCCCACCCTCACAGAGTTTATAGTCCACCACCATGATTCTAAGTGGAGGCCATATTATCATTGGCAGTGGTGGTATTTTCTTAGAAAGGCCTACACAGAGATCTCCAAGCTTTCTGTTGGCCCTTTTACTGTTCTTCCATATTCACCCTAAGCTCCAACACAAGCAATCATTAACCACACATCATGGGTTTTCAGAACTTTCCTGAGCTTCATGCCATCAATCCTTGCGGAAATAACCTCCTCTCCCTCTCCATCTCCACTTTACTGATGTTCTCAGCAAAATTCAACTCAGAAGTCACGTCATCTGGGAAGCCCTCATGGATCCTACCAACCAGAATTGTTCTCTCCTTGTCAGCACAGGTCTAATAGTGGTTGCCACGTGCCCATAAGTTGTGCTCATGTACATGGCCTGTTCCCATTGAGATATGGAATTGTGCTGTATTCAACTCTGTAACCCCTGGTCACCTAACAGAGGGCCTTCCTCCCGGAAGACACTCAATAAATGCTGGTGATATGATTGGATTAGTCAAGTCAATAAAAAGTCAGTGATCTGGGTTTTTAAATGTCTAACTAGTTGCTTGGAATTATTAGCAAAGAAATATACTCATGTATATTAAGCACGTGTGATACTCACGTATATATCACGTGGGCCTTCACTCTCTCCCCTGTGATACGGCTGCCATGCTCACTTAGCAGCAGTGAGTGTCCTCTTTAGCGACAAGGAGAAACCTTATGCACACCTGCGGCCCGCTTTTCTTTCTCCACTCACACTGTTAACATGTGCCCTACTCATCCTGGCATCACACGCTACGGATAGTGGTAATCAGGTTCTGCCATCTGACAATTGTTTGCGTGCATTGAATCTTAATATGCTTATGCTAACTTGGTTTCATTTTTCTCGTCTTGCAGAAAATAACTTCATGAATATCACCATCATTTTGTCCAGAGACAATACAACTAAATCTAACAGTGAGTGGTGGGTTCTCAACCTGACTGGAAACAGAATATACAATCAGCACGCTCAGGCCTTGGAACTGGTGGTCTTCAATGACAAAGCCCGCCCAGTCTGGGGTTCCTGGCTGGCTATGGGTAAGGACGCATTTCAGTTAGCAGTCACCAGAGCCTACTTCTGTGTCATATAAAGTTGATGGGAAGCTTTGTACCTTCCTAAAATTCTTGAACTTAACAGCTGCAGTGTTAAAATTCATAGATCATTGGCCCTTCAAGAACCAGAGTCCCAAAGAAGTCAAAATGCCTCGGGTGAGTAACACCGTTAAGGACAGGACTAGAAGTCATAGTTCTGGTTTCTTGACTCCACGTCTTCCTGCTACGTTTGATGTAATTCAATGTTTAAACTTAGAAATTGGTGTAGGGTTATCTCTTTTCCGTATAGATTGCCTTCTGACCTCAGCAGATGCTCAGTCAAGCATCGCAATTTTGGACATGGTCCAATGTCCAAACTGGTCTGATGCTATCATTTCACCGTGTTCTGCTGCTTACGTTCTAAGACACACGCATCCCCTACAAGACATGAAAGTCTGTTAAGAAGTCAATGTCTATGCAGAATTATAGTATTAAAATAAATAGCTAGGTGCAGAAAAGTATATATAGTACAACTGCATTTCTATCAAGTATATTATGTGGTTTCTTTATATAATATTTGCAGTAAAACCCCCTGAAGTTCATGCATGAGACTACTAACATTGGTTGTTTCCAGAATTGAGATTTTTTTTGACACTTTTATTTTTCAAGTCTTAAAGCACTGTAATGTATAAAGTGTGTTTACACAAGGAATATGAATTACCTTTAAAAAAATTTTTTTTTAATGTTTATTATTTTTGAGAGAGAGAGAGAGCCAGAGAGCAAGCAGGGAAGGGGCAGAGAGAGAGGCAAACACAGAATCGGAAGCAGGCTCCAGGCTCTGAGCTGTCAGCACAGAGCCCTATGCAGGGCTTGAACTCACAGACCGCGAGATCATGACCTGAGCTGAAGTTGGCTGCTTACCCAACTGAGCCACCCAGGTGCCCCTGAATTACCTTTTTAATAAACAGAGTAAATGTTTTCACCAAAGGGAAAAACTCTAGGGAAATTTTGTTATTTTTTTCTTTTAGACGTGTTCTATTAACTGTGTTTAACTGGTAGATACAATTTCTAGCTACCTTTTTATTTCCCCCCCAGTATCATGGGATTGTATGCTTCGGTTGTCCTTGTGATTGGGAAGTTTGTCCGTGAATTCTTCAGTGGGATTTCTCACTCCATCATGTTTGAAGAGCTTCCAAATGTGGACCGAATTCTGAAGTTGTGCACAGATATTTTTTTAGTTCGAGAGACAGGGGAGCTGGAACTCGAGGAAGATCTCTATGCCAAATTAATATTCCTGTACCGCTCACCAGAAACCATGATCAAATGGACTAGAGAAAAAACAAATTGATGCTTTAAGACACAGACTGCAGATCAAATTAACATTTGAATTTTAAAAAAAGCACAATATCCTCATAAGAGCTAAGCATTTCTAGTTGGATGGAAATGGTTTCTCTTCTGACAGGTGGTCAAAAGGAGCTGCCTTCCTTCTGCAGTCTAAGCTACCTTGTAAATGAAGGCGCTGTTGAAAATGTTATTTGTAATTCCATTTCTCCAAAATCAGGGCTCTTTGTTTCATGATATAGTCAACAGTGTCTTGCATTCTGATTGACGATGCAAAGGAATCATTTATGGGTCTCCTCCCTCAGAGAAACAGGAGAGAAGAAGGGAAAAGGAAAGTTGCCCATGGTTTTCTGTGCGGAGCCCGCACACTTCCTGAAGAGATGCTCTAGTTCAGTAGGCCGCACCCTGTTGCCAACGGGGAAGCTGCTGTGGGGAGAACAGATGGGCCTCAGCACGCCCCGAAAATACGTAACAGCAATAGGAGGCTGAAGCTCCTGAAGAGATTTCTGGGGCGGGGGGCGGGGGGACAAGAGAGGGAGCCAAAGACCCATGAAGATACCAGTGGACGAACGAGCCTCATTCTAAGCAAAAAGTTAACATTAGTGACACTCTTACTGCCTTATCTTAACTGAAGACTAGTAAAAAAAAAAAAAAAAATCTTTCCATTAAACACCAGTGACTTCTCAGGAAAAAAGAAAAAAAAGCAGCAAAACAAAAATGGGGACACCGGTTTTGTCGAGGCCCAGCAAATGACTCGCTTCAGTGGTGGCTGTTATGCTTCAGAGTTCGGCTCCTCCTCAGACACAGGCTCCAGGTAGAAGGATGAAAATGGCGCCCAGCTGGGTGTGGAAATCTCTGACTCTGTAACTCTTTCCCAACTGAGGTCCTGAACGCCCTTCTACCTTTTTCCCCATCCCTCAACACGCTTTTTCCCATTTCGATGATTTAAGGCAATGGTTTTTTCCAGTATGTGACATTGTCCTTCCTGTTTTTCAGGTATATCGAAGAGTTTACATATTCCAATTCACATTTTTACATCTGAGACGGGTTTTTTAAGTTCATAGTTATGGAAGAAATATGTATATTGAGCTTGGGGAAATAAAAAAAAAACGGCCTTTTCTTAAATTATTATTATTGGTAATACAACCTCTTCATGAAATAACGATGTAGCATGAAAATTTATGATTGAAATGTAGTTTTCATTCTGTATTGAAATACAGTTTCTGAGGAGTCCTTAAATGGACCAGAACATGTCCAAAAAAATGATCCTATGTAGTCTGGGTTCAGGACTGACTTAAAATAAAGCACATCTTGCAAAGCCATTTCAAGAATAGTCTTCATTCTGCCTCCTTTGCGTGAAGTAGGAAAAAATTACTATCTTCAATACTGTGTACAAGGAGTTTAAAAAAATCGTGGTAAGGGAATATGGAGCTTTAAAAAAACAGAGATCAGACGGTGTTCGGTGTTCGGGGTCTTCTAGAGAACTGGTGCATATTTCTCTTCAGGCGGGAAAGCCAGCGTACTCCCCACCCTGTGCCAATCAGCGCCTCCAGTTGTCGTAGCAGCAAACTCAGACCACAAACTGTGGCCCACACTCTGATTTCCCAACAACACGAAGAACCATTGTGCGTATTCCGGGTTGTGAACTCTTTCTTTGAAAACAGGGCAGCTCAAGGGAGTTTCCAGAGAGCAGGTTATGACACGTTCAGGAAAGAGGAGAAGTAGGAAATCCTCCCGAGAAGAAAGTAGAAAGTCAAACTATACCAGAATGGTAATGCTCTTCAAGAGAGCAATTTCCAGGGTTCAAGAAGAAGCTTCCTGTATGTGTGGGAGGAGGGGGGGTATAGAAGGAAATGTAAAAGATAGAAATAAAGGATTGTAGAAAGGAGGCGCTTCCTCCGGGGAGGCATGTGCTAGAGTGGAAATGGCAGACAACGAGGAGGTCCGCAGGCCTGGCCAGGCCACCGTTGGGCAGGGAACCCCCGGGCCAGCAGGCCCTGTCCCCTCTCAGCCCCACGTATCTGACAACATGAGGGGATCGTCGTACTGTAGCCAGCCACGTTCCAAGCCCCGGCCCAGCGGACGCTCCTTGTGAAGGTGGCCTGCCGCCTTAGATTGGGTTCTTTGGAGACGGCCTCCGAAATGAACAGCCTGGACCAAGGACGTTTGGGGCAGTGGTCCCGGGAGTTACACTGGTCAGCAAGGAAGGCAGGATTGAGCAGAGGGACGTGCTGCCCCATCACGCAGCTGCAGCTGAACGTCACCCAACCCTTCAGGGCACTTGAGTTCTGGGGTGGTTCTGCCTCGTCCCGGGCAAGGGCGTGGCAACTGGATGCTGGAACAGCAAGTTGTTGCCACCGCCACTCCCTGTGCGGGTTTCACCTTTGATGAGGCGGGAGCCTACTCCCTGGAAGGAGGGGCACAGCCTTGACCCATGAGCACGGGCGTGTGGGCGTGCAGAGGGCATTCGTGGAGACTGCGGTATCCGTCACTGTCTATCCTTGGGCCACTCAGACCCGCTGGCTTCTTGTAAGAAGATTGTGAGGACTTAGTTCCCTTATGAGGGAAGAGTAAGACGCAGGAGATCCGGCCCCTGCTGCCGCAGCTGGTTTTGAAGCCAGACATAATACTCAGCATCTATCCTCCACCACCTGTTCTAGGTTCCCCTCACCCTCATCTGGTCCCTGTCCCAATGAGGCAGGGAGCCGGGCAGGGTGAGCCAGACCCTCGGCCACAGGGGCCCAGCGTCCTCGTTACCAGCCTTGCTCTGGTCCCAGCTGCTGCATTTACCTCTTTGACTGTTCAGTCTGGTCCCCCCGGGACCCCTGAGCACCAGCGTCCGCCTCCCTCCCCGACTGTATAGCCGCAGCCTTCCTCTCTCAGCCTACCCTTTCCGTAAGGTGACCCCATCTGTAATGTGGCTCCATCCGTAAGGTGATCCTGTCCCTTGCCAGAACTGTCCTATTGTCCTTCTAGTTTAGTGATCCTTTCTTTTTTTTTTTTTAATTTTTTTTTTCAACATTTATTTATTTTTGGGACAGAGAGAGACAGAGCATGAACGGGGGAGGGGCAGAGAGAGAGGGAGACACAGAATCCGAAACAGGCTCCAGGCTCTGAGCTGTCAGCCCAGAGCCCGACGCGGGGCTCGAACTCACGGACCGCGAGATCGTGACCTGGCTGAAGTCGGACGCTTAACCGACTGCGCCACCCAGGCGCCCCATAGTGATCCTTTCTAAAATGATTATTTTCCTTTTTCACTGGCTTTCAAATCCTGATTTCTATTGTTCTTTGGTGTCCTGTATTAAGTGCTAATTTATTTTCGTCTGTTTGAAATACTGGGTTATAGCTTTCACCCGTGTTGTTGCGGCCATGCCTTTCTGGTAAACTTGTATTGTCTCTAGGGACCTGATTCTGCTCTTTATTCTTTTTTACTGATACGAAGTTGGTACTGTATTTAAGTGCAGCCCTTTTCTGTGGCTCCTTGGTGTGTGGCACTAGGTTTCCCAACTTTTGGGTCAGGGGATGGCTCTTTTGGCTCTGCGACTCTGGAGACCCCTCCCACAGTCCCGGAGTGTCCACAAATATGTCTTCCATTCTGAAGCCCCCAGCTCTGCTCACCTCTCCATGAGGCCCACCCAGCCTCTACATGGTTCTCTCTTCTCATCGGCCCCTGTTCTGCCCCCTCTATTCTTAGCAGTGCCCCCGAGGCATGGGGCCTGGTCCTGAGAAGCAGTTTCTATCTGTTAGTTTTGTTGTTGTTTTGAGAAAGGGAGAGGGAGCAAGCAGGAGCAGGAGACAGGGGCAGACAGAGAATCACAGTATTCAACAAGGAAGAATACGTTTAATTTCACAGTTAGGGATAACAGCCTTACATTTCCCTGGCTTGCTTAAATCAATTACTTGCGATAAAGGTGCTTTAGGACAGTGTGCACAAGTGATTTGTTCTTGGAAGCCTACATTGTTTGGAGGAAGAAGAATTTTTTGTAAAAAAATAAGCTATTTTTCATTAGCTTAGAGCATCGTTTCAAGTTATAAATACCTGTGGTATTTAATGTGGGTGCACCCACATTAATGAGGCCATCCTTCAACACCAGCCACACTGCTTCTTGGGACATCTTCATGGGACCTCCAATAGTTAGTCTAGATTTTGTCCCCAGAAGGTTCTGAAGTAGCTCAGAACACTCTATTCGTTAAGTAATTTCCATTACTCTATACCTAAGACCAAAATTTCAATCTCTAAATAATTTTCCACTACAAACTATGTCCCAGTACTTTGGCTGACATCACCTAGGTGAGGTTCTGCAGTGAAATGAGGTGGCAATATTAAGACACTTGACAAGTAAAATACTAATATGGAATTGTTCCAAATTGAAATATAAGCCTCCTGTCCTTTTTCAGTGAGAAAGGGAAGTTAAAATATTAACTATTCATTTATTAATTAACTATTGATTAACTATTAATCAAGTCAATGTCCAAGAACCCAAGAACACTAATAGCTTTCTTATCTTCACGAATTAAAAGTCAAAGAGATTAAAGCCCTCCATTTCTGATTCTGATCAGTCTCAGGCAGAGATGTTCTCAGCCCCTTAGAGAAATTGAGGTCACTTCAGGAAAGCAGCTTGTGTTGTCTTCACAGATTCTTTTGGTCCTTACGATGGCAATTCAATTCGGGGCACCTGGGTGGCTCAGTTGGTTAAGCATCTGTTGACCTCAGCTCAGGTCATGACCTCACAGTTTCATGAGTTCCAGCCCCGCATCGGGCTCTTCACTGGCAGCATGGAGCCTGCTTAGGATCCTCTCTGTCTCCCTCTATCTCTGCTCCTCCCATGCTCACGCTGCCTCTGTCGCTCTCAAAAATAAATAAATTCAAAAAACCGTTTAAAAGACAACAATTCAATTCAACACCAGGTTTCTGATTGTGCTTCATTTTCTAAAGAGCCCCCAAATCAAAAAGGACCCACAGAACTCACCCATCATGATCAAAGGTCCTGCCTCCCCAGTTATCTAAGGCAAAAGCATGTTCTCGGAACCACCAAGAGTACTGCAAACCCAGAGCAGAAACTCAGGGGAGCTTGAGTGAAACTGATGGGGAAAATCATGCTGATCCAAGACTGGCTGAGAAGGCA